TAACCTCGCTGCTGTCCTGCCCTGCCTGGTAAGCACCAGTGTCAAGTGGGTGAGCACACAGCACCATGCCAGCTGCTCCTGAATTATTCTCAAGGTGGCTTGCAACAAGCTGCAATGATACCCCAAACCCAGGAAACCTTCAAACACAAACGGCACAACCTTTAGTCCTCTGCCTGATGGAAAGGGCCAGAGTGGACTTTCCATCAGTTGCTCAGTGACAACTTCCAAAAACCAGGTGGTGGGCACCTGCAGAGGCGTCCCTTGCATCCCACCACCTGAGGTGTCTGTCTCAGTCTGCCTTGGGGATGGGCCAGCCCTGCTGAAGGAACACTAGTATTAGAAGGCCGACTCACTTTACCACGAGTCACTGCTGCTTTGCAGTCCCATTGTCACGGTCTGGCTCACGGGCGATCGAAATCCTGGCTGGGGACGTCAGGACCGGGGGCAAGATGGTGGGGTGGGAGCAGGAACGGGAGTCCAGAAGCCAGGAGTCAGGAAGCCAAGAGTCCGAGGGTCAGAGAGCTGGGAGTCACAAAGGCAGGGATCCAAGCAGCAAGGAATCAAGGAACCAAACGCAGCAAGGCAGGGAATGCAAAGAGCTGAACGGAAATGCTGACCTTATATCCTTTCCCAGCTCTTGCCACCAGGTGCTGTGAGTTACCAATCGGCCTCACCTGTGAGGCTGCGCCTTGCCTCTTCAGAACAAACTTAGGAAGGCCCCAGTCCTGGTCACAGGGCCTGGCTCCTGCATGCACACCTGACACCCATGGTGTCTAGCAGCTTGAGACAAGTGTTCTTTCTGGCAGGAAGAGGAGAAGCAAAGCTCCTTCTTGGCTAAGGGATGGGCCAGGCTGCTTCTCTCCCCCTTCTGCTCCTTCAGGGAGGCAGAAGGTGCAGCCTCCCAGGACACCCTTGGTCCGCAGGCCAACAGTGGAGGCTGGAATGTGCTTCCCTTCTGTTCTGCATTCCCAATGGCAATTCAGACACACACACACATACGTAACCATTTGTGCTGTTGTTTTACAAACTCATTTTCAATGGCAGGTTGCCTTGCTCTGAATTGCAGCAGACAGATTTAGGCCACACTTTAAAAGGTAAATAATGTTACAAACATCAATAATGGAACAGGTGTGTCATTCAGTTGCCATGAGCCTGTTTTTAAAGAGGAAAATAACTTGACACAATCCTTTGTCAAGGATGTTTCCTTGATGGCAATTAGTCAGGAGTGACATGATTGTGATTAGCGATATTAATCTGTGATGCAAAACTGGTTGCAAAGTATTGTTGCCATGCTTGATATTCCAGCCCTAGGGAAAAAATTAATGTGGTAGATAACAGTAGAAGAGGAAAAGTAAACTCTCATTGAAAGTGTGCAAAGATTTAAATAATAATAATTCCAAGGCTGAGAGAAACGGTAAGAGCAGTATCAACCCCTGTCAGATCTCTCTCTATAATTAAATATGTGACTTGCAATTAGATAAAAATCCACTACTGAGCATAAGCTAGAAATTATTTTAGGGGATAATATCTGCCAAGTAGCACTGGTTTGGTTGCTTGGAAATTCCTGGTAAGATATGCTCCAAATGTTTCTACTTACCAGGGACATGCTCATAAATTCATGCACACCGAGTACTTAAGGCTTCATATTGTGAACAGCCCATCACTTCACAGACTGCAGAGGAGTACTTTGAACTAGAGTTGTGTGTTGGATTTGGACAAATCCTGAAAAATTGATGCAGGGTGCTTCAAGGAGATCTACATGGCAAAACAGGATCTAAACAAAGCAAATTTGAGTCCAAGCAGAGTTTCTGTAGTGCTTCGTAGCAACTTGGCAATTGAGACATTAAAAAACAAACATGCATACAAATGTTTGTGAAAAGTGAAAGTGTCTCTAAGGTTAATACCAGGATGTGGGAGAAGGAGGGAGAGGGATCAGCCATCTTCCCATTAGTTGCCAGGACAGGGAAGCTGTGAACCTTCAGATATTTTTGAATTATAATTCCCATCATCCCTGACCATTGACCAGGTTCTACGCCATAGCCAGCTCTTTATTTGACCTCCTGGGTCATTTAAAAGGAAAGGCTGTGGTGTAAACATTGTATTGTCAAATTTTATTTTATTATTTATGCAAAGCCCTTCCAAGGCTGCATACAAACAATTGAAACAATATCAAACCAAGTTTAAATTGCAGTGATAGCTTAGGGAATCTTTAACCAAAAATTATGAGTTGATTACAATTTCAATTTCTACCAGATACAGTGGTACCTTGGGTTACATACGCTTCAGGTTACATTTGCTTCAGGTTACAGACTCCACTAACCCAGAAATAATACCTCGGGTTAAGAACTTTGCTTCAGGATGAGAACAGAAATTGTGCTCCAGCAGCGCGGCAGAAGCAGGAGGCCCCATTAGCTAAAGTGGTGCTTCAGGTTAAGAACAGTTTCAAGTTAAGAACGGACCTCCGGAACGAATTAAGTACTTAACCCGAGGTACCACTGACTGTAGAAATCCACCATGTTGGGCATTCAAACACCAACACAACCCTGATGTTGTGTTGTACACAACTTTAGACTCTAGCTGGTGTTCTCCCCATCCCTGAATTTGATGAATGCCTCCCAAAGGAGATCAATTTGTCAGTCACAGTATTGCAATTTTCCAGTTTCCTGCAATGAACCAAGTAGGACATAACACCTGACTACTTCCAACACAACTGCAGTCCAGCAGGTTCATTTCTCCACCTGAGACAGAGCAGTAGCAGTGTCACCCCACACACTCTGCCACCCTGTGCCCTGCTGCACTGCCAGCAGCTACTTACCACAGATGCCACCGTGGCATACAGAAGTTGCTCCAAGTCTCACAAGACTTCCCCAAACCTGCCAGTAAAACGTCTCAAGGCTTTGGCAAAACCTTGCATTTGCAGACTTAACAGATGTGGCTGCTGCACTTAAAATGAGAGAGATAAAGAAACTCATCCGGAAAGCTCCCCACAGGCCCAGCAGGCAGCTGGCATCACTGTGAAATATACCCAGCAGGTGGAGTGTCTGGGCAGGAGGCTGCAGATGGCAGGGGCTGGTGCAGTGGCGGCAGCTGGCAGAAACGGCTGGGCAGTTGCAGGGACTCAGGCAAGCAATATGGGGTGCATTTGTTTGGCCATCTCTTCCAATTCACCGTCTGTGATAAGAGATTCTGTGTGCCTCACAACAGGGCCAGGCCTGCAGTTGAGTGTTCCCTCATACTCTCTCTCTCTCTCTCTCTCTCTCTCTCTCTCTCTCTCTCACACACACACACACACACACACACATATCACTGAATGAGAATTTATGCTCTGAATGAAGTTGTCTTCTGCCTCATCGTGTGAATGAAACAATATGTGCAAAAGCTGAAGGATGCACGAGAAGAGACCAAAGACATCAGAGTTGAGTGAGAAGTTCAGTGCTTTTTTTCTGGCAGTACTAAATGGTACACAGTAATGGCGTCTGTTTTTCCCTTTCCATATCTTGTGATTTATCTGTGGAAAGCAAAATGTTTTGACATGGGTGCTTTCACTGAGCCCTTCTGGGGCTGGAAACTACCGTATTTTTAAGACACACCAGACCATAAGACGCACCTAGTTTTTGGAGAAGGAAAACAAGAAAAATATATTCTGAATCTCAGAAGCCAGAACAACAAGAGGGATCGCTGCACAGCGAAAGCAGCGATCCCTCTTGCTGTTCTGACTTCTGGGATAGCTGCGCAGGCTGCATTTGCTCCATAAGATGCACACAAATTTCCCCTTACTTTTTAGGAGGGAAAAAGTGAGTCTTATAGAGCAAAAAATACGGTATTTTGCAGAGCTGAGAGGCGCAGAGAAAGTGGCTGCAATTGCACACAGAGGCCAGAGGCGGCGGTGGCGAGCTGGTGCTGAGAAAAGCTGCACAGACTTCCTGGTTTGTAGCACTTAAGGAACAGCCAGAGAGTTGAGAGGGGGAAAATGAGTGAGACAGACAGCCATATGCCCTTCGTTTCTTTTTGCCCCCTTCCCTTTTTGCTCTGGGATGCCAGATGGGCTGCAAAGATCTGCCCCATGCTTCCTTACAAGCTTCCCCACTCCAGCCCCCCTCAAAAAATACATTTGGGGCACCTTATCCCCTAGGAGTCAGCGCCTACACCCACCGAGATTCATGGCTGAGCGGGAATTCGAACTCTGGTCTCCCCGATCCTTGTCCGACACTCTAACCACTATACCTCACTTCCTCTGGAGCAGAATGTAACGATGAAAATGGAACCCTAAGCAGGGAGTGCTTCTCACCGTTAACACTTTTTTGCAGGCCCCACTTGGGATAATGTATTTTTTAAATGTATTTAAAATAATGTATCATTTTGAAAAATCAAATACAATTTACGGTAATTTTTTTGGAGAAAAAATGTTTGAATAATTCCAAAACAGGCTCCGTTTGAAGTATGCTCCAGTACCCTCTGAGGCAACCCACCTCCCTCTGAACTCCCATTTGGTAATGATAGTTTCGTGATATAATATATTCATGGCTTACAGCATTTTTCTTTACTCTCATGCCAGCTGCCTGTGCCACATTAGCTGCTGAACTCGCCCGCTTATTAGCATGGCACTTGCAAGGCTGAGATAAAAGTGTGTAGCAAAGAAATGTGACAGCTTAGTCATCTCAAAAGAGCGGTGAAGATAACATAATTCTCCTAGCTGCAGGGACTTTATATATTTTTCTCCAAACATGCTTTGAATTACTGGTTAATTTATGTATAATTGTGTCGCATGTACATAGCTGATGACTTTTTTCTTTTTCAACCCTGAGGATTTTAATGTTACATTATTAGTGATTTTCTGAGGAAGATGCTGTTTATGAATACATAGTTATGATTTTTTTGCTCCATGTAAAAAAACTAATTCTATATGAACACACAGGGGGAACAAGTCATTAACAAATCTCCGAAACCAGACACTCCTGATGGCCAGACCATCAAACAACAACATCATTTTTTTCTATTTTCGTATCTCAATAAATCCAGGTTTAGCTGTGTATGTACATGAGTAATTTATTTATTAATTTAACTTGCCTATTACCTTATACCAGAGGTCTCAAGGTGGCTTAAACAAAAGCCAGAAGAATTTTTAAAAAATGACAAATGGTCCATATTGAGAGCATAATAACCAACAAAACTGTCAATAGTTACAACCCTATAGATAACCATGCAATGAATTCTACAGTATAATAATCATGGCCCTATCTGTCAACAGCATAAACAATCTCCTCCTGGTTCTGGAGGCAGTGGTACAGGAGAGGGTGAGGAAGCACCCAGTCCTTCGCTTCTCTTCCTCCTCTTCTTCTGATCCATCCTGTGCTCCACCTTCCAGCTCTGTAGCATCCCCTGCCTCTGACTGTTGCCTCCTGGCTGGTACAGGTCACCACAAATCTCTGACTCCCTCTCCCGAATCAGACTCCAGTCCCACATCTGGTGCACATTCGTCAGCGTCCTGCTGGTCCCTGATATTGGGGCAGAAGCACAGAGAAGGTGCATAGAGAGCTTCTGAATGCAACGCTGAAGGACGAAGTCCTCTTGAGATGCAATTCTGTAAACTCTGCAGTTCTCCCAACTGCACCCAGGCTGTAAATATCTGTTAATGCACCATATTTCGTTAAAGACACAAAAGTTTCCGTGGCATCTTGATTCCCAATGGAAACAAGACCCAGGGTAAGTGCCTGGATGTCCCTGGAATTCTGCTACCACTTGGCAGAGATTGGGGTGGAGCACAACCTTGGGAACATTATGTTCATGTTACCCCTAATTTAGCAGTTGTGTGCAACCACTATAATATACATGACTCAGCTTTTAAACTACTGCAGGATGCACTGGGGGGGGGGGGATGCCTTCCAAAGCACATTTAAACATCCACAGGCTAAATGTTAACACAGGCATCCCAACCAGTGTCAGATTTACGTATAAGCTAAACAAGCTATAGCTTAGGGCCCCACTCTCTTGGGGGCCCCCAAAAAAATTAAAGGGGAAAAAACTGGAAGTACATTTCCAAAATATAAGATAAAAAACAAATAAAATAAAAACTATATACAGCAAGTGTTTTGTGTTGTGTAGGCTCCTATGATGTAAGTAATGGGCCCTGCCTGGTAGCCTGCTCCCTAAAATATCACTAGTTTGCTCATTTCTATATATAGGGTGTTTGCATTCTGCATATGCAAAGGGCTTTAGATACCTATTAGGTCCATAAATTCCCATATAGCATATATTCAGCACACACAAAAATGACAATTTGTTGCTGACAAATGACAGCTGGACATATAAAGGGCCCCATTACCTTCAGTAGCTTAGGGCCTCATCAAACCTAAATCTGGCCCTGATCCCAACTGACCTCTGAGCCCAATGGCTACCAAGGTCCCTGAACTGGCCACAAGACAAAGTACTTAAAGGTAAAGTGACCCCTGACCATTGGCTCCAGTCGTGACCGACTCTGGGGTTGCGGCGCTCATCTCACTTAATTGGCCGAGGAAGCCGGCGTACAGCTTCCGGGTCATGTGGCCAGCATGACTAAGCCGCTTTTGGCAAACCAGAGCAGCGCACGGAAACGCTGTTTACCTTCCTGCCGGAGTGGTACCTATTTATCTACTTGCACTTTGACGTGCTTTCAAACTGCTAGGTTGGCAGGAGCAGGGACCGAGCAACAGGAGCTCACCCCGTCATGGGGATTCGAACCGCCGACCTTTTGATCGGCAAGCCCTAGGCTCTGTAGTGTAACCCACTGCGCCACCCGCATCCCTTTTGACAAAGTACTTAGCATATTATAATTCATTGCTTTGTAATACTGAGGAGGAGTCACCAGATGGCGCTATTAAATATCACACAAATTTCTAGTTGGCAGTGTTTTCAGTGCTGTTATTAAAGCTGTTTGTTTCCATGTAATGATTTTTGAGTGAAGTATTACATGAAGAAGTATAGTGATGGTTTAGCAATGCTAAACATCTTCTCTGATGTAACTGCTTTCCTGTCTAAACCATTCCATCAAGTCCTATTCCTTTAGGTGTCCTACCAAGTTGTCCTCTGCTACATCGCTAGAACGTCCTGCACCCTTGATTATGTGAACAGATAGACCAAGGGAATGTCCAAGCAATGGTGTCACAGAGCATCCGCTGTCACTTCAATAGTCAGTTAGCTAATTATGCTAAAATTCCAGGTGAGAGATATGATAATGCTCGTGCATGCTGCAAAATCAGCATTCATGCACCACGTTATGAACTGGGGGGAAACAGATGAGCTTTGAACAAATGCTTGTGACCAGATGACCCTCATGGTCCCTTCCAACACTACAGTTCTATGATTCTGTGATTAACAGCCATTCGCTGGGGCCTCAAACAGAAATATTTCCCAGTACATGTTACCTGATGCTTTTAACTCAGACTGGGAGCCTCAGGTCCAGGTGAGGGACAAATGCAGCCTCCCAGGATTCTTTATTTGGCCCTGGAGACTCTCTCCAGGTCACATCCCTCCCCAGTCATGCTTTGGCTGGGGTTTCCGTATCTGAAAAAGTAAAATTCTTGACACCCACAAATTTGTTGAGCTTTCTGGAGCTTTTCCCATCGTGCTGCCATGCCATACATCCAATTTCGCAAAATTCCCCAATGCCATTTTTACACCCAAAACCCAGAACATGTCAGGGATTTTCAGGGCCTAGCTTTGGCCCCCGTGAAGTGTTTTTGCCTGGCTGAAATGTGCCCTTGAACTCTGATAAGGCCTCTTGCTTGCCTGAATAGGGGAAAGAGAGGGGCATGTGACTGTGTGTAGAAACTAGCCTATTGCATGAAGGTAACGTTCACATTAATTGCTCCGCCCACCTTTGCCCTGGGCTCCGCCCACCATTGGCATGTGATCTCCAGAAGGGAATGAAGTCTTCATGCTGAAAAATGTTCCCCACCTCTGCCAAGGATTGAGCATGGCACCTCCTGTTCTGTCCCGGAGCTCTCACTTCACTAATGATCATCAGTTTATCAGTGGCACATGCAAAACCAGTTTGGATATGCTTTTTGTGTACCTCCTTCGAAGCTCTTGCAACAGCAAGATACACACCTATGTTGGCTCTAGCACAGGCCCATATTGTTACACGGACAGCCAGTGCATGGAAACTGACAAATTGGCCACAGCTGCCATTCTCTGAAAAGGCCGCAAAAAAATAAGAACGTAAGAAAATCACTGCTGGATCAGACCAATGGCCCATCTAGCCCAACATCCTGTTCTCACAGTGGCCAACCAGATGCCTATGGGAAAGCAGGCAAGCAGGAGCTAAGCACAAGAGCACTCTCCTCTCCTGTGGTTTCCAGTAACTAATATTCAGAAGAATTGCTGTCTCCAACGTTGGAGGCAGAGCATAGCCCTAATGGGTGAAACCCTAAATAAATGAGCAACTGATAGCCATAGAATCATAGAATTAGAAGGGACCCCAAGGATCATCTAGTCCAGCCCCCTGCAATGCAAGAATCTCAACTAGTGTCCATGACAGATGGCCGCTCAACCTCTGCTTAAAAACCTGCAAGGAAGGTTTGACAGCCTCCCACTTTCAAACAGCTCTCATTGTCAGGAAGTTCTTCCTGATGTTTAGTCAGAATCTCCTTTCTTGTAACTTGATTCCATTGGTTCAGGTCCTACCCTCCGGAGCAGGAGAAAGAAAGCTGGTTATCATATCTCCTCTATCTCTTCTACCTCCTCTTCAAAAGTATTCAAAAATATTACTGTCCCCTACCATGGAGGCAGACTATAACTATTGTGGGTAAAGGTAAAGGTAAAGGAACCCCTGACTATTAGGTCCAGTCGTGGCCGACTCTGGGGTTGCGGCTCTCATCTCGTTTTATTGGCCGAGGGAGCCGGCGTACAGCTTCCGGGTCATGCGGCCAGCATGACTAAGCCGCTTCTGGCGAACCAGAGCAGCGCACGGAAACACTGTTCACCTTCCCGCCGGAGTGGTACCTATTTATCTACTTGCACTTTGACGTGCTTTCGAACTGCTAGGTGGGCAGGAGCAGGGACCGAGCAATGGGAGCTCACCCCATCGCGGGGATTCGAACCGCCAACCTTCTGAACAGCAAGTCCTAGGCTCTGTGGTTTAACCCACAGCGCTGCCCTAAATAAATGAGCCTTGAATAATATTGGGAGACCCAACAAAAAAACATATCTAGAATTAAGAGGTGTGCAATGCAAAATCTTAGTATTTTTGAACCCTGGGACCTCTTTTACAAATGGTTGCGGCCGCTTTAAGGATGTCCTGTTTCCTCAGCGCTTCATATTTTATGTGCTTTTTCGGTTCCTATCCCTTAACTTTCCTTCTGATCTCTATGCAAACCCAGCAGGGGGCTGTCTCTTCCTCCTTGCTGCACCTGCTGTGCTGTGGTTTTCATAACACCTTATTAGACATAATTGCCTGTCAGCTGCCTGCAGGCTTTATGTGTAATCTGGGCCTTGCGAGCTTCCTTTCTTAACTTCCTGTCAAGTTGCTGGCATAGGAGGGAAATTGTTTAAAAGCGCCTGGCAAAAGGAAGAGACACCATAGTTAATTAGGAGTAGCTGCAAAACAAATTATCAGCAGGCCCCGCACTGCAGCGACGAGTGTGGCGCCTAACGATAAACAAAAGCTGCCGAACAATTTAATTTATAGCAATGCATTGCATTTAGTCATTACCACCAAATCAAAGTGCACCCTCCTGAGCTATTTGACTCATCTGCAAACCCTTCAAGTGTCCCTATTTTCAAGAGACATCCCTGATTTGGAGAAGCCATCCCGGTTTCTGATTTGATCCAGAATGTCCCACTTTTCCTTAAAGGTAAAGAGACCCCTGACCGTTAGGTCCAGTCGTGACCGAATCTGGGGTTGCGGCGCTCATCTCGCTTTATTGGCCAAGGGAGCTGGCATACAGCTTCTGGGTCATGTGGCCAGCATGACTTTTCCTTAGGGTGTCTTTATTTTCATTGGAGAAATGTTGGAGGGTATGGAGTTATCCGACCACCAAGCCGTCTGAAGGCAATCCTGTATAGAGAAGGTTTTTTAATGTTTAATGCTTTATTATGTTTTTATATATGTTGGAAGCTGCCCAGAGTGGCTGGGAGGACCCAGTAAGATGTGTGGGGTATAAATAGTAAAATTATCATTATTGAATGGGACGTCCCTATTTTCACCAGAGAAATGTTGGCAGGTATGCATCTGGTTACCCTGGTTAAAGCACTCAGCATCCTGTGGCAGATGAGTGAATTAAACAGTCAGCATCATGTCACTGATTTGCCTAACCAATGCAGACCATGAATCAGACAAAGGGATCAGGCAACTGTGAGACTCCGTTAAGGTGATGTAAAGCAGGAGAGGCAAAACTCAGGCCAGGGGCTAAATGTGGCATTCCAGGCCGTTTATTTGGCCCTAAGAATTCTCCCCAGGCCACACTCCTTTGTGTCTGGTTGGAAGGTACCCTTGAACTCCCATGATGCCTCTTGTTTATATGTATGGAGGATAGAGAAACGTCCCTAACATTTCAGCGATTTCTGCCAAGTCACTGCTTCCAACTACAGTATTCCGGCTATGTCTGGGAAATTCCAGACGTATGGCCACCCTAGAAATAGCCTGATGTCACAGACCAGTTGGATGCAGAGGAATGGTAGGAGACAGCAGCTGGGGAACCCCAAGGGAAGAAGGCTCAGGGGGTTGGTGGTAGGATGACAATGAGTGGTTAGAAAGAGAAGGGTCCAGCTGGGGAAGAGGCACAGTCTCAGTAAGCTTGGGGGAAACCTGAGGACTCCTGTAAGCATCACACATAGTATATACAAAATGCTTCAAACATTTGAAATGCACTGTATAAATATTATTATTTCACTCTTGCCTCTCCGAGCCCTAATAAGTATGTTCCCTAAACACCCATACTTCTGTTTCCACAAAATTGGGAGGAGTAATGGATGTATATTATAACTTTGTATAATAGGTGACAGGAGCAAGCCAGCAGTAATTTGGAGTTTATTAACAAAAACAAGATCTGCACAGGAGTGTCATGAGCACAGCGACTCATCCCCCCCATGAAGCAGTTGCTAAGACCGAAGGTCCCTGACTCCCCACAGCTGCCTAAGTCCAACTCCTCTGCAAGGTTTTCCCCAAGCAATCTGAGACTGTGCCTCTTCACTAGCTGGATCCTTCTCCCTCTAAGGTAGGCCAGTTATTGGGAGTGGGGCTGAGGCTGTGAGATAGTTGGCCCAGTGCAGGGGGAGCCAATATAATGTCCTCCAGAAGGTTGTTAGACTATCAGCCTCAACCAGCATGACCAATAGTCAGGGATGATGGGAGCTGTAGTCCAATAATGTCTACTCTCTCACTGGTATGCAGTTTTTGTTTGCATTGCCTTATACCTTACTAACCCTTATTCTCAACAAGCAGTAGTAGAGTATAAAATAGTAGGCATCTGACATCCTGGAATCTTCTGTCACTAGATGGCAGTGTAACAATTCACTACACTATTGTAACAAGTTGAAAGCTGTAAATGACCAGGTCCTTTCTGATGTTTAGAAGATAATGTTATCTATTAATAATATTAAGAAGACAATAATGGGTTTTCAGACCCCAACTGGTGAATCCTTGTAGGTGGCAGCATTTGTGACACAAAATAAGCACAGACATTTGGATCAGTTGGCCGGGGATTAAATCTGGAACCAAATTCACAACATACAATTCTTTTAGCCTTCACCTTGAAAGTATATATGGCACCAAGGTGCCTTCTACAATGTGTTTCAGAAAGAGATTAACATCAGTGGCCATCAAAGATACATTTGTTGTTCAGCATCAGTGTATGCTATACAAGCTCTCTCCCTTCACTTGGTACAACAGAATGGCAAGGTCATAACAATACGAAATTCCCTTTAACTACTTCTATGCAGTACAGTGGCTTTGCAACTAAATTAATACTAGCATTGGCATCAAGCAGAAAGCAAATCTTTATTCTTAATCATTTGAAGAATCAGCTTTAGAACCCATTAACTTAATGTGGTCCTGTAAATGCAAATAGACTATGCACACAATTATTAGGCCATGATTGTACATGTTCTTGTTCTGTCATGAATCATTCATCTTTCTTGTAAAAAATCATAGCCAGCAGTCACTCAAAAGGAAATGCTTATTTTTCATAAATCTCTGCTTAGTCTTGTAAATACCCACTTAAACCTTCTGGCTTCATTATGCATATCTTTTCATTTTCCCTTCATTGTTCTTTGTCCTAAACATACAAAAGCACAGGTACATATATATTGTCACTGTTCATCAAGTCTACAGGGAAGAGAGTGCATCTGTCTAGTCCTGACTCAAAGTCAAGAGACTGCGCATGTGCTATCATTTGTCAATGTTCTTCCTGCTGAGATCCCCATACACAATTTGCACTGCATGTGTGGACTTTTACAGTATACCATGCAAACAGTACAAACAGAGCGGTTGCTTAAGAGAACCACAGGAGCTTAATTGTGGGTATGGTCTACTTCTTCCTTTCACATGGTGTGTAAAAGAGGAACAAACCCCTGATGATCAAGGAAGAGGAAGAGCAAGTAAAGGAGAAAGCTGCCCAAGGAGATGTGCTGTGGATATATTATCCTATGGGCAATGGACAGAGGTAACATGCCTATATCTTCAACATACTTGGTTAGGGTGGCTTACCACTCTGACGATGCCTGCCCCATGTGGACATGAAGGTTGCTACTAGCATGGTACATAGGATGCAATCTGCTGGAAATATATGTTAACCCCTACACTACAGTAAAAGACCTCCTTCCTTGCTTTTGCAGGCTCAATACGTGTTTTAGTGCTGTAGAGGTTACTTAATATTGCAGGATATGGAATTTGCTTCTACTAAGAATAGCCAGCAACTTTTCTGCTGTTAGAAGTTAATAAATGGTAGAATTCAAGTTCACAGCTATATACCACCATGAGGCTCTCACCTCTCACACAGCACTCTCTCGTGATTTCTTTATAGATAATTACTGAGCAGTGGCAACTAAATGTGGATCTCTGTATAGTATTTATCATTTGTTCTTAGCCAAATAAGAATTGACATGCTATCCACCAGGTTGTTAGAGCAACCATAGAGCAGGCACATCAGGTAACATGCAAGCAAAGTGTCGGCAGTGACCCATTCGAAAGCAAGTTTGTTGGATGAAACTAACACAGTAAAATAATATTTGGTTGAGTTGACTAGGTCAAAAAGATAGTGTCAAAGCCTAGCACTACTGTCTGTGTGTGTGTGTGTGTGTGTGTGTGTGCATATATATATATATATATATTACTATTATCTCCTTGAAGGAAAGGTTTGGGGTCTGGTGAAGAAAGCACCTGTATTTTTTCACTGAAGTACCAGTATTTTTCAGTGGTGTGAGATAGGATCTGTTTTCTTACATCCAGTGGCTGAAAGAATCCGGCATCTTAATTGTTTCTATATATAACCCAACTGGCCACAGCTTGCTTGGCTGGAAGCTAAAGAAGACAATGAGCCATGCACCATGTCATTATCTCCACCGCTGCACCACACAGGCATCTACGACAACAACAAGCCAATGGGTGGATCTAAATGTGTTTAATGGTAGTGTGGGAGAGATGTACAGAGGGAATCAGTTACCTCCTGAAACCTTTCACAGCCATGCAGATATTTCAAAGACAGCATAAAATGTTTTTGTGGGGGTTTTAAAGCATGGATTTGACTGACTTTTGATAATGGGGATGGGAAGTGACTTGGGCCAGGGCCAGCCCTACCATTAGGCAGGTGGCAGATTCTGAGGGGCAGAGTATTGTGTGCTGTGTGGCCTGCCTTGCACCCTGTGGGCTAGCCTGCTGTGCTCAGCTACACTGGGCGTAAACTATCTGTTGCCAGTGTCAAAGTGCTTTTGTACATGGGCAGCTTGTTTGCCTCAGGCAGCAAAATACCTTTGCCCAGCCCTGACTGGGCCATGGATACCTCCACCTGAATCCTGATCAGAAAGATATTCTCTTATACTCAGGGTTCATTGAGGTCAGTTGTCACTGAAGGCCAAACTAGACATGGTGTTAATCATTTTGTTAACCCTTGTGTTATTTTTAAAAATTAAACAGCAGCCAGTGCAGGGGGGCGGGGAGCAGTTCCATGGCAAGGGGCAAGGCTTTAGCCCTTTGCTGTATAGCAGTCCCAATCTGAAGTGCAGCATCATGTGCTTGATATGGCAAGCACAGATCTCAGGCAAGGACAAGGTAAGGCTGGTTGTTCCAACAAGAAACAAGCTGAAACGGAACCCTTCTATAGGAGCAAAAGCAGCGACAGCCTGATTACTAGCACCACCTGTGCTGCAAGATGCAGCTTCACTTCAAAGTGCCCAGCCTTCTCTAGAATTCTTCTACTGTAACTGATCAGGGGAACCTCTGGTCTAACCGGGTCTTCGCCATGAGAGTCCACTAAATCTGAGAACGGCAACATTACATCCTTAGCCTGTGGCACAGCCACTAATGACTCACCTGGTGGATATGCTTCTGGTGGTGGTCCTGCATGTCCTTCCCCTTCTGCTTCAGAGTCTTTGTCCTCACCTCCTGAAGACAAGGAATCTGACTCCAGGGTTACAAACTGTGCCACTTATTCGCTCTGGGAGGAAAGTTTCTGCTAACACCAACAGAAGCTTTCCTTTTGGGGCAATAAGCAGGCACAAAGGGAGAAGCATTTCAATCAAAGCCATCATTCACTATTTAATCAGTCTTCAGTATTTTTATGCTATTTTTCTGGGCATGCTCTCCCAATGTGGCTCGTATACAGGATTAAAACATAAAATACAACTAAAATAATATATTTACCATTAAGAAAAACCATAGACATTGCTCTACACAAATATAAGTTGGCAGCATTATTCCTGAAGAATGAGTGGCCATTTTATAGCCGCAGTGAATTAACACTGCACATTTAAGTACAGCCCAGAATCCCTCTTTCCTCTCTTCCCTTGAAATACCCTGCCACAGGCCTGTGATTTGAGAGCCCTGCCAGGGAGCTCTAAACTTGTCACTCTACCAACACCTTGTGACGTTAGTTCAACAAACAGCCACGGACATCCAATTCTTTACTTGCCAAATTAGTGATTTTCAGATTCGTGGCATGTTCCTTGAAACTTGCATGTACCTGATCATTTAATCCCAGACTGAGATGCTGTCTTTATTTGCACAGACAGCACTTGGCACATTTGGAAGGCAACATGAAGGACATCCCTTACATTAGCCAAGTATCATGTTCTGGCAGTTCATCTGTAACATCTATGCTGTCTATGACCTTTCACATATAAACTGTGATAGGTTAGGAAGGAGAAAAAGCACCAGTTACTATACGTAATATGAATATGGAAAAGGACAGCATTTAAAGTGGGGTGTGTGATCTATGACCTTTTCACCACTGGGGACATCAAGCACGTTGTCAGTCTTGTCAGCTCTGAAACCTGAGGACTCAAGTCAGTCACTAGCTCTCAGACGTAAGCAGGCTAAAAACACAGGTTGATAGTGTGATCTCATTGACGTCAGTGGGGGTCTGAGCTGCATTAAATGCAAACATGCTATCACAATATCTCCAAGTTATTCCCTTTATTTCTGAGGTGAATGTTGTTGCATATGCAGCCAAACTAGCACCATCCAAGCACAAGAGAGAGATATCAGCAGGTTCGGGGGAGCATTAAGTTTCCTAAAGTACAAAAACCTAAGGGAGGGACTCTCTGAAACAGCCCACAGAATGCTGGGAGGGGGATTGGGCAGAAACCTGGGTAGGAGATAGGGATGTGAAGGCCTGAAGAAAATGGGGGGAAATGGGGGTAAACCTAGATAATTGTTTAATCTTTTATCCTCGGCCTTCAAATTTTTCATGGAAGAGGATGGAATGAAGTATTGCAGAAGAGGGCATGGCTGGCTGGAACACTGAACAGAGGACTCCACACTGCAACATTTAGTCCTGCTTGATTATCTGAATAGAGACCCAGTGTTGTCCTTATACCATTGTTCTTCCATCAGTGCTGTTCTTCCATCGCTTTCCAGCTGCTTGCCCTGATTACCAGACTCAGCTCGGAAATCAAGTTGTAAGAGGTTTGCTCTTCTAAGCCAGAATCCCATACTCACAAAGGCCCAGAGCAAGGAAGAGGTTTGTTGACTTATCTGCAAATTTTTTGAAACTAGAATGGAAAAGATGGGTGCTCAGAAGGACAGCAGCCAGTGCCTTTGCAAGAGCTGCTGTAATCAGCTGATCGACAGTGCTTGCAAGGGCACAGCCCAGTAAAGCTACGTCTTCATGCCCCACACCTGACAGCAAATATGACATCAGATGTGTGACTTGATCAAAACAGCCCAGCAGGCCAAACAGTGAGATCTAGTGGCCTCATTAGGCCTGAAGGCCAGAGGTTTTCCACCACTGCTGTATACACTGCACTGCATGAACACACAAAACCACCTCCCTGTGTACTGACATAACTGGAAGTTAGCACTCAGCACAAGCTGACTGAAAGCTGCAGCTGCTGCGGATCACAATGTGGAAAGGGGGTTGAAATTTGAACCTGGGTGTCCCATCTTCAAATCCAACTCTCTCCAAATGACTTGGAGGTTGCTCCTTCCCTCCATCTGTTATTCTATGCCTGTAATTTTTGTTTTCCTCTCCTCCCCTATCCCACAAAAATATTCAGGAAAATCCCCCTCCCCCACACACAATTTTTACAATCTACATGTAGGGTGGAGAGTTCTGGGTGCACCTGTTGATCTAGTTTTAATATTGTTTAATATTATTTTTATTCAATATTGTTATTTGAATAATATAGGCCTAGCCCTTGCTCCTGCCAGTTCTCCCTTGGCCTACTGTTTCCTTCGTTCACCAATATGAGCTAACCAATGTGTTTTGTTCAACATTAAGCAAGCTGAAATTTATCAGAAGAGACTATTGGATAATTTTCCCTCCCTCCCATGAATTCTTAGTAATGTACCACAAATGCACACGCACACACACACCAGCCATAACAAGGGGGGGGGGAATCATGGCAAGGCATTTTGCTTACTTCCTTCTCATATTTCCTTCCATAAAGTACTTCATCTTCACAGCACTCCAAAGTTTAGGAGAGAAACAAGACTCATTTCAGGGCCATCCCAAGACATTTCACTACCTCAGGTGAATGACAAGATGGTGCCTCCTTTCATTCCATGTACAAAAAACTGACCAGTCAGCCAAATCTGATTTCAGCATCAGGGCTGGTCCACCCATTAGGCTCATTACCTCAGGTGATGGGCTGCAGAGAGGTGACAGACCTGGACCCATGAAGAGTGTGCCGCTCACTGACTCCTGTGCTTGTCACCCGTGTGCTGCCTGGAAAGAACAGGACCGCTGCTGCCACTGCCTGCTCCTCTCTGGACTCCTTTTTTTCTCCGCCGCCAACTTCCAGGACTTCCCTGAGCCACCTCATGTGGTGGTAGTGCGTGGATCAGGCCAGTGGCCCACCTAGTCTAGGGTTCTGTTCTCACACTAAATGCTGCAGTGTGCGGTCCTCTGTTTGTCCTTCCAGCCTGTGGGAAACCAGTAAGCTGGACAAGAACTCAACCGCACTCTGCCATGTGAGATGCACATTGATATAGGATGACTATGATTTAAAAGTAATACATTATACCTCCCCATAGTGGGGAGAATTGTGAACAGTGCACTGTCCAAGTGCTGTTGATGGGCAACTTCAAGACTTCTCTTGCCCTCCCTTCTCAGGGTTCTTTTTCTTTTGTTTAAGCTGGACTTGGGTCCCATCTGCACTATGCATTTAAACCAGTGGCATACAACTATAAACAGTCATGGCTTCCTCCAAAGAATCCTGGGGAATGTAGTTTGTTAAGGGGGATGAGAGTTGTAAGAAGACTCCATATTCTCTCAACATAACTGCAATTCCCAGAGTGGTTTGACCATCAATCTCCCTTCCTAGGGAATTCTGGGAATTGTAGCTGTCTTAATAGGGGGTTGCCTAACAACTCTCAGCGGCCTTAAAAAACTTCAATTCTCAGGATTCTTTGGGGGAAGTCATGATTTTTAATGGGGTATAACAGTGCTTTAAATGTATGGTGCTGATGTGGCCCTTGGGCGGACAACCCTGCTCATAATCGCTACTAGTCATATGGGCCTCCTTTTCTTTCATTTTCTTCACTCTAAATTACAGTGGTACCTCGGGTTACATACGCTTCAGGTTACAGACTTCGCTAACCCAGAAATATTGCTTCAGGTTAAGAACTTTGCTTCAGGATGAGAACAGAAATTGTGCTCCGGCGGTGCAGCGGCAGCAGGAGGCCCCATTAGCTAAAGTGGTGCTTCAGGTTAAGAACAGTTTCAGGTTAAGTATGGACCTCCAGAACGAATTAAGTACTTAACCCGAGGTACCACTGTATAGTATATCACAAGAAGCCGAGACAAAATAAGGTGCACTGTGCAAACATGGCCACTAGAGACTCTAGTGTCACAGAAACATTTCTTTCCAAACCAAACACTGCCCAAGTCAGCTATTTTAAACATGTTTGAAAGGAAACAGCTGAGAGGAAAAACAGAGAGTCTGCAAAAATCAGCCGGGGATTCCCCCCCAACACACACACACACACACACACACACACAGGGCCACATGAATCCAAGATCTGCTTGTTTGTCACACTGGAAATTATTTGGATTACATTTTTGTTAAAATGGTATCACTCTTTGGAGGAAAGCTTGTATTCTGAACCAAAGCTGCTGCATCTAAGTAGGTACACATATTTAGCATATATTATTAGGCAAATCAGACCAGTCCAGGCCAATAACAACCAATATTGCCACTGGCTCAGGAGAATGGGAAAGCCCAGTCATCAGGGAGATGGCCACTGCTATCTACAACTTACTGCTACCACTTAAGGCCACCACCTCACTCTGCCTAATAGTAGGGCATCCCTGGGGGAACTCTTGTCCCAGTCTGATACCTGCAGGGATATATTTAATGTTTAGACACTGAAGTTTGCTGGGTTTTTTAAGATTACAGGAAGCAATTATTTTAGGTGAGTCCGATATGAGTGCAACCACACACAAACACACACACACATCACGCTAAACCCATAAGTGACCCAAGAAGTCACAGGAACATCACAAAAAGGGGCAGAATGGGGCGGGGTAAATTGGGAGTTGTCTGTAATTCTTTGACACAAATTATCCATTAAGTTAACTATGGCAGTCTGTCACAGATCCTATAATATTTTAAAGGTTCTCCATAGGCCAGGTAGAATCCTATTGGCTCCTTGCATCACCTGACAATTGTTGGCCTAGTAGCAGCAGCAGCACTTGATGGCCAAGTGTGTCAGACTAGTCCTAATTCCTCTATGAAATTTCTTTATGAAAATTATTTAGGAAAAATCTCAAATTGTGACAAAGTCATTGTCTTATGGGGAGAGGTATAAGTTCTGAAGATGTATTGTTCTCAGTAAATATTTCAGCAAACTTGGAAGTTTGTGGATAGATGGATAGCATAACAAAAATGTTAATTCACTGCACTGGAACCAGTGTGTAGGTCATGGGCAGTCAACGGGGTGCTCTCCAGATGTTGGGCTACAATTCCCATCATCCCTAACCACTGGCCATGCTGCCTGTGGCTGATGGAAGTTGGAGTCCAACAACATCTGGAGGCACCACATTTGTTACCCCTGACCTAGGCAGAATAGGACAGTGAGGCAGGAGCACAGCACTAGGGCCACACACACGGGCCTAGGAAGAACCCTCCCTGACAAGAAACTTCATAGGTCAGAAACAGTACATTCCACTCAGCGTCTTTGCAAATTGCGAGCATAAAATTCTGCCATTATTCTTTGCCTCCAGGTCTGGAACATCTGTTTGTTTCAATCTGTTACACTGTTCTCTCTTTCTTCAGGAAGCATTGCCATAACTTAACACTACATACTGCTTTTCTGTGGCTCCCCAAAGCACATTCTTAATAACACCTATTTGAGGTGAAATGGGATATTGCTGACAAGGCTCCCCAAGGAGTTAGATTTTGGTCTGCTTGAGCTCATACTTGTGATTTCATGCCATTTGGCTTTATTAGGTTTTCCCCTAATGGATAGCATATCTGTTTACACTTATCCTGCTTGAATGAAGATGAGCTGCCTAAGCAGTAGTTGTTTTCACACCTGTTTCCCTTTGCTATGGCCGTGAAAGGTTAAAAATAGAACACAGAATGAAACTCATCGTGATACTTATTTACTAATGCTTTGTGTGCTATCAGACAGGCACCTGATCCTGTATATGTATATAGTTGCAACTGAATAGATATCAGCTTGATGAAATGTAGCTACAGCTGCACTGTGTGTAAAGCAAAACTACACTTCTATGCTTCCTTTCAGCAAAAAATAAAATAAAATAATCCTATATTAACTGCTTATTACAATAGTCAGAGATGCAAGGTGACACTGACAGAGGTGTTGTGCCAGCATCATGATGCAACAGCAAGCTTCTGGAACAATGCCATCATATTATTCCAAGCAGAACTGATGATTACTACTTAAAATACTTAATTGAAGACAGGGAACCAGATATTACCTTAAAAGTGGCTAAATTCTGTGCTGCTGCTGCTATAAAATTAAAGAGATAAGCTCTGAATGAACCTAACAGCCAATGTCTTAATATATTTTAAATTTGCGGTCAAGGTTTTATTTTATATATTTTAGCTGTTTTATATCTGAATTATTTCTTGTGTATCAGGTCGTAGAGCTTACTTTTAATCTATTCATATTTATATGCTCTCTGTTGTTGTATATGTTTGCATTCTGGTCAGTGACCGAAATAAATTGATTCATTCATTCATTCATTCATCATTACTATAGGGACATACGTTCAATATTTATCACTCCAATCATGCAATGAACCCCAAGCAGATCTGATGACCACTACTTAAAATATCAAATAGAGGAGATGTCTATGCTATAATTTGTAGCCAGCTCCTACCAGGCTGAAGCTTGTATTTGATATCCCGCTTTATTTGGATTTGATATCCCGCTTTATCACTACCCTAAGGAGTCTCAAAGCAGCTCACAACCAGCTTGTAAGCTGCACTCACAGTCTTCTTAATAATATATATTTTATTAAAGGCACTCTTGACCACCTAGAGCTTCAAGCCTTCCACCTGCCACCTGGAGGGGACCAAACCTGGAGACTTCAGGCTGGACCTGGAGGTCTGGCAACCCTGGAGTTGTGCATGCAGCATCCTGCAGGTGAGGAACAATCCATGCAGAACACACAAGAGGGGTTAACAAAAGTGAGGTGTGCACTCAGCTTTCTTGTGTATCCTCATTACTGCCACAGGAAGCAGCTTATATTTTCCATTTGCACATTCTGATTGCTGCTGCATTAACCTTTGCTGTCACTAATGTTTAATGGATATAATTTGGCTGCAAAATTAATTTCTGCAAATAAATGAGTTATTTTTAATATTCAACACACACTATGAACAAAAAGGGGGGAAAGATAAAAGAGGGAATTGGAAATAGCTGAGTTAAATTGTTATTTCAAGGCTTACATGCTGCGGTGTCACTTCCTCTCTCTTTAAGCCAGTGATAAAGCGAATGAGTCTCCTGACTCATATTTAATGGGTGCTCAAACTGCTGTGGATTACAAATGTGTAATCTTTTCAAATACAGGAATCATCGGTATTTGCAAAGTTGCTACTGTCGCCTACACAGCAGCAATAATTTTCATAACCAATACCATTTCATGTCCAGACTGGTGGCGTCAGCAGATATAGCAGCACTAAACTGTCCTTTGAAAGTCGCTAACGCTTTAAAAAGCAAAGTACACTATGGCAGCAATTTCTGCCTATCCTGGAAAATTTGCAACCTTTGGCCAATCTGAGTAACACTATATTGACAGACCCAAGCCCATGTATATCAGTGATACTTCCTTTACAATGGAAAATCTAAAAGCTTCAATAATTTCAGGTTCTTTGTCTCCTGGAGATATTAACAGAAAGAACCTTGTGGTTTCATATTTTTTTAAAAAAATCTGGTTGTTACGTTTGCTAAATTACTCCCGGCTTCCATTTCCACAAACAAGCAGACTTGACCCCATCTACCAGTTTCATCAGATACCTTTTCCTTTTCCTGGTATTACTGCAATGTGGATTTGTCATTTTTATAATATTTTGCATCAACTGGAGGGGGAAATGCTTACATTTTACCTCTCAAATGAACTGCTTTCTCATCACATACAAGTAGTTTGCTAAATGTTGGATTGTAAGACTCCACATGGTGGAACACATGCCCTGCCTTCATGTTGGAATTTATAACTCCCTGTTTGATTAAAATAATATGTGTCCTTTAAAAAAGTCACCTACCTAATACTAAACTCTTCTTTTCTTAACATGGCCTTTTGATTTACCCTATTGCCACATGGCTCCTTCATGCAGGAAAAGTACTACGTGCAGACAAGGTCTGTCAAATGGCATGACTCACTATTTTTTAAAACCTCCAATCAAGCAGCTGAGTGCAAGTGGTCTAATATTAGCCTGTAAGCACCATAATAATCAACTCACTGACGTCTACTAGGTCTAGCATAAGGTTCTTCCCAGATTAGTTGAAAGGACACTTGAACATCTAATGGGTTCAGAATGTACTAAAACAAATGGGTCTAAACTTCCATTAATAAATGTAAAGTGGAGATTAACAGAAGACTTATAATCAGAGATGGAAAATTCTGGACAGTCTCACTTAGAACAGTAAGGGATTAAAATGAGAACTGAATAAATGTGAAAGGTTTTAAAGTGGAAAGTTAATTTGTTCCATAATTAGTCGAGCTGGGACCAGGAATTAATTGGAGCCATGACAAGGTCTAAACACCGAATAGCTAGATATTTTTTAATCTACCTACATTGTATTTTCAGTTTCTCAGCATTCAATCACACTTCAGTGTAAACAAAAAACAGAACCCATGTGGCTCTATGCAGATGGGAACAAGTGGGATACTCTGGCTATGTACACATTAGGAGCTGAAAATGCAGCGAGGTTGTTCTCACCCACACCAGTTGCATTTCAAGTCACACGTGGACATTGTTGTACACACTAGAGAGGAAGTGGGGGTGCTTTCATCACCAAAAGTACATTCCCTGTTCAGTTTTCCTGCCCCTGCAACCCCACCAAAACTCTCATTCACCTATGCATGCACTGTTATCTGTACATGTGCAGTGGCTGTCTCAAACATAGACCCACAGCTCAACTGTGAAGTGACTGTGGCTTAAGATTTTCTTTTGGTTTGAAACATCAAGCAGAAGTATTTCTCAATAAACTACAGAATAGCTACGCATCATGGCTGATGTTGTGCATAAAATGGTAAAGGTAAAGGTACCCCTGCCCGTACAGGCCAGTCGTGTCCGACTCTAGGGTTGCGTGCTCATCTCGCTCTAGAGGCCGTGAGCCGGCGCCGTCCGAAGACACTTCCAGGTCATGTGGCCAGCATGACGAAGCTGCAGCTGGCGAGCCAGCACCAGCGCAGCACACGGAAACGCCGTTTACCTTCCTGCTATAAAGCGGTACCTATTTATCTACTTGCACTTAAGAGTGCTTTTGAACTGCTAGGTGGGCAGGAGCGGGGACCGAACGACGGGAGCTCACCCCGCCGTGGGGATTCGAACCGCCGACCATACGATCGGCAAGTCCTAGGCACTGAGGTTTTACCCACAGCGCCACCTGCCACCCGCATATGATGTTGTATTATGTTGTGCATACAAGGATTCAAAAATCAGTGATGATAACACACTAGAGCCAGAGTTGAAGTTACTATGTACACAGCCTCCATGGCATAGCCCCCACATCGGTGATGTCCTCAAGTGCTCTCATTTCCATTCTCTGATCAAAATTTGCTATTCACTCATACAGGAAAAAGTAAAGGGGACACTGTTGTGGTAAGGGCAAAAGCTAGGCTCCACAAGCTTATCTCCATCCACGACACTGAGTGGCCTGCTCTACAATGACATGGATCCAGCAAGGAGTGCAATGTGTCTTTGTGCAGAGTTGACATGGTCAGGATCCCATTGAGCACATGAATCCTCCTCCTAGAAATACCACACCCACCAGTAATATATTGCAAGTATATTACACGAGTTTCTAATTTTCCATCCCACTCTCCCAGATTCCACTACACCAAGAAATGGAACCTATGGGAAGGCAATGCAACTAGAGATTGGTTTGGTTCTCAGAGTTTCCCATTTAAAACATGGGACACAAGAAATGGGTTTCAATCAGTGAGACACAAGGGGAGAGGATGTGTTCACATCCCCAGACATTAGGGTCATGAAAGGACAAGTTACCAGACAATGTTGCCTTTAGGTTTCCCTTTTACTTTCTTCCATGTAAGTGAATGACTGCTATCAACTCCTACAGGCATTATGCGGAAAACTCAATACGAAAGCCACGTGGCATGTTCAACTTCTGAAAAGCGTTCGAAAACTGAAGCAGTTACTTCTGGGTTTTCAGCGTTCAAAAACTGAAACGTTCAACTTCCGAGACATTCAAAAACCGAGGTACTACTGTACTGTAAATAGTAGGTACAGGGGATTCAACCCAGATTGGGCCCCTGACTCCTGATTTGGATCTCTCCCACACACCTGACTTAGGATGGTCATGTATCCTCTGTTTAAAGGAGTCCTTTATTTGAAGGAAAGTCCAAACCAAGTTTGATTTAAACATAAAGAACCCTAAGAAGAGAAGGAGGGGCCTTGGAGTTGCCCATCAACTGTTACCAGATGGATAGCACAGTGAGCAAGTGTCCAGGTCATCTGGTTACAGCCTTCCCTGCTATATTTAAATTATAGAAATTTATTCTATAATTCATTTTTCAGGTTGTGACCTGGAAAAAAAAATCTATCCTTGTTCTTTATGTTTGTATCAGCAGGAGCAGTCAACTGCTCCTTGCTGATAGACATATGCTGCCAGTCTTCTCAATAGGATTCCCACGCAGCCAGAGCCAGCCAAATGAAAATGCATTGCTCAGCACCAGTTGGTAAACATTGCACGCAATATTTCTGAAAAGCAGCCATAAAGAGGAAGTTTTATTTAAAAAGAGTGAGACATAATGGATGCACAAAAACAGGTATGACGCATGTCTGGATAAGGGCAAGGAGTCATGTTTCCCTGCTAGGAAATGTGCTTAGCTTTTAAGACACTGTTTATAAATAACAACCTTGAGAAGTTCTAATACATAAGGATGCCTTCATTTTGTTTGGCTGCCTAACTTTTTGTTTGATGCATCCAATTTTTAAAAAAATTAAATCTAAGGTCATTAAAAAGTACAGGAAAGGGATGATATAAATTATCTGTCTTGACTGCCTTACAATAAAAGTCAGCAAACAAAGGTCAGATGCAGTAAGCTTTGATAATCACACTCTTCATGAGTTTCCTTACAGTTCATTATTTTTAACATACCACTTCACAGGTTATGAAATCAAAATGAACTGTTACTCAGCAAGAGTGAATTGGTACTTGTCCTATATAATCTTGTTGTGTTCTCTGAGAATCTCCTCTACTTTAAGGTCTTTAGGTGCATCATTTGAAATGTCAACTGACTGCGAAGGACTGACATTATCTGACTGTTCCAGTTTTCTTGGTGCATTATACTTATTTAAGTATAGTCAAGCATGCTAGAAGCCTTTGCTAGGTGATGCTCTCTCCATCAAAATATGATAGAGAGGGAGAAAGATAGAGAGTATCATGTCTTGCATTGGGCCAAACATTTTACTAGAGCAAACAACAATCTTAGAAGCTTCTAGAAAGGTAATTTATTTATTTGTTTTGTAAAATTTATGAATCACTTAAGGAAAAAAACCTCCAGCTTATTACCCAAATAAACAATGCTTGAAAACAATGAAAAGCTTATTAACATAACCTATCAATACTGTCAAATAAGAAAAAAACAATAAATATCCCTTTGTCAGTACTTCAGTGAAATAATCCAGACTATACACAACAGGGCAAAATCAAAATTAAGGGGCCAAAAATAGAAATAAAAATAAAGTTCAGCCACACTACTAGTGCCAGTCTTGCTAAACTCCAAAGCCACATCAGCCTGGCTAACTCAGAGGAGGTGAGGCCTTCTCACCAGACTGAACAATTCACAAGGTGGTCATGCTTGCATCAGTCTTCAGCCCATACACAGCTCATTGTACCCGACATTTGCCATATGGACAGGCAAGGGACCATGTAGGCTGTGCATGGAAAATGATTTTAATAACTTTTTCCCTCCATTTGAACCTCTGGTAAAAATATTTAAATTTAAAATGCAGGTACATTGGGTATTAAAAGAGGTTTGTGGGTGTTCCAAATGGGTCAAGTAAACTGTTCCACAACCAGAGAAAAATGTAGAAGGCTGCCTCCTGTTTACAGAAGATGAATGTTTGTTACTGCAAGTTTATTCTGGATGCAGACACATTTTTTACCATCTAGGCTTAGTGCAGTGGGGAAGTGATCCAAATACTGTACTCTGACTTCTACGAAATATGAGAAGCAGGGAGGATGTTGTTCAGTGCCTCTGCCGCTAGAAATGACCTTTCCCCCACTAAACTTGAGCCGTGGAGGCAATGCAAAGTATCTCAGTGCTGCCACACACCGAATGGAAAGTCTTTGTTCACAGCTCCGTGAACTTTCCCCTACTAAACTTCACATTGAGATAAAATGTCTTCCGCATCCAGCAAGCTGACAAAGCTGTTTAATTGTGCATTATAGGTTATCAATAGGGGAAAGCTGGATTAACAGCCAACAGCTCTAGTTGTTCTTTTCATTTCACTGTATTTTAAAGTCTGTATAGAATATTTTGCAGGGAGGTGAGGGTTACTGAACAGCTTCATGGCTTGGAAAAATTAAATATGTAACTCCTGTTGGAATGTTCTGAGGGCAAAATGGCTATGATCAAAGTCAGCAAAACAGGATTAGCAAATCTACAGATTCTTTCTTTCTTTATGATTCCTTTCCAAGTTTTGATTGACCATTACAAGGAAGGACATTTCTGAAAAACAACTCCAACCCTGTTGCCACCCCGATGTTTATACCCATTTGCAGAACAGCAGCCCATACCCTGCAGGCAGATTGAATAAACTTTAACCAAGCTAATCCAAACAGCTTTCTCTGCCAATATAATCATGTCAAAAAAAGCAGCTAATGTTAACCTATTTTTAAATTTTAATGGTTTGTTAAATCTCTTGATTAAGGCTGCAATCCTTTGCCCATGTAAATTCAATGGGACTTGATTCTGAGCAGATAGGTATAGGATTGCACTGCTACAGCATGTTTACCTATTAAGCTCAATGGGATTTAGTGCCAGGTGGGTATAGGATTTCAGCCTTAGTGACTTTTGTTTTTGTCAACACTGCTGCTAGGGAGACAGAGCTTCAACAGCTGTCTGAGGATTCAAAAGGGGGAGAGTAAATTCAGAAAATGTTAGGAGTCAGTGGAAAAACAAGCACAGCGAAACAAATAGGTCTAGCAATATAAGGCTGGTTAGTGATAAAGCCAGCAGAGAACTCTGAGAAAAAATGCCATTATGGCAACCCTTGCCCATGCGTTTAATAAGCATGCAGTTTTATTAAGTTCAACCACTTGCCTTTTGAACTTACACCTATTTTCTAAGAACACAGCTTAATGGTACTTAAGCCCTTATGTTCTTCCAGCTGCCCCTATTTACCAGGACCACTGAGCCACCCGCGTCCCTATAATCGCCTTTGCCTGGACTTAACTGTCCAGGGGTCATTTACCTTTACAGTACCTTTTATTTACCAATAACATTTCTCATTTCTTGACTTTAATCAATCACTGACACTTCTTTCCCCTTTTGTGAATGCCTTGTTAAAAATTCTGCGAGTGTGAACGTCTCAGGTTGTCATTCTGCAGTGTTCATCTTCTTTTCCAAGCTCTCTATAAAATATTGTTTCTTGTGCATTGTAAATGAATGCAGCACACAGCTCACAAGAAGAGGCTGTAGCCTTATGTAACAGGGGTAGGGAACTGACTTGCTTGATGATTCTTACTATGGGAAAGTACAGTTATCCTGTATGCCCTTATTTTTATCTGTGGGTGCTTACAGATGGGTGATTATTGTGGGATGTGTGCTAATTGTGCAGGAAGTACACACAACACCATTGGCATGAAAATGCCAGTCCATATTTTCCCCCAATTTAATTCCATTTACTATTTCAAAGAAAAATCTGGAAAGTTAAAAGAACCTGTTGCCACCAACCTGTTTTGTATATCTAAATGACCCATTTACAATATTAAGCTGCCATCTTGGGCAGCCTGTGTAATATTTGGTGAGCATATATGTAAATCAGCAAGCAAGTGTTCTTAGGACTGCAGCTGTAATACCAAAGCTTGCATTACACTTGGCCTTTATTCACAAATTAATTTGATTAGGAGCTCAGGCAGAGGGCCTTCTTGGTAGTGGTGCCTGCCCTGTGGAACGCCCTCCCAGCAGATGTCAAGGCAATAAGCAACTATTTTACTTTTAAAAGAGAACTGAAGGCGGCCCTGTTTAGGGAAGTTTTTAATGTTTGATGCTTTATTGTTTTTCATATTCGGTTGGAAGCCGCCCAGAGTGGCCGGGGAAACCCAGCCAGATGGGCGGGGTATAAATAATAAATTATTATTATTATTATTATTATTATTATTATTATTATTATTATTCCTTGCTGAAAGGATCAGCTCCTTTAGTAATTGGCTTACTGGTGTGTTCTATGATTTTTCTTTGCCTTTATTCAGAGGGAATTCAGTGCTTGATATACAGTATATTATATGTACAAATATCTCAGGTGGTACTAGGGCCTGGAAAAACTCCAGTTTTTCTGCTGACTTTTGGGCATCAGGATGGGAGTATTTTGAACCTCATGCAGGGGAGGGTTGCCCTCTGCAAGGAAGCAGAGCAAAACAAAAAAACCCAACCCCAATGGCCTTGCAGAGAAGAGGCATTAGCATTCAGACTAGCTGGATACATAAAGAAAGGATAGGGAAACCAGTATGAGGGGTGGGACCTTGAGAAATACAGCTAGAATTGGAGCAACTTCCACCTCATCATCAAACTGATTCTTCACAAGTCTACACAGCAGGTTCACTTTCTGAACACCACTGTGCAACTATTCAATTGGCATATAAACACTGTCTTATTATGCCAGATACCAACAAACTACTATATTTACCATGAAGAGCGTATCACATGATCTATTGTCAACTAAACATCAAACGTAGCCACATTTTCTGCAGACCTTCAGACAAGGACAAACTCCTATAGGATTTACACCAGCCACTTAAAACTGCAATGTTCACCTGGGAGAGTGAAGAAACAGATTAAGAAGTCAAAGTAGGTAACCATGACTGACCTACTAAAGGACATGTCTAGAGAGAAACCAAACTACTGGCTGCCACCCAAAGTTCCCAGCTAAAGCTTCTCCAGCATGCCATTCAGGATACATAGCCTATCCTGGAATACAATCCATTAAGCCTTTGCACCCGCAGGTGCTGGGTTGGCAACCCCTGGCTTACAGGATTGTGGTGCAGGTCTGCAAAACCTCTTCACTCCATGATATAAATCAGGGGTTGCTGACCAGTTTTATGCCCACTGGCACACTTGGATTTTTGAGGAAGTGCTGTGTGTGCTAGTTCAATGGTCACTTCTTACCCCTCTCCCTCATACTATCCCACAAAGATACAAGAAGTGATAAAGCACATGCGCACACACATATTGCTTTTGCAAGAGAACAGCAGAATTAATACTGAAAAGGACATAGAGCTGAAAGAGGAAGTGGAAAAGAGTGATTGTTTTACATGTGCTTTTCAAGAGAGAAAAAAGGAAGATAAGGAAACAACGATGCAAACTACCTCTTCCAAGTATATTTTACGCTAATGTGAGATCATTGGCAAATAAACTTGACGAATGGAGGCTTCGTGTAGGAGTGGAGGAAGACATCCGGGATTGTTGTGTGCTGATACTCACAGAGACATGGTTAAATTCAGCTATTCCAGACACAGCTGTTGAATTACAAGGTTTTACAACGTACCGGTGGGACAGGACACAGGATTCTGGCAAGAAACAAGGTGGGGTGTGTGTATTTTTGTAAATCAAAACTGGTGCACGGACTCTGTCAAGTTGGATACCTACTGTTCTCCGGATGTGGAATTTCTGACAATTAAATGCAGACCTTTCTATCTTCCCCGGGAATTTACAACAGTGGTGTTAACAGCGGTGTACATAGCACCAACTGCAAATACATGCAGGGCCATGAGCAGTATGCATGAAAACATCAATGCTAAATTGAGCAGATACCCGGAGGCTGTGCACATTATTGCGGGGGACTTCAATCACACAGATGTGAGGGCAGTACTCCCAAAATTCCATCAGCACATTGAGTGTGCAACAAGGGGAGAAAATACTCTTGACAAGGTGTATACGAACATTAGACGGGCATATGAGGTCAAGACCTTGGCGCACCTCGGTGGTTCAGATCATGTGTCCCTGCTTCTGACACTGACCACTTAACTGCTCTCTTCTCCATCAGCTTGGGAGCTTTTTCTGAGATGCTTGCGGAGTATGATAGCATCCTTTGTCGTCTGAGCATCTTTATCAAGGTGCTAACAGATCTGCCTGTCTTTGATCAGTTGTGCTTCAAGGGAAGCTCACCAGTCCTCTGATTCTTAATATTTTCCAGCCCAGATAGATGTTAACCAAAGGATCTAACAATAGTCATCTCCTTGCGGGGGCAAGGAAGCATAGGAGAATCAGATGCATCACAAGAGCATCTTGGATGGGATGGCTTTCAAAGACGGCTAGACAATTGCATGGAGGAGAGGCCTATCAAAGGCAACTAGCTGTGATGGCTATGCTCAGCCTCCCCTGTTGGGAGGGAGTAATGCTTCTGAAAAGCACTTGCTGGAAGCCACAGACTCCCCAAATGTGTTTCTCAAGGACCCCTTCCTTCCCTCTGCCCCAGTACCCCTCTGCCCCAGTCGTTACGTCACTCCAGGGATTTGGCCAGAACAAAGTATATGTTGGGGAAAGTCTCCCTCCCTGCAAAGAAAATGGAGGAATGAGCAGGCACCTGGCTCCCAGCCATGCTAGCTCCAGTCTGGCGCATGAGGGTGGGGGACACGGGAAGGAAGCATTCCTATAGTATAGGGCACTCAACTGGCATTTCTACCTACCTGAACTCTGAGCCTTCCCCCCCTTGTTCTGGCCTGCCTCTCTTCTAAGGAAGATGCAAGCTCTTGCTGGAAGCCACTGGTGGGGAGAGTCTTCCTATGATTCCCAAATGTTTCAGAAGCATCTTTTTGTTCCTTTAGCTGCTTGATATAATCAGAGCATGGCAAAGTTGGAAGGGATCCCAAGGGTCATCTAGTACAACCCCCGGCAATGCAAGGATCCTGCCCACAGCCAGCCCTGGCTGGGCTCCAAACTCCAGGCTTCTGGTTACCATTGTAATTCTGCATGGTGTGGAGAAAGGGGAGAGAGAAATCTGTTGCTTACACTCTCATAACACTGATATGAGATCCACACCATGCAGTCCTTTCAATAACTAAAGTCTAAAGGGCTGTCACATGGAGGATGGAGCAAGCTTGCTTTCTCCTGCTCTAGAAGCCCTTAGGGCCTGAAGCAGTAACTCTCCTTCCTTGGAGGTTTTTAAGCAGCGCTTGGATGGCCATCGGTCATGGATCATCTAGTTGAGATTCCTGCATTGCAGGGGTTGGACTAGATGACCCTCATGGTCCCTTCCAACTCTACAATTCTATGATGCTATATTTTAAAGAGCATCCAATGCACCTTTAAAGCACATGACTTCCCCCGAAATGATTCATGCCATTGTGGCTTCCCTTTCACAGACCTACAATCCCCAGAACCCCTAACAAACTACAATTCCCAGGATCATTTGGGGGAAGACATTTGGTTTTTAGAACAGGGATAAAGAACTTGCAGTTTGCTCACCCCCATTTCCTAGGAACCAGGAATGGAAAGCTCAACTGCTTCTAACAGTATGATTATAGGGAGCATCATGTATAAAATATTGAATGTAATAGGGTTATTAAGGTAATTGTATCAGAATTATTATGGGAATGTCAAGGAGGGAGGGGGAAAGGGAGAGTGTGGAATTCTGGTGGTGAGTGAGGATTGGATGAGGATTTGAAAGGGAGTTTGAATGTGAGGCAGTTGAGAGTCAGTTGAGAGCAGTGGGTTCTGGAAGGGGTGGTTGAGCAACTAACTATTCATTTTAGGATCAGTAGTCTAGTCGTCATTTTTGTAATAAAGCAGCATATAAGATAAAGAGAATTTGAGGCCATAAGCTCAGGTATACACACCATCCTACAATCATTTAGTGAATCATCCATACAGTCTCCTTTAGTGAGGGTGCAGTACCTAGGATCTAGACCAAACATTGATATTTTTTGCTCTTTTCTAGTTTCATAGGTTTATGTTCTGGTTCTTATATGTAATAGGGGTGGGGGCTCTTTAAATACTGGGGGCTGCCACACACTCCTTTTCTTCTTTAAAAAAATAATAACTTCCCCTTGTTTTCAAAAGCACATGCACTGTCTCTTCAGGTTCTTCAGTTACATTTGTTGTTAGACATTGGTGTTATATGCAGTACTGTATAGGGTTGGGAAGAAAAGAGTGGCCACCCCGCATAATCAACACAGTGCACACACACCATTTGAATGGAAATGCCCATCTACTTTATGAAGCCCCCACAGCCCCTAGAAGTTGGCTCCTATGGCACTTATGGAATGAGAGTTCAAATCCCCACTCACTCATTAAGCTCACTGGGCAACCTTGAGCCAGTCACCGTCTCTTAGCCTAACCTACCTCACAGGGTTGTTGCTGGATAAAACAGGGAAGGGAGGAACCACGTGTGGCCTCTCCTTGCACATCATGGAGAAATGCTGGTATATAAAAGTAAAAAAATAAAAAAGGAATGACGCTACCCTTTGGGGGGGGGAACCCCACCTCCATGGTTTGAACGCTGCCTAATTCCACGTTTACCATTCTTTTAAAAGCCTCACTTTCCCAGTGCTTCTTGAACACCAACTCCCCTCAAAAGAATGTGAAGATATTGCAATCATGCTATCGTGACAACTAACCGATTGCAGCGCCAGAAAACAACCCCCTTCCAGCCTCAAGTCCGTGAAACCATTGGAAGGAGCACATCTTGATTTGTGTGCTAAAACGGGATGGTTTATATTTAGGATGTTTTGCTAGGGTGGGGGAGGATAATTTTTCAGAAGGGCACTTCTTCTCTTTTCAGGGAGCGAGCACATTTCTCTCACAATGTGCAGCCGCCGCCACACGCTCCCCCACAATTTACATATAAGCTAAACAAGCTATAGCTTAGGGCCCCACTCTCTTGGGGCCCCCAAAAAAAATTAAAGGGGGAAAAACTGGGTGTACATTTCCAAATATAAGATAAAAAACAAGTAAAATAAAACCTACATACAGCAACAGCGTTTTGTGTTGTGTAGGCTCCTGGGATGTAAGCAATGGGCCCCGCCTGCTAGCCTGCTCCCTAAAATATCACTGGTTTGCTCATTTCTATATATAGGGTGCCGGCATTCTGCATGTGCAAATGGCTTTAGATACCTGTTAGGTCCATCAATTACCATAAAGCATATACAGTATTCAGCACAAAAAACAGCGACAAATTGTTGAGAAAGGACAGCTGGACATATAAAGGGCCCCATTACCTTCAGTAGCTTAAGGCCTCATCAAACCTAAATCCGGCCCTGCCCCCACCCCCTCGGCCTCGTTTCCCGTCCCTTGAAGCGCCCCCGCGCCGGGTGTTCTCCTGCTTCTTGGAAAAACCGGCACATCCCGCCTCCTCCCTCAGGAATCGGGCCGAGCTGTTTATCGCCCGAGGCCCGCCCGAAGTCAAAGCGCCCACAGTACGGATACAGCCTTCCCATTGGCCCTTTCTGGTAAAACGACCCGCCAATGACGAGCGGGTCTGGCCGCGCTCCATTCTCTCTTCTCCCCCCGCCCTCCCAACTCCAACGGCTCAGTCTCGCGCCGGTCATTTGACGGTTTCTCCAACGGCAGGAGGGGGGCGGGGGGGAGAGAACTAAGGCTCGGGACTTGGACGAGGGAGGATGACACCGTGTCCTTCCATCCCCCAACCGCGTAAACAAGGGCAAGTGGGTCGAGAGAGAGAAAGACACACCCACTTTCCCTGTGCCGCCTCCTCCGCCGCGCCCCTCTCCCTTTCCTCCCACAGCAGCCGAGCCTTCTAAGCGGCGAAGGGCTAAAGGTCGCCACACACGCACGCGAGATACCTGGAAAGGGGGGAGGTGGCTGTGGGAAGAGCCAGCTCGGGGCAGTTAGCCTCCGGAGAGGGGGCGTGGCTTGGCGCTCGCGCTCCGGACACGCCCCCCGGGGGGAGGGGTCGAAGTGGTAAATAAGGGGCCGCACGTGCAGGGCGCGAGGCGAAAGGGTTCGAGCGGAGGAACCGCGCAGAAACACATACACTCCAGCCGTTGCTCACGGTCATCGTTTCGCTGCTGCTTCCGCCGCGGAGCCATGAAGGCCGCTCGCATCGCGATTCGCAGCGCGGCCCCCTTGGCGGGCGGGGAGCGGGCGCCCCGAGAGGTGGAGCATTTTGCCCGCTACTCTCCGTCGCCGCTGTCCATCAAGCAGTTCCTGGATTTCGGTGAGGGCAGTTGCGGTGCGATCGACGCGTGTGGGAGAGTGGGGGCGGCACGGGGTGGCCGCTGTGGGGCAATGCCAGAGCAAAAGGGTGGGGGGGGGGTTGAGGTGGTCGCTGGTGATGGGAGATGGCCTTTTGGGACACCGCCTAGTAGGGTCCTGCTTGAGATGACTGTGTGTGTGTGTATAAGAGGTGCAGTTTAGTGTGGAGAGGCCATAAGGCTTAATAGTCTTATGGACCCCCTCCCCCATAGATCAGCCTGGTATCCCCCAGATGCTGTTGGACTGCCAGCCCCAGACAACACAGCCAGACAACATCTGGAGGGGCGCCAGGTTGGCAAAAGCTGCTACAGATAGCAAAGTCTATGACTGCACTCACTTCAAGTTGTGGGAAGTCAGTCCTGTTGCATTAGGGGGCTCATTCTGTTAAGTGGGGGATACCCCTGGTCCTCTGTCCTTGTATTCATGGGTTGGGCTTCCAAAGCAGTGTAAGCTGAGGCCAGGGGGGAAAGGTGGGTGAAAACGATTTTGCTTTGGGGTGTGTGTGTCTGGATAATGCTCCCAAGAGGGATGGGGTGGGTGTGGAATGTTATCTCCATCTTTTCTTACTGGCTTGCATTCAAGCAAATTGCACTGGAGTAGCTATGTGCATCTATCACAGCAAAACCAAAAGCAAACAAGTCTAGGCTACCTTAAAGTGCTTAATCAAGTTCTTTGTTACATCAGCTTCTGTGGACTGGAGTCTGGTTCATCAAGTGAATTCATCTGATGCAATCCACACATTTGATGCTATGGGATCTAGTCCAAAGGAGTTTATGCCACGATCTCTTAGGCTGCAACCTTATGTACACTTCTCTGGGAGTGAGCACTATTGACAGGGCCAGCCCAAGACATTTTAGGACCTGAGCCAAACCACAAAATGGTGACCTCTCTCTTCACCAGAGAGGAAGGGGTGAGTGAAGATCTGTATCAGGTGCAAGGGGAGAATAAAGATCTACACTGAGATCTGTTGTCCCTCTGGATTATGCTGCCCAAGGTGGTTTCCTCACCTTGGTGGGCCAGCCCTGACTATTAACCTTGTTTCTGAGTAAACTTGCACTACAAATCTTTAAGGATCCCCAAAACTCCCTTTGGTTTATTCATCTTTTGCCCTTGTACTCCAGCTGAAGTTTTCATTTGTTGTTAGCATATCTTAGGACTGCACAGAGCTCCATGGAACTGTCCACCTGTTGAGCATATAGATTTTTTCATCTTTTTTTCTCTGTGGTTTTGGTATGCAACAATTTTGTTATGCAACAATTTTGGTTCTATTAGAAAGCAAATGTGCAGGGAGAGTTTTGCAGGAAATTACTATAGTTTACAGGAATTCTCAATTCTCAAGTTAAAAAAATAACATTGTATGCTCTTTCCCTTCATATGGTACTTATTAAATCTATTATGCAATCAAATGTGAAGCATTTGGAAATAGTTCACCTAAGTAAACATTTGTCTACATGCCTGTGTTTCTAAACTATATTTTTCTTAGTCACTGAAATTGGTTCTATACTTTTTAATGTTAGCTTTTAAAATCTATAAAGAAGCAGTTTTACCTTTTTTTAAAAATGGCAGCTTTTCAAGGGTGCTTTCTCGGAATCTTCATAGTTGTTTACTCTATTCTCATTGGCTCAAGTTGCTTCACATGTTCTATTACAAATGCTAGAAAAAAATGGTAATAACTTCAAGTCACAAAGTATGAAAATAGGATTTTGTCCTCTAGTTCTGATTAATTGGATAAGTAATTTTCAGCATTGCTCAGTTTATTACTTTTAGCCTGGCCACCCATAGTAGGCTTTGTTAGTTTATTATTGCTGACACTGTATTCAGTCATTCTTCAGCCATCAGTGTCTGTTGTGTGATAGAAAAGGCTGTTTTTCATTTAGTAGATACAGTTTAAAACTTTACAACTTATAAGCAGAAAAAAATATTAATCACTCAGCTGCTAGATATATAAATACACATGCCAGTGTGTTAGGTGTGGTCTGCTACTTGCAGCTAAAAGGAATTATTTAAAGCAGTAGTAATTTTGCCAAAGCTTTCTATACATGCTTGTGGTTTCACCAGATCTCTGTTGTGGCTGGTTAGCAATGATTGGCTTTTGTTCGTCTCTATTTTCTGTGAGGGCCCACAATTTTTACTTGTAGAAAAGCCAAAGGCATTTTAAAATTACATACTCTTAATGTTAAGTAGTACTGTACTTGTTGAACTTAAAATAAAGCATTGTGAAATTTATATGCATTTGTGGGGGTTTGTTTGTTAATATCTCAAGAGACAGATAGTGTTCATCATTCTTCTGAGCACTTGGTGGAACACAGCTGGGATGTGGCCTAGTCCACTTTTCCCAAGTCTGGTCCTGTGCACGTTTACTCAGAACTAAGTCCTACCAAGTTCAGTGCAATTTACTGTCAAGGAAGTGCACATATGATTGCAGCTTAGACCTTTTTCTTAATCCTTACCAAGAAATTGTAACTACATATAATATGGCTTAAATCAATAATAGTTTATAGCTGATTTTATCTGTGGTAAGTCATATCATAGCTCTGTTCCCTAAGAGCACATTGGTATTGGGGAAATGTGTGACAAGCAGAAGACACCTGATGATTTTCAGAGATTACTTTGTATTTACTGCTGCCATTGTGCAAAACATCCTTTAGTTCTAATAACTAGCAGTCGCTACACGATCTTGCACTTGTAGCTGAGCTACTTGATTGTATAACATAAAGTTGACATATGATATCTTGAAGCTATTCCTTATGGTGCTTATATGGAAAACAACTTAAACGAGCTGGCTTTTGTTTTTCAGGGTCAACTAATGCATGCGAGAAAACATCTTTTTCTTTTCTTCGGCATGAACTTCCTGTGAGGCTAGCAAATATCCTAAAAGAAATCGACTTCCTCCCTAGCCGACTGTTAAGCACTCCTTCAGTACAGTTGGTAAAAAGTTGGTAAGTAGCAAAACGTACGTAACACATTTTACTACGTTCAACTTAATCCTGCTTTTGTATTTTAAATTTCAGAAAGCTTCATATTTACTTTGCAACAGTAACAAGAACCTTTACAGTGGTACCTTGAGTTACAAACACTTTAGGTTACAAACTCCGCTAACCTGGAAGAGTTACCTCGAGTTGAGAACTGTGCCCCAGAATGAGAACGGAAATCGTGTTCCAGCGGCAGCAAGAGTCCCCATTAGCGAAAGCACGCCTCTAGTTAGGAACAATTTCAGGTTAAGAACGGATCTCCGGAACGAATTAAGTTCGTCACTAGAGGTACCACTGCATTTGAAGCTTGACAGGTTGCTAGTAAAATGCAGGTCATTATATCAAGGCCATAGCATAGAAAAGCACGTGCTGGACGCACAACTATGGCATCCTCTGTAGTCATTTTATAGCTGCCGTGGCTGCTTGTTAAATGTGAACTAAGATGCTGTGAAACCTCACATAATTGTCTTCTGCCCATGTAGTGTTATCATAATGATGACATTCTGCACAATCAAGATAAAGGAACTGCGTTTTAACAGCTGCTGTGTTTGTGCACAGATTTGGTGGCATTGTTTGCGTCCTTGGTATGTGCAATGCTGTATACCAACTGATACCACACACATTTTAAAAAAAACATATAATAGTGAGCTGGAGATAGCTTAGGAGGCATGCATACAAACATTGAGGCAGGCACATAGGAATTTAAAATATATTTTTCTACTCCTAAACTTAACTGAAGTCCTAGTAGTCTGTTTGCTCATAGTTTGCCTTCTACTTGAGGTCACCGAGTTACTGAATTGCTAAAGCAATCTTATCTCTCCAGTCAACTTTCCCTGGCCTGTATGAATAATTCATGGTTTACTTTGTATATTAACAGGTATGTTGAAAGCCTAATGGAGCTAGTGGAGTTCCGTGACAAAAAATCAGATGACCACAAAGTTCTATCAAAGTAAGTTCTTATGAGTTGTGTTGTTAGTAGCTTTACTTGCTTCACAGCTGACTTGATGGGTTGCTCACCTAACTAAGCATGAACATTATTCAGTTCAGAATACAGAGACTACTGATCATATGATAATGATCAAAAGCTTTTAACAGTATAGCTAACTGACACCTGATACTGCAAAAAATGGCACATTGAAATAAAATAAGTCAGCAATAAATTATAAACTGTCAAGGTAACATTAAGATGCTTCAATTATCTTGACAGAATGAATGGTGAAAAAAATAACTTATTTCAGTTTTGCTTTGCTGCCTTCGTCAGATAGGCCAAGTCTAAAGTTATCTCCCCCCTTCCCAGTTTCATAGATGCCATTGTCAAAGTCCGAAATCGGCACCATGATGTAGTGCCCACAATGGCACAAGGGGTTCTAGAATACAGAGATTCTTCCAAGATGGACCCATTCATCAATCAAAACATCCAGTACTTCTTGGATCGCTTTTACATGAACCGGATATCTATTCGAATGTTAATAAACCAGCACAGTAAGTTGTTTTTCCATCCCTTTGACAAGTTGATTTTAATGTTTTTGTCAAACATTCTTAGAAATATTTGATGAACTGTGGATTTTATTAATCATTTATCTTTGCTGGTTGTAAAAAGAAAAATGACAAGTGTAAATGATATAAATTATTATGAGAGGGAGAACAAGGGTCAAAAGCAGAAAGTAGTTAGTTAATAAACAGTATAGCCAAAAAGCAATGAAATGTGTGTACATAACAACTCCAGTACTAAAACCTGGTAAAGTAGTACACACAAGGGGAAATGCATTGTGATACAGATGCCTCCAGACTAGAAAAATGTAAATGCCAAAGCACTTCACTGTAGTAGATAGAATAGCAGATAAAACCTAGTTCAGCAATGAAGCTCACTAGATGGCCTTCAGCAAATCACTGACCCTTGGCCCATCATCCCTTACAGAGCAGTTATAAATATAAAGTTGGATAGTCCCTTCTATGTCGCCATGAGCTCTTGTGGGAAGGAGAGATAAGACAGGGCTGCCATACGTCCGGATTGTCCCCGACATTACAGGGTTTTAAAAGGTGGAATTGAAGTTCGGGAGGAATTTCCAAAAGGTGGCACTTTGTCCTTTTTATTATTGCTAAAAATCATCCTTTAGATAGCTGTAATGAATTATGTTGAGCAACCTGGAAAAAAATTGACCATTTTGTCTTTTAATTCAACAGCGCTTATTTTTGATAACAATAACAATGTGGGTAATCCAAAGCACATTGGATGCATTGACCCTTGCTGTGACGTTGTGGATTTGGTGCATGGTACGTATATGAAATTGTCAGCATCCCCTGGTGGCTTCAGCTATGTGTAGAGAATATGTCCTTTTCTTAGGTGCATTACCAGTTTAAGAGAGTGAAATAATTGTCAGTCTTTCATGAGTATCCTGGCTTCACATCTAAGTGCAGAATATTTTGGGGAAGGACTGTAGCATTTCCCTTGCGTGCAGAAGGCCCCATGTGCCTTCTCATGTGTCTTCAGGTGGGGCTGGGAAAAGATTCTTCCTAAAACCCTGGAGAGCCTCTGCCAGTCAAGAGTCAACTGTGCTTAGGAAGGTGGAAGAGTCGATTGCACTATGGTGTAAGACAACTCCATATGTTCATGTGTATACCTACCTGCATATTCTGACCATCATGAGACAGGGATCCTGGCAAGTTGCACACTTTTACATTCAGTAGTGAGTGAATGAAGGGTGGAATGCCTGTTTTTAACGGGTCATCAGAATTTTCTCATGCAGTCAGGTGGCATTGCATTTCTGTTGGGTACAGTCCTATTCAGCCTGCTGCATGCAAGATCTGTTGATTTCCACGTGACAGACATGTGCAGTTAGAAGTCTTGGGTAATATTTAACTGATATTTCAGTGGCATTCTGTGCCTTAATGCTGACAGTTATAATTCAGCTTTCTGTATACAGAAGCCTTATTTCAATGCTAGAGAGCACAGCCTGGAGTAGTCTAGTATCTAGGATATGCCTAATGATGCATAAGAGTTTGTGTTAAATCGTGCTTCATTTTTTCTTATTAAAATGAATTCCAGATGCTTTCCAGAGTGCCCAGATGCTTTGTGACCAATACTATTTCGCTTCTCCAGACTTAAAGCTTACTCAAGTGAATGGTGAGTGCATTTTCCTCTTCTCCACCGTATCAGGGTAGCTCTTTGGTTTCTCCTCTTTAGAAGCTTTTTGCTCTTACTGCTGACCCACTTGTCTAGAATTGGAGGCTTACCATTTTCCCCCCTTGAGAAAGTGCTAAATTTGCACGGTTGCATTCATTCATATGATGCAATATGCCAGACCTGAATGAGCACATGGACATGTAATTCTGATAGGGTTGGTATCCGCATTTCCTTAAAAGAAATCAAAAGAAGAAATTAGCTTAGCTGCAAATCCACCATTATAATAGTTCAAGAATGTTTTTGCTCATGAAGGATGGATTGCAGGAAGTTTGTACTTCTTCAATACAATACAAACTTCTGCAAAACAAGAACATTCATAACTACAGTACTATAGAATAATAAAGGATAACAAATTTCAGGATGCAGTATTAAATGCACAGATCTTAAGTAAAAGCATTTATTGTGGACACACAATAACAATTGTTTGAAATTGAATAGCAGCTGTGTGCTGATTACTGTTTGTGCATCTTCCTGCAGGAAAGGCAGCTGGACAGCCTATCCACATAGTATATGTACCATCCCACCTCTTTCACATGCTGTTTGAACTTTTCAAGGTTTGTGTTTGCAATTATGAAACATTCATTTTTCGCCTCCATATTTATGTGTGCGTTAGCAGCAGCATTTGTTCAGCACTGTTTTTACTATTTTGCTTGATGCCTTGGACTCCTTTGGAAGTAAGAAGTGGAATAGAAATCTAATGATACTTTAGTATATTGACTGGAATTCAAAATGGCAAAAATTAGAGCAACTCAGATTGAATTAAGTCCTCCTGATTCTTCGTTTCTCCTAGAATGCAATGAGAGCAACAGTTGAACACCAGGAAAACAAACCTTCCCTTGATCCAGTTGAGGTGACCGTTGTACTTGGAAAGGAAGACCTGTCAATTAAGGTATCTTACAAGGCTTTTTTCCCAATACAATAGGTGCAACATATAATATAAACTTGCAAATGGGGCACTTCCAGACAACCTGTTTATTGAGCATTTTTCCTGATTTGTTTTTGAGGAGGTTAAATGATGTTGTATCACCAGCATTATCTCACTCTTCCCATGCATTTCCCTAGCACTTTCTGTATTGCCAGTATGTGACTGAATCCCACCCCAAAATAGTGACCGTCTGGAAGCATCCAGAGTCTCATAGGTTTAAAAAGATTTGGTGTGGAATAGATGGGTAGTGAATTGCAGCAAAATTACAACAAGCTGTCGCTAGCCAAATACTGTTTTGGACAATATTGATTTTTAAGGAAAAGATAAGCAAATTTGATACAGGATGATCCTTAAAGCAGAAATGATTTAGTGGCTTTAGTGATACTTTAACAAGGATTAGAAACATGCATTTAATACCTTTTGTGTGTGTTCTCAACTAGATATCTGATAGAGGGGGTGGTGTTCCAGTGAGAAAAATAGAAAGCCTCTTCAGCTACACATATTCTACAGCACCAAAACCTGTGATGGAAAAGAATTCTACTCCTCTGGTAAGAGATGAAGCTATAAGAATTAAGCTGTAAGATGAGAGCTGAGTCTTTGTAGCGGCCCTTGTTCTTGTCAAGGACTTGGATTCTGAGTTCATTGACAAAAACAATGCTTCCAGGTGTACACGTAAGCACGCCTGATATCTGTAGTGACTCAACCATGCTGATCACTTCCAATTCATAGAAACAGCCTTGTTCTGGTTGCACAAATTCAGACTCTGGATGGGGGTGCACATCAGGGTTTCTGTATTGGGAGGAGAGGAGTATTGTCTTAGCCCCCTCCTGTGGTTTGGTGTGTACAATTTATACGCAGGTTTACCTCTCCCAGACCTGATAGTGACCCAATACTTGGCATGTATTTCCACCTCTTCCCCTTTCTGTTCAGCATTACTAATTATGTAGACAAGCAACCACTGAGGAGCCTCCAAAACTAGGTCAGTAGTGTTGCATTATTTTAGATTGCCTTTGTTTATAATGCAAACTACGACTGCATTATACAGGAGAGAACTTGCTTTCCTCATATTTCTCCTGTGAAGAATCATTGTAGAGCACATCATTTTTCGTTGGGACTCCATACCAATAGGATCTGCACAGTGTGACACTTGTACAGTACTTAGCCTAGGAAAGAAGGACCCCATCGTTCCAATTAACAAAATGCCTCATTTCTTTCTAGGCTGGTTTTGGTTATGGCTTACCCATTTCTCGCCTGTATGCTAAATACTTCCATGGGGACCTCAATCTGTGTTCCATCTCTGGTTATGGAACAGATGCTCTCATCTACTTAAAGGTATGTTCTGCCCGTCCCCAATCCCAGTAATTTTGTAGTGCTGCAACTGTGCCTATCACCAGCTTATTTGAATCAGGTTTGTTTTTAATTTATTAGTAACGAGGTTTATTACTTTAAAGACAGTACTTTGTATCAATTGTACATTAGTCATCAGCGAGTCTTTGCAGAATATGCTCTTCAAAAGACTGCTGTTGCCTTTGTCTAAGTAGGTCATTGTAAATTATTTTATTATTGGGATTACAAGCCATCTTGGCTATTTTATAGAAATATGGAAGTATTACAATGTGATAAATTAAAAAATAATTGAAAGTATGTGCCAAAATGAGAGTTCTTAATAAATGTAGATTGGCCACCTTCACATTAAAAATAATCTGACTTTGCTTTTCCCACAAATACTGAGTTTAATCTCTCTCACTACTTGTCATTCCTGTATTATCAGTTAGTGTTCTATCTTTAAGATTGTTATAAGTGTGGTCCATCATAAACTTCAGTCTCAAAAGATTGGCAGAACAATCAAGTCTCAAACTTTGAATCAAACTTGTTCCAGGCTGTATGTTTGCTCATAACGAGGCTCAGTAAAAAAATCAGTTTACTACATTGATAGTAATGGTGTAATCTAACTATATTTGGTCTTGCTTTCCAGGCCCTTTCCACAGACTCTGTAGAGAAACTTCCTGTTTTCAACAAGTCTGTTTCGAAGCATTACCAAACCACTATAGAAGCAGATGATTGGTGTGTTCCAAGTAAAGAACCAAAGAATGTGTCAAGGCAGACTGCAGCTGCATGAAATCTGCAGTTCTCCAGAACACTGAAAGTGGATCAAACCAATGTTTCAGATAGGACTAATGAAACGAATAACTAGAAGTCATTTCTCTTCTATACCAGGATTTAGCAAGAGAAGAAATTATATGGAACACATGATTACAGCATAGACTGCATGTACTGTATTTGTACTACAGCATGTCTAATGATAATGGATATGTTAGGAGAATCAAAATGCATAGAAAGATGTGCACATCATTTCTTTTTAGCTTTTTGAAATTTAAATTAGCACTCCCAAGTACTAATGTTTTCAGACTTCTGAGGTGGGACTTGATAATATTCAAAAAACGTTATGTTGTGGTTGAACTCCAGTACACATCAATTTTCCCCTAATCCAGTCAGTAGGTATTTCATCCTATTACAAAATTATGACTTTAAGTATATTTGACATGCTCAGCCGACAAAGTCTAGTTGAAAGAGCACCGACAACAGGCTACCTTGACTGCAGTTGTTTGGCTTGATCAAGAGTGCAATGCTGAAAGTTGCATATTTCTAAACTTGCTCCAAATGGTGAACATTACTTGAATTTTTAAATGTAAAATAGCTGTATTTATGTATAGCGTTTTCATTGCTTTTCTAATGCTGAGATTTTGCTCTTCTTGGAGAAGAATCTTAAAGTGATGTCAAGGAAGTGACGGTTAGATATTGTGAAGATAAAAGTTTATTAGCTGTATCTTGGTGTATGGCTCACAGCTCAGTACAGTGAGGGAGCAGCAGTACAAATAGGGTATTTTAAAGATACTTAAATTGCAAGTCATTGAGCAGGATATGAAGCTGTTTGTGAGAGGGGAGATGGGTTCTCTAAATGGTGCTGTTACTATGTATGTGTGTGCACACCCAACTATGTTTTCAGGGTGTAAATTTGAATCATGTATGTTAATTTGGGGGCCACCTGCCACAGCTCAATTTGAAAAAAATATGTGACTTTCAATGCTGTCAATGTTAAGATTACTCTTGAGACATTTGCAGGGATGTGATGATAAAACAGGTTGTGGAAGATACTGTGCCTGTATCGAAAATGCATAAGGAACAGCTGTGAGAAATACTATTTCTTTGTGTAACTGCAAAGAACGAGGGTGGCAGAGTGTCTGTTTTTGTGAAGAGATCATTGGGAGAATATTCCATTCCAAATTGTGCTGCTAAAAGGCAGAGAATTTGATCAGGGCCCAGCTAGTGACAATCCAGGTCAGTCTTCTTTTTTAAAAAAGGAATAATGTGCTAAAGAGCGAAAACTACTTTATGTTTAAAATGATTGCTATCTGTGGAGATTTAGTGTCTGCTCAGTTGTGGACAGCAATGAAGCTCCCACATTTGCTGATGTCCATTTTTGCTGTGGACATTGGGTTCAGTTGAATTGGTAATCCCAGCCATGTGAGGCTATTATGTGCAGTTGGTACCCTGTACCAACAAAAGGCTTAACAGCTAACATTGCTGGAGTATTGGATGTTTTTGTTCCTTCCTGTTGTCATTGTAGTTCAGTTTTGGGAAATGCTGAAGATTTTTGTTCTGCTGCAGTGCCTATTTGTATATGCTTGATTATGAGGAAACAAGTGTGTTGGTGACATGCTATTTGCTATTGCATACTTGAGATGAAGAACTAAGGGGTGAGGTCTTAATGCTGTGCATTAAGTTAGTGTTATGGTGTTATCACAGTGGCAGCATTAAATAACAAGATGAATGTCATTCATATATAATCCGCATATGTTCACCCATAATGTTTGGATAACTGTGATATAATTTGTGCCTTTCATACAGTGCATACAATCTGCTAAAGATGAGTTGTTTTACTGTTTTAATAACCTATACTGTCATTCTATGCAGTGTTTCTGAAAAGAACCAAAGGTGCCATCTTTCTGTCACAGACCATATTATCACGCTAAATGGATACTAGAATTCCTTTTGCTGAATTATATGGCTGCAGTAAAGGCAAGCCTAAGTATGCCATTGACTTTGAGCAACATAAGCTTTTGGTGCTGTTTTATGCTCAGTACAAAGTGGAAAATGCAGTGTAAAAAAACCCAAATTTTTGAAGACTGAATTATTTCTTCCACAGTGTGCCTTCGAGTTCAGGTGTACTCAAGATGTATTATAAGATTTTTAATAAAATTGTGGTGTGTGTTTTTTTTAAATACTGCTTGACTCTTTTCTTCTCCACCCTCCTCTTAAATCATGCAAGCAATGAATTGCCTGTTACATGGTTGATTTCTAAGTCTGCATTTTATTTTTTTTAGTCCATTTTTAAAAATTACATGTCTTTGTTATTGGGGGGTCGGACATTATTGCTTCCATTTTTGGTCCAACAGTTTATTTCTAGTTGTTGCTCAGTTATTACTGCTATTCTGTAGCTTGTAAACAGTAACACTGTCACTTCTCTCAAACAGTGAACTCTAGTAGCTGAGCACTTAGCAGTCTGGAAGCAAAATTAAGGTAGCGGTTTCTATCTACATGGTTGGGCAGTTCCTCAAATATGCAGGTGTAAGAGAAAAAGCACCCCAAAAGACCTTGAAATTTTTTTTTTTGAGGCTTCTGTATATAATGGAATGTTGGTATGGAAATAAATGGGGAAGACACAACCCACTTACTCAGCCCCCTAATAATTTACAGTAATTGCAGGAGGGAGGGAATGAGGATTAGGGAAATGTTTTTTAAACTCACAGCATACAACGACCCTGTCTCCACACAGGGATGTCTTGAAGGAAGGCAAAGCTAAAGCCAATACACTTCTAATTTGCCATGTGCCATCATCCTCACCTGCTCACTATCTACGGTATAAATGATCATTTTGTTCACAGGCAGCATGTAAACTCCAGCTTTGTAGCACTATAACATACCACGGAAAAGTCTCATGATGTGCGAAAAGAAAAAGTCAATCTTGGCTCCCTTGTTCTGAACTAGAGAATTCCTGTTGTGGGTTTGGAGAATTCCTCTTTTGGGGTTGTGATATGCTGCAACGTTTCGTTCAGAGTCCAATTTGTCTTGGTGTACAGACTCATTTAAGAGAGCCGTAAATCCCACAACTGCCCTTGACGATGCAAAACTAGAGGCAGTTCCTACTCATCCCACACAATTATATTGGGGGCATAATCTCTCGTGGGAGCAGATAACCAGAATGTCATGACAGCCCTGGAGCTGGTTTTGAATGTCAGGGGGCCCATCTGAAGTAGAGGAAAATGTCTGCTACTTAGCTACATTGAGCCATTATTTTTAGAGGTGGGTGTTTAGAATGGGGAGGAGAAAGTCTTGAGCTCTAGCACCCATTGTTTTAGAAAGTAAGCACTCCTCTCAATGCTGAAAGGAAAAAGATAGCCAGAAAACAATGAATATCAAGAATTAGAGTATTGGTTAAGCAGTAGTTTAAAAGTTAAGGCCTGACAGAAAAGTCTTCCCAGGCTTGTTTTGTGACCTTTTCAACAGTGACACCTGTGGCTTTCTAGGTGGAGAAAATTCAGCAATATTTTTTTTTAATGGAACTTGTTTTGCCAAGTTTGGACTGGGTCTCAACAGAAACAAAGAATGCTTCTCATGTACTACTAAAAAAACTTTAAACTATAAAATCTTTCTCCCTTTAAGGTCCATGTAAGTCCTTGCCAGTTTTTCAAAAGCCCTGTGCAAACAGTTCATCAATCTATGTATACATTGCACAATCATAACTTGAAATTAGTTTCTAAGGCTTATTCTACAGCTGTTCACAGCCTCTCTCTGCTTTATATAGTGCCTGTCTACCTTTTGATTAGAAGTACTTTGCTCTTTGCCGTGCACTTGTTTGCTTTGCAAACTTTCAAGGAACTCATTTTTTAAAAAAGGTCTTGTTACATCACCTTATGTAACTAGGTTACATAAAGGGAAACTTTCAGATAAGGGAGCTTAGGAACACCACCTTCCTGGGGCAATGTCTCCAGATAACAGCTGTAATAGCTAGCTTAAAGGAGAGTGGGCAGGGATGAGTAGAGTTCAAAGTATACAAGTGTGTGCCACTTGATTCAGCAAATTCGGGAATAATTCATTACCAAGTTCTTTTTCAATATGTGGGTTTCTTTTGGATCCTGACAACAGATGTACACACACACACACACACAAAAACAGCAACATCATCCTTCTAGGTTGCTGCTGTTTCTGCTTCCCAGATGGGAAACAGACTAGAAATATAAAATTGTGGGTTCCGACTGGCTGGTCCCCTTTTTACGTCCACTCTAGGAATGTTGTATTTTACTGCTCTGTGTTTCACACCCCACAAAAATGCCCAAGGCCAGACAGCGAATCCATGGTACAGAATCCTGAGCTTTGGTTGGGGGCCACCTTGTTCCTATTTGGCAAACTTTTTCAGGAGTGGGCCAGTCCACTGTCCCTCAGACCTTGTGGGGGGGCTGGACTATATTTGGGGGGGGGGATGAATGAATTCCTATGCACCACAAATAACCCAGAGATGCATTTTAAGTAAAAGCACACATTCTACTCATGTAAAAACCCGCTGATTCCCAGACCATCTGCTGGCCGGATTTAGAAGGCAATTGGGCCGGATCCGGGGCCCCAGGCCCATGAGCTAAACCATGCTGTCAAGCTAAAGCCATGTTGCCCATACTACTTATTAAATGAATTCAAATTGGTACCTTGACTTGTATTCAGCAGGTGACAACCCTACATCAATGTGCTCCCTGTTGGATAATGAGCCGATAACCACCACTCCCTGCCCCAAAAAACAGAACAACGTTCAGAGTAAGCCACATTCAAAGCTGCAGGTTAAGAAGTCAGCCAATATGCCTAATGTCCTTTAACTCATAGGGCTCTCTGATGGTTGGAAACCATTATTAGGCATGACAGAAATTACGGTAGTCTGGTCACTTCCTGAGTGAATGTTTCCCATCCACATGGAGAGGTTTAGAAGTTTCCACTTGCATGTTTGATTAACCACAGCTTGCTGTGTCATCTGAACCCAACAAACTTTATTTAGTCCTTTTTTAAATCAAACTTTATTTGAAACAAACCATCTTCGAACTAGTTTATGGAGCTGGCTTGTTTCAAACAAACCATAGTTAAGATTAGCCACAGTTTGGGGTTCAGGCAGAATGCTAAACTGTAATTAATCAGGAAAGTTTTGCTGGTAGCCATGCCAGGAAGATGAAAGTGGGAAGTCCATAAGTCTGTGGACTGGGGAGAGAGTGTTGGCTCATTCCCATCACAATAAACCATGGTTTACCATAATGTCACGCTGCAGCCTTCTTCAAGGGGCAACTGAATGACTTCCATCAATTTCCAGACAATTACCCTTGTTACAACAAATACTTTTTTTCAAAGCGTGGGGTGGAGTTTTCTCACAAGAAAACATTTATATAAAGCACTTCAGCCTACCCCTAAAACTTGCATTTCCAGGCACAGCAATGGAACCAAGTCCATATTGCTCCTCCCAAACTGAATATCCAGAAATGAATATATTTTTGCCACTTTACAAATGTCTGACTACACCATGGAAGGGGAATCTGTGGCCCTCCAGACGTTGTTGGGTTCCAACTCCTCCCATCAGCTTCAGCCGGAGTAGCCAGAGATCTTGGGAGTTATAGTCCACCACCCTTTGTAGGACCACAGTCTACTCATCCCTCAACGGCAGTCTCAGAGGCTTCTGAGCTTGTTGTAATGAGTGCATTCCTATAATATTGCATTGCATGGATCTTTCATTTGGCCCCATTCTCCATAACCTAGAAATAATCACCAGCTGCTGTAAGTTTCACAACAGTGATGGAAGAAAGCCTAACATCTCAATGCAAGGACCCCATAATTCTATATGAGAGTCAGGGCCCCAAAACCAACAATTAGAGAATGAAGCACTTGATATAGCCAGGTTTTTTTAAAATATATATATATAGGGCAATTCAAAGGTTTATCTTTAGAGTCATTCTTTTGTCATCAGTGTTGCTGCCCATTGGGAAATAACCGAGGGTGTACTGTGAAAATATAGTTGTTTTTTCTTGGTTCAGTCAATAAGGGAGTGCGAGGCAGCCACACTGCAGTGAAGTTAGCTATGAAAAATAATACCATGCTTGAAGCGCAAAAGTACCTAGTGGGTAGTTCAATGACTCATCGATTGAGCAGAAGCTCTGTGGGTGTCTCTTGAAGCTTTTGGCAAACCCAGAAGTTGCACACAGCCTCCATCGAACGTGACAAATGGAGCTACCATGTGGTGTTGGCAGGTAACCTTCTGCCTCTTTCTTGTGCCAAAGCTAGCAGGACTTTTGCATTGCTTGATACAAGTGTGCCCAGAAATCGAGATTCAAAATGAGGAGGAGATGTGTTATAGAAGCGGAACAAGCTTTCAAGCTCCTCTTCAAAAAAGAAAAAACAACAATGCTGAACTGCATTTTGATATTGTATTTCAGGCTGCGCAGATATGCTCACAGAAACCTCTCTCTCGTCTGAGCTTTTATTTTAAATTGTGGGACTCTGCCTTCTTGTCTGCTATAGCCCCATGTCTTCCAATGGGGCAGAAAGAAAACAAAAGATCCTCTCACCTCTAAAAGGAATGCTTGGATAGCTGAGGGTAGACTGAAGTTGGTAAGGCAGAACCCCACTCGCCCCAATACACCAGTCTCCACTGCCAGTACCCTGAGAAGCGTATTGTGGTGTGAGATTCCAGGGCTTCTAGGTTCTTTCCCCGGGTTCATGTTTCCCTTTGGGGATGAGACACAGCAGAGGCTGTGGTGTCATTTTGACATATGGTTTATTTACACATATATGCAACCTGAGGCAGCGATGGAGGGGTTCCCAGTCTTAACACCCCAAAAGGGTCTTGTTTCTCCCTTAGTCAAAGCCTTGAATTCAAACAGAAATCAAACATCACTCTGACTCTCTCTTCAGCTTGCTGCTTTTTCTCTAGCTCGCATCATTGCCATTTTCAACTCTAAACTCTGGCTCTGTCTTTCTAACTATCTGTGAGTTGGGGGAGGACGCCCCAACCCATTTGCCATTTCACACAGAGCCCCATTCCTTTGTTCCCCCTAATGGCCCATCATCCAAGCAATCACCTCACCACTTGCTGGATCCAAGGGTTAGAAGGGTCTCAGCATACAGCCTACTTCCAAAAAGCTCATAACAATAGGGCTTTTTTTCCAGAACTCAGTTCCGGCACCTCTCAGGTGGGCACCATTGGCGTTCTAAGAGAACAAGGGAGGCATTTCATGATGAGTTCCGGCACCTCTTTTTCTAGAAAAATAGCACTGACAATATATATGTTAATTTGGGGCCCAGTTCACCTAATGTGTTCTAACTTTCCGTCCATTTTCTAGTCACCCTTTATTTGTCTCTCTTTGTTCCAGTTCAGTAACAAAGCTGGCTCTATTCCACGCAAGGCAATGCTGCAATAAATCTGTTATTCTTTAAGCTGCGACAAGACTCTTGTTTTTCTTTTTTCTTCCCTACAACAACATACCAAGATTTATTTAACTGGGTAAAAGGGAAGTAATACTCTTTGAAATTAATCACAGAAAAGGAAAGATAATATATGGAAACACTTTGCTGCTAGGAAAGTTCAGAATAGGAATCTTTTGCTTCTGAGCATGTGCATCTTCAAGGAGTCGCGACCAACATACAAGAAGAACATCAAATCCAGCTGAAATGTTAAAGGGTTTTTAAACAGCATGTTCATTTACATTATTTAGCAACTTAAAAAGGATCCAAGACCACTTCTGAACATTTTCAGGTGGGATTTGATAGCATACCAGCAAATTCAGGTTGTGCAATTAAAGTTGACTGAGAGGTCTAGTACAACAAACCTTCCTCCCCAAAAGACTGAATGTCTTGCAGCAAGGAAAATGTTGGGGAAATGCATGGGAAAGTGTGGGATAACATCATCTAAATGCCTTGTAAACAAATCAGGATTGATGCTTAATAAGCCGGTTGTCTGAAAATGCCCTAATTCACTAATTCAGACTGGTGTGCTACACTGTGTTTAATGGTAAGGGTGCCTCATAATTTTTCTCTCCTTGCTTCATTCTCAGGTAATCTATATTCCACCCAGGCATGGAGAAGTACAAATGAGTCTTGCCTTTAAATCACCATCTCCACAGATTACTGTCAGCAAGGCATTACAGGGCCTTCTCTTCTTCCTCTTTATAAAAAAGCAGGGGTCTACCCTTCGTAGAAAGCAAAGATTTTCAAAGGAGTTCCTCCCTGTTCTGATTTCTCCTGGCAGGAAGGCTTGTCCTCTCTATATATTTAGCTAAGTTGTTGACATGCCTGGCAGCCTCAGGCTAAAATAAGTACTTTTGTTGTATTGTTATCATTCCTTGTGCACCAGAGCCGACAGAAGAGAGTGGCAATAATGATTAATATGCCTTCTATTATATAGGACAGCTGATCTCAAACTGAGACAGACCAAAACTCTTGAAGAAGAGAACAAATAGTTGTCAGCTTCTGCAAGAGTATCTAGGAGGACAAAACACTGACCTGATTCAGAAAAGCTGCAGCTTAGTGCCAGACCATCTACTCTGCAAGGAGAAGCTCTCAAATCCAATCCCTGGGATTTCCAGGTAGTATTCAGGTTGTGTCCTGCCTAAAACCCTGATGAGCTGCTACCAGTCAGTGTAGACAGACTAATGTTTTGAGCTGGTACAAGGCAGATTCTTATGCTCCTTTGTAGCCAGCAATTTGGTTTCTGCAACAAACTCTGAAAAGGACAGGGAAACCCCAAAGTTGGCCAAAATTCAGCTGAGAGGCCACTGGAAGTGGCATGAATGCTGCTTTGCTGGCGGAGAGTTCTGCCTGCCACAGGATGGCACTTGAAACCCCAGATGAGCCTCTAGTATGCTGGCAGAAAGGCAACTTGTCGCCCAATATGACAACAAAATACTGGACAAGATAGACCTTTGATCTGACCCAGCAGGGCCCTCTTATGTTCTTATGATTCCCTCACTCTGTTTCCAGGACCAGCAATCAAAATGGGCAAGACCTTTCTTGTAAATACCGTTCCTCCAAGTGGTCATGTAGCATCCTGGGTACTGTAAGTTCACATCCATTTAATACAGGGGAAGGCAACCTCAGGCATCAGAGCCAAATGTGGACCTCCAGACCTGCCTATCTTGCCCTCCCTGGGCTTCACCTGTCAGCCACACCTTGACTCCCTAGGGCACACCCCTCAACAGCTCTGCTCTGTACTCTCCTTCAGTGCTTTTGCCCAGTAGCCATGTGTTAGTGCCTCTTGCTGGATGGAGGATAGAAAAGGGTGTGCAGTGTGTGTGTGTGTGTGTGTGTGTGTGTGTGTGTATAGAAACTAGACTACTGTACAAAAGAAAAACTTACCTTCCTTACTCCGCTCACTTTTCCCTCTGGTCCCACCCATCTCCAGATGGTGACAGCAGTCACGAAATTAAAAGACGCCTGCTTCTTGGGAGAAAAGCAATGACAAACCTAGACAGCATCTTAAAAAGCAGAGACATCACCTTGCCAACAAAGGTCCGTATAGTCAAAGCTATGGTTTTCCCAGTAGGGATGTATGGAAGTGAAAGCTGGACAATAAAGAAGGCTAATCGCCGAAGAATTGATGCTTTTGAATTATGGTGCTGGAGGAGACTCTTGAGAGTCCCATGGACTGCAAGAAGATCAAACCTCTCCATTCTTAAGGAAATCAGCCCTGAGTGCTCACTGGAAGGACAGATCCTGAAGCTGAGGCTCCAATACTTTGGCCACCTCATGAGAAGAGAAGACTCCCTGGAAAAGACTCTGATGTTGGGAAAGATGGAGGGCACAAGGAGAAGGGGATGACAGAGGATGAGATGGTTGGACAGTGTTCTCAAAGCTACCAACACGAGTTTGACCAAACTGCGGGAGGCAGTGGAAGACAGGAGTGCCTGGCGTACTCTGGTCCATAGGGTCACGAAGAGTTGGACACGACTAAACAACACCACCACTTAGTCAGGAAAGTGTTTCATATTCCCCTAGGAATCATTTGCCCTTCTTAGAAACAACAACAACAACACTGTCCCCTTGGAGAACCTTGACTTGACTTCAGTTGGAGGGAACCCAGCCTGCAAATCCTGAGGATGCAGGGTTCCAGAACCAATTTGCCCTGCTTAAATCCGCCCCCCCCCCTTTCAGTGTCTCATCCCAACTATGCGTGGTAGCAGCTGAAATCCTGCATGTGTAAACAGGAGGAAAAGGCCTCAGAGCTGTCCCTAACAGCCATGCAGCTTCTGTTTATGCGGCACAGCCAGGCTTTTTAAAACGGAAGGATTAAGGGTGTCCTAATGTTTGGCAATATGGGAGCCCGTTTCAATAAAGCCGGAAGATTATTCCAGCTGTTTTGAGGCTGCGAGCATAAAAAGGGAAAGTTAAGCCTGCCTCCCATTGGTATCTCTTAGCTCCAGACGCATGGAAATTAATTGAGTGGTTTAAATCAGCGGCAGACTCTTTTGTCAGGTGAACAGGGAGCGATCCAGAAGACAATGCTGTAAATACAAGTTACAAAACTGCTGAAAATAACCTTCAGGAGGAGGAAACAAGTTCTCTGCCAGAAGCTGCCGCTTCTGCCTTGTTCCGCTTTCTATTTCTTTTTTCCATCCCTTATTTGGGGGTGGGAAGGTTGAGATGCTAATGCTTGGTAAACATACATTGCTCCGCTTTGCAGAGCCCGTTGCAGAAGCTGTCGTTTCTTGCTTGGCATTGTTCTTCCATTCTCACAAGTTATATTGGGCGGGTGCCAAAGAGAACAACGTGTTCCTTCCCTGCCGATTGCACAAAGAGCTTAAAAACATGTTTGTGTGAGCCAGTGGCCAAAGGATTAGTCACTGAGTGGCACACCCCACCCCCAGCCCTCCCCAGGCGGGCAGAGGAACTCCTTGAAAGTCAAAAGCCTGCCATATCAAAACTCAGGCGGCCCTCTAGCACATTTTGTGCCTCTGACCTATTTATTCCTTTATCTGTTAACACTGCTGACTTTTCATAATTTTGTTCATTTTTTAAAAAGGAGGAGAAGAAGATCAACGCATCTCTGAAGGGTGCATTTTGAGATCAGGTGCTTGGAAAAATGGGCTTGCACTTGCACTTTTTAGCACCCCCCTCCATGTCTATTGTTTTCCTGCACCTTGAACATTGGCACACGTGCAAGCTGGCACACATGTAATATATGACGGGTGAAGTTCCAGGCACAGATACACCATGCCAATGGGAAAATAAGTGGCCGTGCTGGGTTTTAAAAAGCGGGGCAGTGTGTGCCGGTGCTGCTTTTCTGATGGTGTGTGAATGTTTGTGGAGATTCCATAGTCCCTCTTCCATAGGAGAGTAATGAAAGATAGAATGCTGAAGCAATAGGCTGAACTGTACCACTGTAGACGACAGGAGGAGGAGGGGTGGCATTCTGATTTTGAATACTTCTCCATGTAAACAACAAACTACAAATAGAAGACTATCACATTAGAGAGAAGCATTCTAGCCCTTTCCTGTTGTGCTGGTTTTCTATTTTTGTGAATTTCTTTTCTTTTACCAAAGGGGGAGCATTCAAAAATGAGATCCCCCACTTGCAGCCTAATGTTATGCAGTCCACTCTAGCCAGCTCCATGCCCCCCCAATACCTCTAGCATATTACTGCTCTGCATTGTGTTGAATGTGTAGAACAGACCACAAACAACTAAACAACCCTGCAATTGCAAGGAATTCATTCTTTCGTGGGGCAGCACCTAATCTCTGGAATTCCATGCCTATAAATGTTAGCCAACAGGAGCACCAACTATAGGGGGTGGAAGGGGCTTCAGCCCCCTCAGTATTGGTGGGCAGGGGGTTGAGGGCCCCCCCCCCCCAAATTGAGGGGGCTGAGGTTCGAAAAACTGTTGATTTTTACCTATATTTTGATAAATTACAATACGTCTACTTGTTTTTTTAAGTATTCATTATAAGTACTTTCTTGCATATGTTTTATTTTGTTGCTATAAACCACTTCAGGTTTTTTTCCTGTTTAAGCGGTATATAAAACCTTGTGAAATAAATCAATAAAAGGTGACGAGGTATGCTGAGCCCTTCAGATTCTGTTCATTGAGTATTTATCCTGATTTGTTTGCAGGAAGAATAGATAACGTCGACAATTTAATATGCATTTTTTCAGGTCTCTTTGTGGGGGGAGTGTTATTATTTACTATTTATTAAATTTGTACACTACCCTTTATCCGTAGATCTCGGGGTATTTCCATCAAAGAAAGCCTTCCTGGTGTATTCCCCCATCACCCTCCCTACTGCAAAGGAAGCCCATTCTTTGGGGAAGGTGGGTGTTTGGGGCAAGAGCTCTCAATATACTACAACTGCGCAACCTGATTTTGCCAGTGCGTGACTGAATCTGATCCCAAAATAGCAACAGTCTGGAAGCGCACCAGGTGTGTGATCCAGGTGACAAACTAGCATGGCTCCTTCCTGCATCAGGAAGCTTATGTCTGAAACTCCACCAGGTCACACAGGAAGAGTCCACAGAATGTCTCCTTGCCATGGCAGCATTGCCCTGGGTTGCTCTCATCCTGGTCCTTTCCAGTGGAATCGCCGTCCTTTGGAATGTTGCTCACTTTTCTACAGAGTGGCACACAATGTCCTTGCTGGTCCATTGCATTTGAGCAGCGTTTCCTGAGTAAACCTTGATTTGTGGCAATTTAACTGCAGTGTGGGTAACGCCAGAGCTGAGCAAACTGTCCCCCCCCCCCCATGGCACATTGGCAATTTTTCAGGAGACGAAATAATTAAAAAGTTTGTAGGAGGGATGGGCTTAACTATGGCAGCAGCAGCATTCTTGGCAGATGCTGGCTGCCCTCCCATCAGATGTCAAGGAGATAAAGAACGACAAAACTTTTAGAAGACATCTGAAGGCAGCCCTGTATTGGGAAGTTGTTGTTGTTGTTTTTTAAAAAAATATTTATTAAAGATTTCAGAATTACAGGGGGGGGGAAGAAAAAATTAAAAATAACACTACAATACATAAAAAGGAAGGAAAAAAAAGCAAAACACAAAAACCAATACAACAATACAGCAAAAAAAAATACAAAAAGAAAAGAAAAAAAACACAAATCCCATATTACATATCTTTAACTTCCATTTGCTTGTTTCGTTGACCTCCTCACACCTCCCTTTTTGTATTCTAATTTGATTAGTTATTTCAGCAAATTCTTTCCATCTTTCTCAATTTTCATTAAATAATTTATCTTAACAATTTAACCTATTAATTAACTCAACAAATCCTTTCCATCTTTTCCCCATGTTCTGTTATTCAAATTACCTTAGTTTATTTAACCTTATCTTACCGTAAAATACTTTAAAACTTAAAGCTTAATACTCGATTATACATAACTCCTGATATCATTTCTACTAAAGTCATATAGTTTCATTCCAACATTTTCCCTAATATTCATTAATTTTAGGCCAATTCCCTAGGGGGAAAAAATTCTTTATAAATTTTCTTCCAGTCTTCATCCAACGTCTCTTCTTCCTGGTCTCGGGTCGTGTCAGTCCTTACTGTCCATTCCATCTAGTCCATCAACCTGGTAATCTTATGTCCGAGGCCCTTAAGTCTCTTCCATGTCCCTTCTGCAGATCTTCTTCTTCTTGTTTATACTTGCCCTTTTCCTTGTCTTTTGTTGGTCTCTTTCTTAATTTCTTTCCTTTCTCATTGAGGAGTAGGTCTCTGGGGGATTCCAACCCAAAATTATCTCCATCTCCCTTCATCAAACCAGCCCATTCCCCACAGTCCCACTCCCCACAGTCATCAATGTAATCCAAAAAGTATTTAAAAGCATATTTCAAAGTCTCTCCAAAATTAAGAACCTCCTCAGCTCCAGACTCCCCCTGGCCAACTCCAACTTCAATCTTCAATGACAGCGGCTTATGCTCCTGTAGGGCCTCGGGTCTCTCCATTTGTATTATTTGAGGTGCAACCGCATTCTCCTCCATTATCTTCTGCACTTGCCCAGTCAGTACAGGTTCATGAGTTGGTCCCTGAATGGTTTCTGTATCAATATTCCCTGTTTGTCCACAGTTATTAACCACAACAGTCATCAAGTCCATTTTCTCATTCATCAAATCCATCTTCTCATGCATCTGTTCCAACAAGGCACTTGTCTTGCATAAAGCAAGCACCCAAACTTCCTCCCTCATATTTAGTCAAGGTCAAAAAAGACTGGTCCCACGATCTTAATCTCACAGCTGTCGAGTCCTCAAGTAGACTGCAGCAACAATTTAACAAGCTCCCTCTAAAGGAGACAATTTCTATTTGTATCCATTTTTTTTAAGGCAAGTCCAGCAAAGGAAAATTACTTTCATTTTTCAGATATTTTGTTTCTTTAGAATGCAAAAGGCAACATTGGAATCAGTTTATTTCTCTTCTTTAGCTATCTGTCAAAGTATTCCATTCACAGTCAATGAACCTCTCCAACTATTTCTGTCTCTGACACCCCGTTCCCAGGTTAGAGACAGTGAAAACATATCTTTCTTCACTCCCTCTCCTGCAGGGGTTAAACAAAGTCCCCCCCCCCTTTCTCCTGCTTCCAAGGGAGTTTCAGTAGTTATAAATGAAGGAAATTTAGACTTTTTTAACGACTTTCCAGGCTTTAGCTTACAAGGTTTTTGCTTTAGTCTATATACAAAAAGCGGAAGGCGGACTTCCTGTTTTGAACCTTCCCGCTTCGATGCCAAATTAAGATATTTCTTGATCCAATTTTCCGTTTCTACTCACGGGTACTTGTTTTAAATCCAATTGTCCACAGGAAAAGTCAGCGCTCCGGCACGGGCTGAGCGGCTTCACTCCGTGAAAGTAGCAATCAGTTCGCAGCACCGCGCCGCTCACCCCACTTCGCTCCTGCGCCCCAAAATGGGGTTCCCGGTGAGTAGGGGGGGCGCTCCTGGTGCCCTGCCGAACCCCACGTACCCAAGCTTCCTCCGCCTGGGATTTCTAGCGGGTCCCCGCCTTCGCTGCGGCGGGAAGACCCAGTTTTCACGGAGCTAGTTCCTCCGGTCGGAGGAACTCCGCCATTCGCCGATGGCGCTAACCCGGAAGTCTGTATTGGGAAGTTTTAAATCTTTGACGTTCTGTTATGTTTTTAGTATGTGTTGGAAGCCACCCAGAGGCGCTGGGGCAACCCAGCCAGATGGGTGCATTATAAGTATTAATTATTCATTCATTCATGCATGCATGCATGCAAGATACCCAAACAGTGCAGGCCTGGTGATCCCAGCAACTCTACTCAGTAGGTCTTGCTCCAATGAGACAATTGTGAGAACTGACTTTCTAAGCCTCCTCCTCTCCAGGGTCTTTCCCAAGCAATCACAAGCTGTGCCTGCACACAAACCCCTTCTACTCTGCCCTCTTCATTTCTCTTGGGGTTCTTGGGGACCGGAGGGGAGGGGAGCTGGTCACAGCAGGAGGGGGAGACTCTGTCTTCTTCAGCAGCCTTCCTCTCTATCTCCTGCCGCCCACCCAACCTTCTCTTCTGCCTCCACTTCTGGACTGCTCTCTGCAACAGCCTCTTCCTGTTCACCAAACCCTGTACCCCTTCAGCTTTCGACACCTCCTCCTCCCAGTCTTCCTTCTCTTCTCCCTCTGTCCACTCATTGTCATCCCACCACCAATCCCCTGGTTCTGGAGTCTTCTTCTCCTGGGGGTTCCCCAGCTGGGAACCCACCACTCCCACCACTCTTCTGCATCCAGCCTGTCCATGACAACCTAGTATAAGACACCCAAATGGTGGAGGCGTGCAGGAGAGCACAGTTCAGGAACTTGATTTCAGAGGTGGAGTGATGGCCTTATCTTCCAGATCATCAGGGCAAGTCACAGAGCCTCCTTGCTCTGGCAGGTAAATGAGGTAATAATGAGGCTTCCAAGTTTATTTGGTACAGGTTATCCTAGAAGGAAGTCTAGGATGATGGGAAGATGGGAAATAATCAAGCAAAGGCATGATACTTCCTTTCTTTTCTTTGACAGGGTTCCTACATGACTCTAAATGGTAGCATTCCTTTGCAGGATCATTTGCATTTCAAATTAAAAACTGAAGGTTGCATTTCAGCTGGCCAAAGATGCTGTTAAAGCCCAGCAAGTTTTGCAAAGTATTCAGTCATAAATAAGCACAAGACTTACCGGTACTTCTTGGAAACTAGGAATAGCAGCAGGGGAGGGGGGAGTGATGTGGATCAGAACCACAGCATAGAGACAGAGCTTTAAAAACATTTCCTGCAGCACCATTTTGCCCCCCCCCCCCATCACCTCCCCAAACTGATATTTTCCTCAGCACCTTCAGGGTTAATCCATCCACCCCACAATGTTCCCTATGCCACAGACCCCGTCACCCTCCCTCCCCTGTGGCTGCTTTTTGTTGAAAAGGGCTCCTGACAGGTGTTGGGCACATGTTCAAAAAAAGGCAATTAGCAGAAACATGTAGTTTGGCCCTGTTTAAGCAACTGACTCCCCTTAGTGTATAATTGCGGCTATTTTGGGCTCTGACACTTGAAGTGTAAAGCAAGCTGAACCAGTTGCATTCATTGCACAGCTGTAGTAAAGAGGATTTTCTGGAGAAGAAAACACGCGGATGATCACTTGAGCCACTTGACGCAGGACTGATTCACAGAATCCCTCTTTTACGCAGGGAAGCGGCCGTATAATATTATATGTTCTGCTCTCACGAGTAATCTAACACCTGTCCAGATTGTGCTTCCTTGTGGGCCTGACCTGCCATGTCCCTGCAAGAGACGTCATTGCCCAGAAAACTAGTGAGGTGCAACTAGGAGGGTGTCGACCACAACCTGAATCCCCATTCAGCCATGAAATTCATTGGGTGACCTTGGGCTAGTCGCTGTCTCCCTACCTCACAGGGTTATTGTGGGGATAAAACAGGGAAAGGGAGAACCATGGGCACACCCTCCTGAAGGCCCTTGAAGGAAAAAATGGCATATAAATGCAATAAATGCAATGAATTAATACATAAATAAGAAAGCAAATATAGTGGTACCTCGGGTTACATACGCTTCAGGTTACAGACTCCACTAACCCAGAAATAGTACCTTGGGTTAAGAACTTTACCTCAGGATGAGAACAGAAATCACGTGGCAGCGGCGCAGCGGCAGCAGGAGGCCCCATTAGCTAAAGTGGTGCTTCAGGTTAAGAACAGTTTCTGGTTAAGAACGGACCTCCAGAACGAATTAAGTTCTTAACCCGAGGTGCCACTGTAGATAGGAAATGCTAACTGCTGCCTGTTGGGCAGTGCATTTGTGTTAACTTTACTCAAACAACAATGTTAGTTCTGGCATTAGTGCATGGGGGGGGGGGGGGCTTTTCAATGAGTTTTACTGTGGAACTTAGAAGTAAAAATGGTGGCAATTTTTGAGGGTCTGTTTGGTTGCTGGGGAGGGGGTGGGTGGGCTTACCAGGGGAAATGGAGTAGTCAAAGCAAGGTTGTTTGTTTTCTGCTGTTCCTGAGGCGGTAGCAGCAACAGCACTTCTTAAGTAAGCTGTCACCTGGTGGCAACCATTTTTTTAAAAAAATATTTTTTATTTATTACATTTATATACTGCCTTTCCCCCCCAAGGAGCTCAAGGTGGTGTACATGTTTCTCTTCCTCCCCAGTTCAGCCTCACAACAACCTCTGAGGTAGGTCAGGCTAAGAGATGGTCACTGGCCCAACGTAACCCAGTGAACTTCATGTCGGAATGGGGATTCGAACCTTGGTTTCCCGGGACATAGTCCAACACTCTAACCATTACGCCACACTGGCTCTCAATAATGCCTCAGCCTGGAGCATTATCTCAGTACATTCTGAGGGGGAAATAATGGTGGCCCTCACTTGAAGCCACCATTCCCCACCCCCGCCCCCACAAATGCCCAGGAATGGCACTATGCCTGAGGCATATTAGGAAACAATGGGATTCAGCAGTGTGCAGCTACCTAAGCAGTTCCTCAGTAAAATCGTTTCTAACATTTAATTTCAAAACAGATCTGCTGTGCCAGCCGCCAGAAAGCAAACTCTGCTAAAAAATGGTTTCGTTTGTATGTAGAGAAATTGCTTAAGAGGTTTGTGAGGGGTACCTCCTTAAGTCTATAAGAGGATCCAACTCCTTTAAAGATTCCATCAATGAAAATTTTTACACTTCACTTGGGAAGACAGGCCAGTGTACTGGAAGAAGCAAAGATCACCAGTGTTAAAGCAATGATTCTTCAACATCAACTTTGTTGGACTGGTCGTGTTGTTCGGATGCCTGAATATCATCTTCCAAATCAACTACTCTATTCCAAACTTAAAAATGGAAAGCGTAATGCTGTTGGTCAACAAAAGAGGTTCAAAGACTCTCTCAAGGTAAATCTAAAAAAATGTAGCATAAACACCGACAACTGGGAAATCCTGGCCTGTTAACGCTCCAATTAGAGAACAGCCTTTACCAAAGGTGTCATGGGCTTTGAAGACACTCGAACTCAGAACTAAAGGGAGAAGCGTGCTATGAGGAAGGCACACTTGGCAAACCCTCACCATGATCAACTCCCACCCAGAAACCTATGTCTCCACTGTGGAAGTATGTGTGGATCCAGAATTGGCCTCCACAGTCACTTACAGACTCACTGTTAAGACTGTGTTCATGGAAGACAATCTTACGTGGCTACAAGTGATTGCCAAAGAAGAAGAAGAAGAAGAAGACTTCACAACTACACAAGTCAGAAGGTTCCAGACACAATCACAACTCTCCAAGCAAGAAACGAACAAAAAAGAGATATCATCACAATTCAAGGACACATTTCAGTCAGGGAAAAGGATGAGGGTGGGGTGGCGTGTGGTCAGTGAGGGGCAAGGCCAGGGGTGTGGCACACCCTGGATAGAGTCCTGAGGGACAGACAGACAAGACAGGAAGGTCACATACCGGTATCACCCTAAGAAATTTTGCTACGAACAATGGACCTCAGCCCCAGTTTTACTCTCCAGTCACCCCTATGCTAATTTTTGAGCTAAAAGTTTTCATTTGAAAGAGCAGCACATGTGTAAGTAAAGTACAAGAGTGTGCCTACTTGACTCCACTGAAGCATTTGAGTTTCGGGTGAAGAGGGCGACGTTGCACATTACGTTTCACAAAGTTTCCTACATGGCAGATATCCATTGATGTTTTTCTTCATACAAGAGATGGCTGACCAATGGGAGGAAATAATCTTTTCCTTGCTGAAAACAAATTTATCATGCATAAGGTAGATACAGTAGCCTTATTCCACATACCTGCAAGAAAGCTGCATTAATTATATTTGACGGCAATAGCAGTTATTTGCAGGGAGCTCACTTGTTTTATATATCTGGCTGGAATTTAATGGATATACGGTAATACTGGGTGTGTGGTATTTTGTTATTTGTTCTACAGTTGTTAGTTATCACCTATGCCCTATGCATAATATTTTGGGGTGTTATTATTTAAATTCATTTACATCCTGCCTTTCTTCTGCCATGGCACTTAAGGCAGCATATGTAGATTTCAGGCACCCTCCCATCCAGGCATTGATTAGACCCAGATCTAGTTATATCCAGCAAATTGGCTGCATCCTATGCCCTATGTGTGTGTGTGTAGGTAGAACAACAAATGCTTTTGCATTATGTAGATAGCCCCTGCAATTTTGTATGGTTGGTGCATTCCTTATTATTTAAAAAAAAAAAAACCTACCAAAAATATATATATTTAATTGTTCAGAGTAACCAAACGTGTTTTTGTTTTCACTGTGTAGTGTAACTTGAAAGGCTGTGGACCTCTAGCTCGTCAAATGGTCATGTGCTGCCCCCTGCTGGCCAAATGCTGGCCAACCAAAAAACACACACACAAAACCTTCAGGCAGCAAAATCATCCTCAGATCATCTTTAAACGAAATTACATTTTTTCGAAAAGTGTCCCCTGGAAAATACGGCAAACAGATTCTCTCAGCTAAGACAAAAAGACCTAGTAGAGCTGTATTTGCCCATTTTCAGCCGCCCAATTCACTTATCCCACCTGCAATTATGTCATTATGATGTCATTAGCACCACATGTTTACACGCTCAGAAAATTGCTAAAATTAAGTCAAGTGTAAAAGAGAGATGTGCTGGAGCCTAAAAGCTACACCTGTTACCCTGGATGTGAAGCAGCTGACTGTGTTTATTCAGTGTGAAGAAAAGACAGTCTTCAAATGCAGAAAAGAAACTCTTCATAATTGCTGTCTTTGTGTGTCCCCAAATGTTGAGCAATGGCTTAAACCAGGGGCAGGCAACCTTTTTTCTTTTTGCTGAAGGTTACATTGTCTTGGGTTTAATCTGTCAGGGGCCATGTGGTGGGGGTAGGAAGAGCCAGAGTCAAGGATGGATGGAGTCAGAGACTGAAGTTTTCTGGGTTAACTAATCTGGAAGAAAGACCACCCTGGTTCACCTCTCACCATGGCTACCTCAGATAAGAGTCTGCAAACATATTTCAAGTGGTCTATCCTCGGCTGTAAGCCCAGAGTGGTTTAACAACCCATCTCTCTTCATAGGGAGCTCTGAGAATTGTTGCTCTGTGAAGGAAATACGAGGTCTCCTAACAACTTTCAGCACCTGTAATGAGCTACAGCTGCCATAATTCTTCAGGGGAAGCCATGGCCATTTATTCTAGTGCTTTAAATATATGGTGTGAAAAACAAAAAGTTTCATTATATGAATTCAACCAGAGATTAGTACTTAGAACACTGTGAATAGAGATACCACCTGAGTATTACATTATTTCATGATACTAAACCATTTGACATCAGTTTTCCAGCTCTTAAACTTGTCAGGGACTTTAGATGCATAACTAAGGTGAACAGTGCTCTCTCTTGCACCAGTTATGTATGATCTCTTTGAATAGCAACATTATCATTTTCCACACTGGTACTCTGGGCTGGCTCAAGATCTCTTACCGCCCAAGGCAAAGAACATCCCCTACCACTCTATGAATGAAGTTGATTGAATCTGGACTGCCAATTGAATTTTATGCCAACAGTGTAAGATTTCAGTTGATTTCGTATTTCTGCAAACTTTCAATCTCAATAGGATTTCCCCTAAGGCAATACATTTATTCCTGGCTGAGACGGTCCTGTAGGCTTTGGCAAGGCAGCTAATTTTTTTATTTTATTCTGCAAGAGTGTGACAAAAATTGCAGGTGTGCCACAGCAAAATGCCAGGGAGCAGAGATTTCTGCAAGCCTTTCTATGCATCTGCATGTGCAACTGTCACATCACCTAATCCACGTTTTGTGTGTCCCAAGTTTTTGGTCAGTTCTCTCGAGCTTGTGGGAACTGACAAATCAAGACAGGCCAGTGAAACTCATCTGGAGCAGCAGCAGCAACAACAACAAAAAAAGCCGGAGGGTTTTATTTCCTCCTGGCCTTTCACCACAAATGAAGAGCGGCAATGAAAGGGCACAAGCCAGTTTTGCTCTGATATTGAACAGCTTGCAAATTCTTACCACTATAATCAGTGAGATCCTGCTGGGCTCCCTGTCAGGCGCCACAATGGGTATAATCTAGCACCTGCTTAGAACAAAACTTTGAAGTAAGGCTAGATGCCCATAGAATTTTTTTTTAAAAAAACAAAACAGAGAGAGAGAGGAGGGTGGCGACAAAAGTGGGAGGGCATTTAGGGACAGCAGTGACAAGTTTTTTTTCTTCCTTCACAGCATGGAAGTGTCAGCTACAGTGACAGATCCAAATCGCCTTTTTGTTCTCCTGTTTCCAAAATGCAGTCTGTCAATATCAAAGTATAGAATTATACATTCAGATTTTAAATATGACTCCTCCCCACCTTTGTCCTGTTCCCAGCAGGAGACCCATCTCCCTGACAGGCTCCTTTCCTTTAATCTCCTTGTTTTAGAGCAGGTTTAGCCATTATGGACTAATTGAAGACATTGCACGCTACTTACCAGTTGTTTTTTTGCGGGAAGCTCCATGATAGGAAGACTGGCCCTCTTTATTGCATGTACACGCCATGGGGGAACTGTGGCAGGCCTTGTTTTCTCTCTCATCAATATGGCTGTTTAACATAAACACCCTTGCTTTTTTCTTTTTTAAAGTAGTTTTCCCTCTGCTTGTTGCAGACAAAATGACTCCACCAATCTGTAACATGTGAAGCAGCCTTTCGGTTAAACACATGCCAACCTCCTGCTAGAATGGTCATTGGATTACATAATCTCTTCCAGAAAGTGCTGGTGCACATTTATAAACATGTAAGCATCCATCTCCTAAGGCAAGTGTTTCTCAAACTTGAGTCCCCAGCTCTTGCTGGACTACATCTCCCATCATCCCTGACATGAATGATGCTGTTTGGGGCTACACCAGGATCCACTCAGAGAATGTGGTTGTTTATTAGTATATCGCATTCTAAAGGTTCAAATAAAAACATGGTCTTTTAATTTAGCGCATAAGTCTTTATGATATTTGTTTTGTATGGGTCACTGAAAGCTAGTCTTTTCAAAGCACTGATATGCATAGCTCAGTCATTATTTAGTTTTGAAAGCAGATGGAAAAGCTGACCTAATTCTTTTCCAGAGTTCCATGTATATTCTTTTTGACACAAGCTGGGAGTGAAATGGATTATGAAATAGGCTTGTGTTCAGGCTGCAGCAAATTCAAGAACTTAGTGTAATCCACAGATGTAAAATAAGTCTTTGTATACAAATTGACCATGACCTTTTGTTCTGGGTGATATCAAGGAACCCTTGGATTATAACTTCTACCATGCAAGTGAACCCCAGTTTTACAGAATTGGGCTGCTGGACAAACTCAGTACAATATTCCTTCTGGTTCTAAGAGCAAATAATTCTTCAGTGTCGCTGGAATGAAAAGGAAAGGGATTCCTTTGTGGCATCGATCGAACAATATTCTTCGAATAGCACATCTGGCTAGATGCTTGAGCGATCTTGGTGTGTTATCACACACCTCAAACAGAGATTCGTAGAATTCGTTATACATCTGCAAAAGCAAAATAATGCATAAATAATGTGGTCAATACCTTTCTCTCTATGGAAAATCTCTTTCCAGGAAAAATATGGAGAAGATGTGTCATTACCTTCTCTGTGCTCAATGCAGTCTCTTGCCATTATTCTGTTTAGGGCTTGCACAAGACATTTTGCCGCCTGAGTCAAGACACCCACACCCACCTCCCCATTCCATTTGGACTGGCAGTTCAGTTTTATTTCAGCACTGGAGACACGGCAGAACCCTCCACCACACTTAAGGGCAGCAGGCACAAATATTTCTGGTCTCCAACACATCCACATTGCCGCCATTCTCCAGCATCTGCTACCTTAAGGCAGGTGCCTCACTATGTCCAATGGTAGGGCCAGCTCTGACCTATCTGAATAGCAGCCTAATAACCTAATAAGTGAGACTGTATCTTTCTATGCACCCCGCCCCCCGCGTAACTTCGGCTAAAAGAACAATTGAAAATTGCTCTAGATATCACATTCCTCCCATGCAATTTGATGTCTCCTAACTGAGCAGGACAGAGCTGGCCAAGTCAGAGCAATGTTATGAAGCTGTCACTCAATGAAATAGCCTTTTTTGGACATGAAACTGAATAGGATCAACTGTATATTATGATCCAGGCTTGTTCAATAACTACAGTTTAAACCAGAGGCAGCCAAGAGGGTGTCCTTCAGTTGTTGCTGGTGATCCCTGACTAACCAGAGTTCTCCAACTTTCATTTCCTACTAAACGTTCACTTTCACATAGAACCAGATTAAAGTACACAGACATTACCTGTGTGGTTTTTTTAATCAGCAACTCAAGAAATCATTAAGTGTTTACCTCAAAGACATCATCAGGTATAGCTGCTCTCCATTTTGCTGTGGACTTGATGTGTTCATATGTATTCACAATAACCTCAACTGCTCTGGGATAAGAGCAACAGGCCTGCAAAACCTGCTAAGAGAAACAGAAACCACCTATTTGGATTTTGCTGATCTCCTCAAACTGTTTTTTTCCTTCTTCTTCTTTAAAGCTTTTGCCCTTCTTCACTGAGCAATATCACTTTCCTTCTCTTCTCCAGTACAGAGAAGTAAGAACAGTCAACTAAGTCCTACTCAGAATAGACTTGCTAAATTAATGAACCCAAGCTGGGGTGGCATTCAATGTTATTGACCTGTTGGAGTTAATAATTATTACTAATGCAGGTTCATTGATTTCCATAGGTATATTCTGTGCAGGGCTTTGTTGACTGCAATCCTTAGTCATGTCTGCTGTCTTCAATGAGTCCACTCTGAGTAGGATTAGCACTGAATACCACCCTGTTAATTGGCAATTCCTATAAGAATCAGTCCCAGCTATACTCAATAGCTTGAAATAACCATAGTTTGCTTCTGCCTAGTTTTGCTGTAACAGATTAATACACCTAGAGACATACAGTAGGTGTTATTCTAAGTCTGTGCCAATTCCATCCACCCACAGATTGCCATGTAACTACAGTACCTGGTGTGAAAATTCAGCACCTTAAGGAAATTCAGCTTTCTTTTTTTGCTTTTTAAAGCAACTTCTAGTCTTCATGGTTGTGAAGAAGAGTTCTATGGCAGGGGTGGGGAACGATTCTAAGCTTAAGGGAACCAGCGAAGGAAGGGGGCATGTTCTGGCAAGAGTGACATGGACCAGATAAGTGATTCGCATTTGGCTTCCAGGCTTGAGGTTCTGTTCTACTGCTGTATGCTGAGATTCCTGCATTGCAGCGGGTTGGACCAATTGACCCTCTGGGTCCCTTCCAACACTACAATTCTATGCTTTTGCAGATGAATGGATGGTTATTAACTTGAAGCCAGATCCAGGGTGGCAAAGCAAGCTAGCAGTTGAAAAACATGAAGCACCAAAGAATTTTTCACCACGTGCGAGGAATAATTACTTTCCATAAGAAAATAACTGCTGCCTACAGTCCTCAAGACATCTTTTCCAGAGTAGTTTAGGAGGACAGCGCTGGAAGAAGTGACCCGGGGCATACTATTTCTGCCATTAAAGTATATGCAGTGATTGGAACTTTGACATCCTGACTCTATTCGTATTAAACAGAGGTTTTAGAGGCGCTCATCTCATCATGTTAGAATTACCTGCATGCATTTCATGTAGAATGATTTTTTTTTTTAATTCTCATGTTAACCCTCATCTGTCACAGCTTCCCCGTGCCTGCGTTCAAGGTAAAAATATATAAAAGCAATTCCTTCTGCTTTTTTCTAGCATGGAGATTAATGTGAAAGAAAGAAAGAAAGAAAGAAAGAAAGAAAGAAAGAAAGAAAGAAAGAAAGCCTGTAATCAAATTTAGAAAGGAAAAGCATTGACCTGTGATCTGGGTTTTACAAGACCCAGATGGCGAAAAGCCTCGCAAAAGACATGCAAGAGCATTTTTGCAAAACATTAAGGGCACCTGCAAGGCCTGGTGTTGAGAAACCAGCCAATCCCCCAAACTGAATTAGGACATGTTTACCATCTATCTGAAAGGTGGAAGACCACAAACTTCCATTCACACAGTTTCTTATCTCTGATCTAAACAGATGCATATGTATGTAATACGTAGACACAAGCTTTCACCTTATGGAATTGTGGAGGATATATCCTGGCAGCTCCATAATTGAGAAGCAGCTGGAAGCAGAATTCTGGCTGGGCACTCGGCCGCACACCTGTCACTTTCAGGACGTATTGCAAAGGGCCACATCCGTTGTCATCCATGAAGTTGGCCTCAGCTCCTGCCTCGAGTAGCATGTCTAACAGAACGCGGTCACAGTTCCAAGCAGCCTTGTGGAGAGGCGTTCGGAAATCCTCGTCTCGTGAATTGACGTCGGCTTTATAGTCGATCAGCATCCTACAGATCAGGTGGTGATCTGTGCTGTATGTCTGTTCCTTGCCATTGAGGGCCCAATAGACCGCACAGGCCAGAGGTGTTTCTCTGTGGGCATTTCGACAATCAACCGCAGCTCCTTGTTCTACATAAAAGCCCACCATTTCAGGGATACCATAACGAGCAACAGTGTGGAGGGGAGTTTCCTCCTCTTGGTTGTTAGTCCTTATATTCACGTCTGCGCCTGTTTGAAGGAAAAGAGAGAGAGAGAACATTGGAAAGGGGTTTTCTATTTCTTTTTCCATGTTAAAGACACATACCATATTTTTCGATCTATAAGACGCCCCCATGTATAAGACGACCTGTATTTTTGGGGACTCCATTTAAGAAAATGGGGGGGGAGATGGCCCTTGTGTATAAGACGCCCCCAAATTTTGGACATTATTTTTTAGGGGGGGAACCTAGTCTTATACATGGAAAAATATGGTATATACGTGCTGAGCTGTATGAAATAAATAACAGCAATTTTTACTGGGGCAAATGTCCCCCCCCCACGACTGCCACCTGACTACAGAAATGTTAATTAATTGCACGAGTTTTAATCAATTAATTAATCAGCTAGTTTCATTTGCATGTATTTGCATTTGTTGAAATGCGAGAAACAAACTTCCCCTGATTTTAGATGATGCAGCCATGTGTTGCAAGCAGGGATAATCTTGGGCACGGCATTCCTTGCTTTATGACAGAAAAGATTTAAAATATACCTCTTTTATGATGGGGCTTGCAATCTACAGTTTTTCTATGAGTACGTGCATGGATTATTATTATTTGTTTAACTATGCAGCCTAATTAATTGCGGGAACCTTTTTAGTTTATTAAAATGGATAAATCAACTTCCTACATAAAGGCACAATTAGAAATATTCCCTCCCCCTTTATGTTGTGTTTTTAGGATTGTCTGTCTCAGAACAAATGAGGAAGATTGCATGTTTGAATGCCTTCCCACCCCCACCATCACTAACTGAGGAAGTTGGAAAGATGGGTTTGGCACAACCTTAAGCACTCTTATAACAAAAAATATTTCTAAATTTGTGATTCTGGTCTAGAAGGGGGCCATGTAACGTATCACTCCCAAAGAGGGAATGCATCTACCTGCTTGCCTGTCCATTCTCCAAGAAAAAAAGAGGATACCTTTTTGATAAATTAAATCAATAAATAATATGGACATTTTATGCAATCTCCTTCAGTGATACAACTTGAGGCAATTTTATGATGCAATAAAAATGTATGTAAAGCAGTTGCATGTGTAAAATACCAAAACCCGGTTAAAAACAATTATCTTTTTAAAAACACCAGTTTCAAATCCAGTACAGATACCAATTGGGATATAAAAAATAATCCACATATGCTAAGCATTATATGTTAATACATATACTTTACCCTAGGCCAATGTTAATGTATACATATAGATGCAAATTTAGGAATGATTACTGTAATTTAGACAGAAATGCATCTCACCATAGTGGGAAAGACTGAATTTTTTTTCTCTGACTGTTGTCCAGATGCTGCTACCTGTTGATGGGCAACTTCAGGGCCCCTCCTACTCCCCCTTTTTGGGGTTCATCATCTTTAAACCTGACTTGGACCTTCCAATAAATGACACATGGTCATCCTGCTCAAGTCTTTTACATGTAAACGCACCTGTAAATATCAAGTAACCTGGCCCAAATGTAAGTTTTCATGTGCTGCAATCACACCTGCACATCTTTTGCTGAATATACACAGCTAGACGCCACATGCACAATCATGGACTGCGTGTTACTTTGTAGAAATCTTGTCAAACTCAAAGCAACCTTCTGAGGCTTGTTTAAGTCTCCACATATATATATTTCACTTGAAACAACATCCCCATCTAGTGGACAATCAGTATATGCACCCCATGTGTCAGTGAGTTTTTTATGTTGTCTCTGGTGCAGTGGAAGGTGTGTGAGTGTCTTAGAATCATAAAGTCATGGAATTGTAGAGTTGGGAGGGACCATGAGGGTCATCTAGTCCAACCCCCTGCGATGCAGGAATCGTTTGCCCAACATGGGGCTTGAACCCACGGCCCTGTGAGTCTCATACTCTACCAACTCAGCTATCCCCAGCTTGTGAACTTTTATTTTTGATTTTTGTCATTATTAACTGTGCTTTAACAATGGTTTGCTACCATGGGAATATTTACTGGTGAGCAGCTATCTAAATCTAACTATCCCTACTACTAGCAGTATCCCTACTACTAGCAGTAGCAGTAATAGTATAATTTTGCTGTTTTATGTTGTAAACTGCCCTGTGATTCTCAAATAAAGGGTGGTATAGATGTTATCATCATCATCATCATCACCACTAGCACATATTTCCTGGTCCTACAACCACTGCTCTACTTGGAGAACAGGACAACTCTCAAGAATACAGAAATTGACCCTCCCTGATATGAAGTGTTTCTCTGTCTTTTAAATATGCCGCCTACTGATTTCATGCAGAAGTTTCCACATGCTTTTTAAAAATCTAAACAACAACTTTTCACCATTTGTGCATTTAAAGCACAGCTGGTTTTAATCCATTAAAAAAACTTTAAATAATCTTAAAAGGTGTCGCGCGCCCCCCCCCCGAAGTTCAGATGGGGCATGTTGTTGCTTACGTAGCACCCATGCAGAAGAAGGAAGGATCCATAAGTGGGAGGAGACACACCAAAATAGCCCAATGAAGACTGAGCTTGCTCAGTGACAATGGAATGACCGCACCCCGCTTAAAACGGGGGGCGCCCTTTGCGTGGACGCGCGCAGCCCCTGGATCTGGAGCGGCCCCATCAGCATAGGCTTGGCTTTGCCTTCCCTCAGGTGGGATACCTGGAGGTCTCCGCCTACCTCAGTCAGTTGTCCAATCCCACCTGGGGAAGCGTTGCCAAGGAGACCAGGCCAGGTAGGGGAGGGATTACCTGCCCACACAATAGAGGGAGGATCTTACCTGGGAATCCTCACTTGGCTCCAGAGCTTCTCCCACCCTACCCACCCTCAGTTAATGTCTTATTTTGCAGGTTAACTTTTCTTCACAGGTATGCGGGCGCTGCTACGTTAAGGTCGCTGTTAAAGGGCCGGAAAGGAATTCCCCTGCATTGGCAGGTTTCGCCTTTCCCATAGCAAAACATCACAACTTTGGCGGTATCAGGCCTTGGGCGGAATCCTTTAGTCCATCTTCCTCTTTGCGGCGGCGATATCAGGGTTCCCCGTTAAAGGGGTTTCTGAAGGGAGGCTTTGACCATACGCCGAAAGGTCGTCATTGCTCTCCCCTGCGGCGGCGGCGTAACGGGGGCGGCTATCTCTGCTTGAACATCTGTTCTCCAGAGCCGGCCCATCCCCCCCCCACACAATGGATAACCCTGATGCTCCCTAGGTCCCCGGCTGGGGACTGGGGAGGGAGAACGCCCAATGCCTGAGCCAAGGTCTACCCACATTGGAAATTTAATAAAGTTGTGGCCAATTTAATCCCATAGCACGTTGTCTTGAGTCGTTATTCCACATGACGGGGGGGACCGCTCGGGATCTGGGGACTCCGCCTGGCCACGCAATATGGACTGACTTTTGCGGGGAGATGGAATGGAGCGGCTGAATAAAATCAAGCCACACTGCAACAATTTGTTGCAAATCCCAGTAGTTCAAGAACAAAGAAAAGTATGTTTCTTGTCTCAGAACTATTGTTTTTCTCCATTTGCTGTTGGAAGTTTCATTTGCAACAATGCTTAAAAACACAACAAGGCTACAACTAAGAAGTGAAGGGAGACCAGAACTGGTGAAACTGCAAGTTTAGACTGATCAAGCAACTAAAATTATATGATTCATTGACTAAGATTTTAAAAAATAAAATAAAATCCAGTGACACTAATGTAAAGGTTTACTTAAACGTTCCCTTCCATTTCATTTGCAGCTGAAGAGTCCAGTGCTGTTGTTATCTCTCCTCTCAAGGTAGTTCCATATTGTTTTAGGATGTGTACTGGCTCTACATTCCGTACTGAAAGTAGGTCACACTCAGAATGTAGAACTTCAGCTCACAACGCATTTTTAAGGAGCCCCTTGGACTTTCCCACAATTCCTCATGGCAGCAATCTTAGTCCTGCTGTCAACGTTATTGGCATCATGTGGGATAAACATGACACTGTTAATATAGCTTTTTACTAAATGTAATAATGCACATCTTAGGGAACAAGGGACTCCTAACAATTCTCAGCCCCCTTAACAAGTGAAAGTTCCCAGGATATATATATATATATTTGGGGGGGAGGGATGCCATGACTGTTAAAAGTGGCATGATAGTATTTTATAACGATAATGCAAAAGGGGCTCAAGCCTTACCTCTCTTCTGTATGTCTTTAGATATTTGAAGACAAAGTGTCACTATATTTTAGTAAAGATTAAAATGTGCATAAAACCATGTCAAAGAAATATACCATTTGTGGCTGCCCGTGCAGGGCTCCCAGCTTTATTTGAATCGGCTGCTCTGTAGAAATCTCCTATATTTGACAGCTAACTTAACAGGGAGAAAGAAAGCAAAATTCATCCCTGGCATGCTAGCTTTCTAGTCGCAATGACTTCCCCACCACCACCATGTGGAGGGCTAACCCATGTCATTCTCTCCTCTGCACTCCGAAGGGCTACAGCGCTGATGGCCTGCAATTGGACTTACCTCTCCAGATTAACTGCTGTGCGCAAGGAATGGACAGCTTTGTCGTACAGAAATGCAGTGGCGCCAGACCGCTCAGCGAATAGCAGTTGGTTTTCGCTCCGTGGCTGCAAAGTATCTTGATGCAATCCAGGTTGCCCACTTCGCATGCTATGTGGATTGCTGCTTTGCCATTGGGCCGGCAGTTGATTGTCGCTTTGTGCTTCAGTAGGACCCTCAGGCTCTCCAGGTGGCCGTACAAAACAGATAAGTGTAGCCCAGTGGCCCACGAATGTTGCAGTTTATAGCTAGGCAGCCAATATCCTGGTTTAAAAAAAAATGCACAAGTAGGTAAGTACATGATGACCCTTTCAAAAGCATCATTCCCAATCAGTAATCAGTAAACAGTTAATAGAAATATTGGGCTCTGGTAGGTAGGTTTAAAACTGCCATGGCATATGACTTGAATGGGGGGGTTGAAATGGCACATAAAGTAGTGGAGACTGGGACCCTAGGAAACATGCATGCTCAGCTGCACACACGTATCTTCTGCAAATACAGAACTCCTCATTCATTTTAACTAAACATTCATAAATAATTGGGCACTTTTGTCAGATTTCTTCTTTCAGATGGAGTAAAACATTCTAGATATAGAGATTTGATTCATTCACACATTGGGACTCCAGCGTGCAAAAGATTGCTTGACCAAAATGCATTGCCAGCCCAAGACACTTTGCTACCTGAAGCAAAATCCAAATTGTGCCTCCTCGTCACCTCTTACTAGGCCCAGGAATGACGTCACTGGACTACCACTCCCATCATCACTCACCAGTGGCCCTGTTGCTTGGGGTGATATCTGGAAGGCCACAGGGGCCCCATTCCCTGATTTAAGAAGTCTTGCTGTATCAAATTCCTGCCTTCATCTATCACCCCACTCAGCCCAGGGCAGGTTAGGCCACTTCACCCTGCTTCATGGCAGCATTGCCCCAATGAGGTTTCTGAACTTAATGAATGTTGAGGTTCTTTATTCATTTAAGAATTTTTACCATTCCTTATTTCTGGATTTTTTTTGCATATTTATATGTTGAGAAAGGAGGGTAGAAGTCTCTGCTTTGAAGGGTCCACAATCCACCTGTCTGAAGGAACTGCAGACTAGAAAGTGTTAAACTACACAAACAGCCCTGAGAAAATACCTATTCTCCCCTTGCCCTTCCTCCACTGAATCTCTTGGGCCTCATCCCAGTAGAGCTACATGGCTTCATCCCAGAATGTTAATACGCACCATAGGTTCAACATCATTCTCTCCTGCCAATAAGCTAATCTTCAAATTCCAGAACTTCCTCCTTCTTCCAATCGTATCCAGACTGGGGCAGTGTGGTTCACACTTCCATGTAACTGAATTCCACACTGCAACTGTCACACCTTACATTGAAGGAGTGGAATGACATCATGGCTGCTTTCCGCTCCAGTTCATTTGAAAATGTCTGGCAGTGTCGGGAAACTTTAGAGACAAACTAAATGGCCTTGTGCCCTCCCTTTAAGTCAGGTGTGGGGAACCTTTGGGCCTCTCTCTCTTTTTTTTCATATAATGTTTATTAAATTTTCTTTTTTCCTTTATAACAACCAAATAACATTCCTTCATCACATATATCTTTGCTCAAATTGAGCTTTGACTTCCTCCCGTATCCCCTCCCTGACTTCCATATGTAATCACTTTTATCTTTGCATTTCTCAGTCACCCTGTTTACCTTATCTCCATACTTAAAAGACTTACTTCTGATATTTATAAATAGGTATCAAATCATAAGCTAACAAAATATTTTAAATCAATCCTGCAAATGTTTTCAAATGAACCTTTGGGCCTCTCAATGCTGAAGTAGAATTCCCATCCGTCCTAGCGATCATGGCCAACGGCCAGGGATGATGCAGGTATAACAACACAGGTTGTCTTCAGCAACATCTGCTGGGCTGCAAGTTTGCCACACCTGCTTTGGGTGGCATGGGGCATTACTTCACTTCAAAATGTGGTAATCCGGGCCTGCTGCATTTGGGGAGCAGGGCTCTTGCTCAGTTTGATGAATGGAACCGCAGGCTTCTGCCTCAAGGTCCTGTCCTGATGACCCCACAGTGTGGCATTCCCCTTTGTCCATAGCAACCAGTCCAGAGAACTTTGAATTGATTTCCACTAGCACAGGGAGGCTTCCCTCCCAGCTGCAGTCCTTTGTACCCCATGAAAAGCTGGGGGCCGAATAACCCTCTGGAATGGGAAGGATATGGAACTGGGGGCTGGAGAGAGAAAATGGACACCCCATCTGTTAGCAAAAGTGTTTATTGCTCGTGCAAGGGACTCTTTGAATCCCTCCTCACAGACACACATTTTACGCAGAACAAAGATTCAAAACTTGTATAGGCAGATCAAGATTTGTTTTCAGTTGTCTTACATCTGGGAAGGGTAACCTGCGGCTTTTGGGTGGACTCCAGCTTCCATCACGTCCAACTTGCAGTGAATTCCTATCCATGTTTCCTCAAAAGCTACTTATGGTCTTCAAGTGGAGGGCGTTAGGCTGCTATCTGAACCCCACTAACCTGAGAGGAAACACCACTAAATTTAAAAGGACTCACTTCTTGATAGATATGGTTAAGACTGCAGCCTCCAAGTTACATTTTTAAAGACTGATATTATTCTACTGCTTTTTTGCATACTTTCCCCTTTAACTACTATGTAATTGTCAGGTTTTGCTTTCAGCTACACAACTGAAGAAAGGTTTCACATGCTCAGATAATCAAACAATAGCCAAATCAGATTACCACATGATAAATTAATGATTGTTATCAAGTGTTCAGTTCTTGTTGGAAACCTGTTTTTTCTCTCACTAGTAGATAGGACTGCTTTTGCTTCTTTTCCCTTTTTTGTTGGCAAAGAAATGCAGTAAGTTTGTTTTGCTATACTTAAAAGCTTAGAAAGCTTGGGAGCTTGAAAAGTGGCTTGGAGGGTCAAGCTGGGGCAGGAGGCTGAGCAAATTCGATACAGATACAGTGTGCAGATAATTTCAAGGTCTCCGAATGTGGGTGCAGCCTCTTCTCTTTGTGCTGACTGCTACACAGGGTGCACCAACCTGCAAGCGTCACCTTCTATTCCTGCCAGAATTTACTCTGTGACTAAGCTATCCTAAATGTCACCTGACGTGTATCTGCTGATGATTTGGGCCCTGTCAAACCAAAGCAAGCCACTAATGCAAGGGGCAGAGAAACAAGGGATGGGCAAGGAAACAGCCTCTTGGATGGTTCGCATGTAGCTAATGCATTTAATCTAAATTCTGATTTCAGATATATTGCAAAGATATGTGGGCAGTTAAAACAGTGATTTACATTCAAGGGTTAAATATCTGGATGCTGCCTACGTTGAAAACACGGTCCTTACTCAGTTCTTCTTTTTTCTAGGAAAAAAAGTGCCAGTACACATCATGAAGTTGCTACAGTAAGTAAATCACAAGATTGGGGGTGGGAGGGAGGTGCTGGTACTGCGTACCACTGAGTACTGCCAGAAAAAAAGCACTGGACTTACTCAGCTCTAACCTCTGGGTGGAAAAAGGTAAAGGTAAAGGACTCCTGACAGTTAAGTCCAGTCGTGAACGACTCTGGGGTTGCGGCGCTCATCTCACTTTACTGGCCGAGGGCGCTGACATTTGCGTGACGTGCTTTCGTACTGCTAGGTTGGCAGGAGCTGGGACCGAGCAACGGGAGCTCACCCCGTTGTGGGGATTCAAACCACCAACCTTCCAATCGGCAAGCCCTAGGCTCTGTGGTTTAGACCACAGCGCCACCTGCTGCAAATACATTGGTACACTCGATAACTTGGGGCCTGCCTTGTAACATTTCTGGCCCCCCGCTGTTTCTTCTGTCTTCCTCCTCTGCACTGGCCTGCAGTCCTGAACCTGAAAAGGGAACTCTATACCAAACTTACCGGTTAAGTGAGCTCTGATCCAGAAGGTTAGATAATGCAGCAATACCTTCAAAGTACAAACACTCTTAAACTACAAATAGCCAATTTGTTTCCTTAATTGCACAAGCTTTAAACTCTGGTGTCAACACTTCTTCTTTTTACCTTGTTTGTAGGAGGCCAGAACCAGGTTCTCATCTTCCACTTCAAACACTGTGTCCACATCTATCTGCTTCTGAATCAAAAACTCCTCCAGAGTTCTGTAGTCGTTTGACTGCAAAGCCTTCAAAAAATCTTTCTTCAGTCGCTTAGCAATTTCAGCCCGTGTCATTGCTTCTGTCATGTTTTCTGCGTGGGGGGTTATTATATTCCCGTTTGTTTTCAATGGCCAAATGCGTATGTTTATAAGTCTGCATAAAAGGGTGTTCTAATTTCTCTAGGGTGTAGCAAAGCCAAGATAATTTTAAACACCAAGTAATGCTGACCTGCCTGTTCTATTTATATAAAGGAAATATCAACTGCTCACTACATGCTGAATTCTGTCAAGGGGAACTCAGGCAGATCTATGATGCTGGTATAGAGAAATCTGCTCAAAGGATTAGTCCATACTATTGGCTCATTCATCAAAACTTTATCCTTTGCAAATATGTAAGAAGGTTCTTAAAGCTGGCACCATTTCTCAACAAAAGCAGTAGGCATGTTCATTCTTAGAAACCTGACAAGTCTTGCTTTGCCACTGAGGATTATTGACACTCAACTCCTCCGCACTGGAGCCTCAGTTTTTTTAGCCTGCAATATTAGCCTGCTTTGCAGGGTTGGGGTAAGGTTAACCAAGGTAATACAGTGGTACCTTGGTTCACGAACAACTTGGAACCCAAACACTGTAAACCTGGAAGTAAGTGTTCCAGTCTGCAAACTTTTTTTGGAAGCCGAAGGTGCTCCATTGTGAGTGTTACGCTGAGGTCTGTCTGTTTTTGCTATTTATTTTGTGTTTGTGTTTTTGCAGCTCTTTTTGCTTTTGTGACTGTGTGGAACCCCATTCAGCTACAGACTGATTGTATGACTGCAGTACTTTGTTTATTGCTTTCATTTTATGGATCTTGTTAGATAGTAAAATTCATGTTAAATTGCTGTTTTAGGGGTTGTTTTTAAATGTCTGGAACAGATCAATCCATTTTGCTTTCTATGGGAAAGCGTGCCTTGGTTTCGGAACACTTTGGTTTTGGAACGGACTTCTGGAACGGATTAAGTTTGAGAACCAAGGTACCACTGTATATGCAAAGTTGTATATAAATGGCAAAGTAGTACTATTTATCTACTTATCTATCCACACACAGAGAGATATTTACATGTGGGACGTACAGAAGAGAGTTATGATACACTGTGAGCAAAAACTTACATATTGTATCAACTTGTTTTTAAAAAACCCATATGTACACAAACACATAAATTCCTCTTTAAAATGGGACGTCGTCTACTGCTGCCTATCTAAATCATGATTTGGAGGACCAGCAACACAATCCTAGGTGTGTCTACTCAGAAGTAAATCCCATTAAGTGGTGCTTACTCTCAGGTAAGTGTGTATAAGATTGCAGCGCAGGTGCCCCATCTGCAAAATCCCTAGCCCTGTGGCATTCTGGTCACAGAACGTTATGAACAGGCACCTTCACTGCATATGAAAATGTGAGCAAGAGGCTAAAGTCATGGATGTAGAGCCACTTACTCTGTCCTGACCAGGCTGGCACCCAATGAGAATAAAGCAATGGGAATAATGTTCTCTAAACTATTATTAACCCTCACGGAGCCCCCTCCAAGTGCCAAGCTATGCAGTTTCTAGCAACTGCTCTAGGCTTGTTAATGCTACTGCTTGGGCCCATCCATGCAGCATTTTTGAAAAATCAAGCCAGTAGCTTTCGATCCCTCTGAAGTTACGTAGAAATGGTGTGGGTGGGTGGGTGGGTGGGTGGTGGGTGATGCAGAGTTTACAGCAATTCAATTTTTGAAGCACAGTTTGGTACAGAGTTGGTACAGCAGAAATGGAAATCATAGAATCGGAGAGTTGGAAGGGACCGTGAAGGTCATTGTTATGTACTGAGCTGAATCCTAGAACAATAGGATCTAGAATTCAGCAGTCTGATTGGTCCGCAGGAGCCACCCAATCCAGCTTCAAGTGGAAGTGAATCAGCGACCTAATTGGCCTGCAGGAGCAGCCCATCAGGCTTCTGGATGAGGTGAATCCACAACCTGATTGGCCTACAGGAGCAGCCCAGAATTAGCCAATCACGTGGGGCCCATTGTGTAAATAATGTACATACAGCTAGACGTTTTGGGGAAAGTTTCATTCATTGCTACTATGAGCTGAATAAAGAGCATGAAATTCACACTCGACTCTGAGTATATTTCAGTCATCTAGTCAAATCTCCTGCAATGCAGGAATCTGAATCTGTCAATTTCAATTTTTCTGAGCTTCTTACTTTTTTCCAATCTTAAATTCAATTCTCCACATTTCCACATCAGTTTGCATTTTTTAAAGAAAAATAAAAAGTCCTTATTTTTATGAGTTCCCCACCCCAGCTTCAATCCGAATTGAGGGGAAAAAGTGGCCTAGCTTCATTTTAAGTCAGACTTAGCCAAACGCCACCCACTGGTGATATTTTTTTTAATACCACATGCTAAAAAAATAGCAATTTAAATGTGGACAAACATTTCTTAGTCAATTTTGTATGAGAGGATTATCTGCGCTCAGATCCAGCAGAAGAGCAAATCTTAAACTCAGTAAGAGGAATTTTAACATGTAGTTAAACTAGAATTGCAGTCAGAGGTTGTGTTTGCTCTCTTGTAAATGATGGATATATAGCATGTTAAAAAAAGAAATCCAAGCAAGGTAAGGTGAAGGACTGTAAATAATAACAAAACCTCTAAAGACCAATCACAGCTACCTGAAGAAATTGCGTTTCTCTGGCTCATCTTCTGATTCTTACCTGAGTTTCCCTTTGAATATCAAAAAGCCACCATAAAGATGATGTTCCTTCACATACTCATATACTTCAAGCAGCTTTCCAGGGGGGAAAATGTTTTAGGCTCAGTTGCCATAGTGATGAGTCACTGCATTTTCAGGGTCTTCTGTGGAAATACAGATGTAATTTTCTCATTGCCCTCTTGGCTTTGCATTGTGAAGAGGTTTTCCTCCCTTTGTTCGTAGTCACTGAGCATCTTTCCACCCAATAGTTGATCTCTAGGTTGAATAGAAGAATAAAGAAAGGTTACCTGAACTGTTGGTGACATTGACAGGTTTGGAACAACTCCTTACAGTCAGGATTTTGTGTCCTGTTAAAAATAAACCAACAACAATGTAAAGAACACAGTGAGCGCCACAATCCTAAATATAAGAGGGCTGGGGAGAAATAGTGATTTGACTAAAAATTGATAAGAAAAAGGTTCTGTAAAATACACATATTTTATGTATCTGGCAAAAGATAACCACGTCTAGGGGCTCCTTAAAGACTAAACAAGTTATTGTAGGTTTGGTGGATTAGATGCCAGAGTGAGCTGGCAGTAAATCACACTGTTGAAAGTAGAAGTAAACTCTTTATAAGCTTGTCTTAGTGTCAGGCCAAATGAGCACAGCAGCTCATCCCTGGTAGGTCTTACCCCATGAATCAGTTGCCAAGACTGAAAGTCCCTGCCTTCCCACAACCGTCTAAGTCCCTTCCTCTCCACAGGGCTGTTTTCAAGCAGTCGGAGGCTATGCTTCCATGAAGTCTGTCACTGCTCTGCCTGTTTCAGCCCTCTTCTGGTTCTGGGAGATGGGGGGAGGGGAGCTTTTCACACAACAGAAGAGACACCAGTGACTCTTCACCAGACTCTTTTGTGTCTCTTGGCCACTCCTCCCACTCGCCAGCTTCGGCTTCTGCACTTCTCTCTGCCACGGACTCTGGCAGCTCACTAAGTACCTCTTCAGCTTCCGACCCCTCCTCTTCCCAGTCTTCTCCCTCTGACCCAAAAAGGTGTGTGTGCAGGGAATGTCAACAGTGGAGTCAAATGGTAATAAAATGCAAAGTACAGTCTGATTCATACAATACAGTCTGAGCTTAGTAGAATGGGATGCTTGCTTTAGCTGTGGCACCAAAAGCCATGTCTGTAGACTATATATGCACCATAAATACCCAGGCATTTATTAGCCCAGCATTTTGCTAGATAGCCTGTTTATAGCATGACTGAACAGCCAGAGAAATGGTCACACGGCTTGTAGATTTGTCACTGAAATTTACAGCACGATCCTGGCACCTTCCTTGTTTGGCAGGGTGGGTGGGTTTAAAAATCAAAAGGCAGAGGAGAGAATGAAGTGCCATGCGATATAAATAGAAAATCATGGCATTCTATACCAATGAAATTCACGACTAAGTCTGGGCAGTGCTGTTTGTGTAGAGATGGGGTCTCAGGAGAAAGCATAGGGGTGGGGCTAAACGTCTCTACAATGCCATGGTAAGGTCATGGTGGCACACATCCAAACCTTAGAGCCACCTGAAATGACAACAATGTGATCACTGATCCGAGGTGATATACAAGGGGTGTGAATATCATTCTTGCAGTTTAAATGAAAAGAAAGATTTCAAACAGGCATTAAAATACAACCCAGCACAAAAAAACACCCCAAACAAAACCACCAGATTTTCCAGATTGCAGTAGAAACAACAGGTGTACTTTAATATTTGTTTAACTCCACAACATAAAAAAGTCTGATCTCCTATATACTAATGCAGAGCATTAGTCTTGCTTAGGAGATGCAAATCTGGTCTGGCTGGAATGCATCCCTGAACTGTACAAATGCCTCTTGCTTATCTGGATGGGGTAAGAACCTCTGACTTGTGTGTGGTAAGACTAACTGCATAGAAAGCTCCATCTCCTGATTTTGTCAAATCAAAATCCTGTTAAGGAAACAGAAGCAGACCGGAGGGCCACTAGGGGGCGCATTGGAAGATGGCCGACAATAACATCTCTCCGACCCACACGAGGTAATTAAGAGGCTGCTATGGGAAGTATGCAGTCTTCCTGCCCCCCCCAAGGGGATGGGGGAGACTGCCTTGCCAGCGGTGTCCATAATTCACCCCCGGATTCGAAAGAAGGGGGTGCGGACACTTGGCACAAGCCCTTGTGTGAAGTCGGCTCTTCCCGGACGCTGTCTCCAATCAGCGCACTGGTTGCTTTAGCTCAAAACATATAATTGGAAATATATAATTGGAAAGAAGCTAAAGCACATACATCAAGCGAAGATTGGGAGTTAAGACTGCTGATTAATGGATCTCTGGGAGCGGAGCGACGGGCGGGACAAATAAATCAAGTGATGAATCACCATTAAAAGACTGGTATGTTTGGTGCGAAATGGAAAGGGGGGTGGAGGAAAAAACTTTTCTTTTTCTTTGCCTTATGTGAGTATTAATAACCCTCCACCCCAAAAGAAGAATCGTTGCAATTTATTAATCACAAGCAGGAATTCAAGAACTGTGTGGAGTGAATTATCGATCAAAGAGAGGATTGGTAAACATCGGAGAACGGAGGAGAACGGAGGAAAGTTTTATGACGCAGTTTCAAATGGCGTCTCGCCGAGACAGGCTTGCCTAAGAAGGATGGGGGAGGAGGACCAGGGTCATTGGAATGTGAATGCTTATAGGAATGTGATCTAGACCTTGGCAGAGCCCTCTGAGATAGGTCTGGCAAGCCTGGGAAAATCAAGGGACAGACCGAGGGAAAGTCTCTTTACGGAGGTGTGGAAATGGCAGCTGTCCTTATGTGATATGATTTTTGGAGAGTGTAAAACCCACACAGAGGATGTTTGTTTTTAACCCGCTTGTGAAGATTATCAGAGATCGCAAAGAAAGGAATATATGATAACAACAAGAAGATGAGGAATGTAACAAAGAGACTATCTGGACAGAACTGGATAGAATTGTCTAATTAAAGCAGCAATATAAGTGATGTTTGGACACCTTTTCGGAGTTTGAAGTATGGGTACCCCCAACAAAAATTTAAAAATTTGGCTGTATAATTTGGAACTAATGTGATTTGGAAATAATGTGATTTGATTGGCCTGTTAATAAAAAATATATTTTTTTTTTAAAAAGGAAACAGAAGCAGACCTGACCAGGTTTCTGGAGTACTTGACAACATGAGCTGCAACAGAGTTCTGGAGTAAAGGGTAAGGTTTAATTCAAGTTTGGGGACCAGCAACGAAATATTGCAGTGTGGACTGCCTCTGGTCAGCATTCTGGTCAGCCAGCCATGCCCTTTCATGGGCTATTCCATTCCATTCCTTCACTCCCTGCAGAAGAGTCAAGCAGTATTCTGTGCCCACTGAGCATATTTATTGCTCACTGAGCTGTTTGGGGATTTTTAGCTCCCTTCATTCCCCTCACGAAATATCTTTTTGTACACCAGAAAATCATAGGTCGCCCCACCTCGAGCCTCCTGACACTTCTCCCTTGTGTATGGATAGTACCATTTTAGCTACACTAAGGGTAGGCATTTGTAGAATAAGCTAACTATTAGTATATATCAGGCATCCCCAAACTCAGCCCTCCAGTTGTTTTGGGACTACAACTCCCATCATCCCTAGCTAACAGGACCAGTGGTCAGGGATGATGTGAATTGTAGTCCTAAAACATCTGGAGGGCTGAGTTTGGGGATGCCTGGTATATATGATGTCTTTCTGAAAGTCCAGGTATCTTTCCTTGTAGAAATAAAATTACCAGGGCCTTGATTTCACAAAGCAGCAGATGACATGAAAACCAATTTAGACTGCAAGTTCATAATATCATTGAATACTTCCCCCTACACACTGCCGAACATGTCAAGGATGTGAGTGCAAAGTATATCATACACCTAAAGCACATGATTTCCCCCCAAAGACACCTGGGAATTGTAGTTTGCTAAGAGTGCTGGGAATAGTAGCTCTGTGAAAGGGTAAACTCCAGTTCCCAAGATTCTTTGGAGGAACCGTATATGCAGCAAATTGGTGACACTAAAGTTTATGAACTTTGCACTCCTGAGAATTTATATTGCAAAACACTGTGCTCCTATATCACTACAATCTGCCAATTGCAGCCTGAGGAAATAGCCAGTAAAGTGAAATGAGTAAGAGTGTGGGATTTAGAACAGGAAGAACTGTCTTAAACATATCCAGCACTGTGGTGCAAAGATCCCTCTGGCGTCCCACTCCACCCCATTTCCCAGAGTTGTCAACCTTTTCCCAAGCCTCTGCCGGGATCACTCTCCTCCTGCGGAGGCTTGGGAAGGAAGCTGCACGCCCGCCAGCCATATACCATATTTTTCGCCCTATAGGACGCACTTTTTCCCCTCCAAAAATTAAGGGGAAATGTGTGTGCGAATGTGTATGGGGTGAATGCAGGCTTTCGCTGAAGCCTGGAGAGCGAGAGGCATCAGTGCGCCCTGACACCTCTCGCTCTCCAGGCTTCAGGAAGCTATCCGCAAGCCTCGCGTGCCGTCCCGCCAGGCGCGCGAGGCTTGGGGCGGCAGCCTGCAGCCCGAAGCAGGGGGCGAGCTGTGGAGCCCGCCCCCTGGTTCGGGCAGATGTCCGCAAGCCTCGCGCGCCCGGCGGGTGGTCCCGCCGGGCGCGCGAGGCTTGGGGCGGCAGCCTGCAGCCCGAACCAGGGGGCGAGCTGCGGAGCCCCCTGCTTCGGGCAGATGTCCGCAAGCCTTGCGCGCCCGGCGGGAGGTCCCGCCGGGCGCACAAGGCTTGGGGCGGCAGCCTGTTCTGGGGGCTGGGGAAGCTCAGGCTTCCCCCGCGCTAGCCCCCGTATCTCGGGGGGAAATAAAAATTTGTTAACTTTATTCCCCCCCCCCCAAAAAAACTAGGTGCGTCCTATGGGGCGGTGCGTCCTATGGGGTGAAAAATACGGTAGTTGGCGGAGTGCAGCTTCCATACTAAGCCTCTATGGGGATCGCTCTCCTCCGATGGAGGCTTGGGAAGGTGGAGGCTTGGGAGGCAAGTTTCACGCCCGCCAGCCATATGGTTGACAGGGTGCAGCTGATGGGCGTGCAGGGAAAGGGGAGGCCGCCGGCGCCGGCAAAGATTTTGAGTCCAAAATCCTGTCTTCATGCTGGCCACGCGGATATCTGCGGGAAACCTGCGAGCCTAAGCACAAGAGCAGTCTCCCCTCCAGGAGTTTCCAGCAACTGGCCTTCAGAAACATTATTGGCAGAGCATGGCCAACGCGGCTAGTGGTCACCAAAAGCTTTATCCATCATTAATTTGTCCAATCTCTTTTAAAGCCATGCAAGTTGGCGGCCATCGCTGCCTCTTGTGGGAGCGAGTTTTATAGTTTAACTACAGAAGAGCTGGGTTTAAATCATGGCTCAGTTGCAAAAGTTTGCCTGTTTCAAGGTTATTGCAAGGGTAAGTGTGGCAGGAGATGCTGCAAGCCACCATGTGCCAGCGTGGTTCCCACATCGCATCTCTGTGAAAAGCAAGAGCATGTGGCCACTCCAGGATGGAGCACACATGACAAGTGGGAGGAAGAGACTTGAATGGGGTGGAGAAGCACATTATATTGCATTGCACTGTAGTCTGAAATGCAAAAACTATATGACATTTAATGCCATGCACTGCAATTGCTACAACCAATGATGTGGTCCTTGGCAATTTTACCAAGTGGTCCATGGCGTGCGGAGTTTAAGGTCCTTAGCTCAGTGATGGAGCATACAGATGGCTCCAGGTAGCACTGGGCGATACTCTTTGCCTAAGACCCTGGAATCTGTGCAGATGCTACTGAGCTTAATGTGGACCAGGGGCACGGGTGGCGCTGTGGTCTAAACCACTGAGCCTCTTGGGCTTGCTGATCGGAAGGTCAGTGGTTCGAATCCCCGTGATGGAGTGAGCTCCCGTTGCTCTGTCCCAGCTTCTGCCAACCTAGCAGTTTGAAAGCCTACCAGCATGAGTAGATAAATAGGTAGATAAATAGAGTAGATAAATAGGCTTCCTCTGGCGGGAAGGTAAATGGTGTTTCCGTGCGCTCTGTCTTCCATCATGGTGTTCTGCTGTGCCAGTAGCGGTTTAGTCATGCTGGCCACATGACCTGGAAAGCTGTCTGTGGACAAACGCCGGCTCCATCGGCCTAAAAGCGAGATGAGCGCCACACCCCATAGTCACCTTTGACTGGACTTCAGGGATTTTTTACCTTTTACCTTAATATGGACCAATGGTCTGACTCAGTACAGCGGTACCTCGGGTTACATATGCTTCAGGTTACAGACACTTCAGGTTACAGACTCTGCTAACCCAGAAATAGTACCCCAGGTTAAGAACTATGCTTCAGGATGAGAACAGAAATCGTGTGGTGGCGGCAGCGGGAGGCTCCATTAGCTAAAGTGGTATCTCAGGTTAAGAACGGGCCTCCAGAACGAATTAAGTTCTTACCTGAGGTACCACTGTATAAGGCAGTCTTTTTATGATGTTAAGTTTGGAAGAGTGGAACAAAAATACATAAATGAGGGATGGGGAGCCTGTGGTCCACCCTCTCTGACCAGCAGCCAGGCTGGGGGGTGCTGAAGGGAGCTGAAGTCCAGCGAAACCTGGAGGCCTTTAGACCCACCTCGGCCTCACAGAAAGGGCGGGAAAGCGGCACGTCCCCGCCGAACTCTTGGCCTCCTCCCCTCCTGGCGACAAGGCTGCGCGGCGCTTCTTCCATGGCACAGTCTCGCTCTCTCCGCTCGCCCAGCATTCGCTTCCACGCGCCGCGTTCCCTGCGCCTCCTTCGCCCCGCTCTTCTTCTCCAGGGCGGGGCGGAGGGCAGGGCAGCCCCAGACGCGTCTCCTCGGGGCTGCGGTCACTCTCTCGGCTCGGCGGGGCGGTTTCGCGCAGGTGGGAGGCGCTGCCGAGTCCGCGGCTTAATCCGGGGCGGGCGGGGAGGAGGGAAACTTCCTGTTGAACTTGCCGGCTGACAGTCGCCTGCGGACCGTCGGGGGCTGAGCCATGGGGAAGCTGCTGGCGCTCGCCATCGTCGGGGTCCTGGGCGCCTTGATCGGAGAAAGGCTGATGGGATTTCGGTAAGTTGCTCCCTCGGCGCCGCGCTCGGCTTGTTTACGGGCGAAGTAATCCCCGGGTGGGGGACTCGCTCCGGGAGTTCATCGCGTTCAGATGGAGGTTCACTCCGCGTAGGATCGGGCTGCCCCTGTTGCCTTTAACCCTCTTGCGGGGCTGGAGGGAGGGAGCGAGGCGCAGGCAGGCGTTAGATCCGACTGTGCGCTTTAGGTTGGGGATCTGCCGTTCGGTTCGGTTCCCTTTCGTCCCCTCGCTCGCTCACGGTGCCATCCTGCGCTTCAGTGGCGCGCTCTACCCCCAGGGAAAACGTGGGCAGCAGCCGCAGCAGGATCGCAGCCGAAAGCTGGTCCCTGGCCGTCAGAGCCCCGCTGAACTCCGCGGGGCTCTCTTCGGAGTTAGGAGCCATAGGATCGCGCTGCGAGTGGCTGGGACTCTGCGCCCTCCTCTGCTGCGCGTTTAGAAGGAAACGCAGCAGCAAAAGCGTAAATTTTGGGGCCGTCTGATCCGGGCGATTAAAAAAAAATCGGTTCCTAAGACGTGTGGTTCAAAACTGAGGGAGCTCGTTGCTTTCTTGGCTTCTCTCCCTCTTGTTTTAAAGAGAAGAGTTCAGGACGAACTGCCTTGTTGGGCCCTGGGAAAGTTTCCTCCGTTAAATTAGGTTAGAAAGTGGTGGGGGTTCGGCTGGAAGCCTCGACCCTTTGTTTAGCCCTAGCGCCTAGATTCTCTGGGCAAGATATATACAGTAATGTCATCTCAATGTCTTCTGCCCCTCCTAAAATAGCGGGTCGGCTGCTGCTTGCTTGCATCTCATCCCTGCTGTGGGCAGAACAAGGCACTGAGGCTCTCTTTGTTTCCCAAAGAATGGAAGGGGGGTGGGAAAGGGGTTGCTTAACTCATTATCTGCCAGTTTTCCCAATTTTAACAGGTTCTTCTTCTCACTTCCTCCCCTTGGGCTCCAGAATTTGAAATTGCCTCTTCCTATCTGCTGGAGAGAATTGACAGCAATCCACCTAAAATTCAGTTTGGGGAAAGGGTTAAGCACTCCCCCCCAACACCCCTTGCAACACACAAGAAGCTACTCTACATTCATGAGGTTTGGGGAAGTGTCTTTGCTGCAACAATGTCAAGTTCTGCACTGACTAAGCTTTGCTGCTACTCTTGGCAAAATTCATTACACAGTTGAGGTAGAGGTAGCGAGAAAACTAAACCTATTTGTGGCCCCCAATGAGCCAAAGCTGTTGCAAATGTACTTGTTTGCATCTTCTGCTCAACACGTGTATGAGCGCAACAAATCTTGAGTTTATATATGCATGCTTAATTTTATTTGTATGATGCCTTTCCGCAGTTTAAACCATGCCGAAGTCGGCTTACAGCATGAAAAATACATAACTATAACATAACAGAGGTAGTCATAAACAATAAATAAAAGATTAAAAAATGCACAACTATTTCCACATAAATCCCAAGATCTAAAATAAAGACATGGATAAAACCAGCAACAACCCCCCAACAGCACCCCAACCCAAGAGTTTGTTCAGCTTTTGCAGCTGGAGTCAGTCCGGCCAGCTGGAAATTGGCCAGCAAGGTAGGGAACAGGTCTTCAGGACTCACAGCCAAGATGGAGTGTGCTTTAAGAGTGCTTTAAATGGATGAGAAAACACACACACACACACACACACACACACACTGTAAGTCTTGAGACGGCACCAAGCATTAAAAAAGTGTTCTTATACAATTTTACAGGCATGGTGAATCATGGGAACTGTAGTTCATTGTTGGGAATTGCTCTGTGCAGTCAGCACCCTTAGCAAACTACTGTTCCCAGTATTATTTGGGAAGAGTGCTTTAAATGTATGGTGTGGATATGACTGCCTCATTCGTACATAAAGCTGGGGTGAGGTAATAGGAGGGAAGTCTGGTTTTTAAGAGCAAAGGGGGCATACTGAAGGAAATGGCAGGCCTTCCTTTTTCCTGTGGGTTACTTTCTCATGCAGTTTTCCTTTAACTGGATTCCTGTGCTGGAAGTGGGAGTGCCTGGGCAAAAAATCACTAGTTTCATATTTCATATTACTTTGCAGGGCTGAGTTGCAGTTAGTTGTGTACTTTGTCTTGTGTTTGGAGTAATAAGACTCTCTGTTCTGGCTGAAGGACAAAGGTTGTTAAATGTCAATCTTCTGAATGGTGCTTAAATGTAATATAAACTAATTATGAAGCCAGCATCTATTTTAGTTTATGAGTAAGCACTCTGCTAATTGGACAGCTAATTGGAAGGAAGAGGTTTGCGGTCCTCAGGGCTTGGTGCGGGGGGGGGGGAGAGAAAAGGATGTCCATTTATTTGTTTTTAATTTTTGTCCGTTTCTTGATCTGCAGACGCTTTGCTCTGTGATACCCCTGGTGATCTGGCATGAATGCTCTTTGGTTCGCAAACCAACCGCTCAGTGTTAATGCACTCTTGTCAACAGCCAATGACAACCTTCATTTCCAGTTTGACCAGGGAGCATAATTTGCAATAATGCTTGCCATAGTTCTCTGTAGAGAATTACTTGTTAAGACCTCTTGGTTGCAAGTGTGTGGAATAAGGCAGCCAAACACCCCAAACTTAAAACGCTTGCCTTAAAAAGGGTCCTATTCCTTTTAGTTCATTCATTACACTTGCATGTATGTTTGGGTTGCTAACTAGCTATCTCGCAGGATTACATGTGGTGGAAAATTATGAGAGGGCATAATAAACAAACATAGCCAGGGAAAACTGCAGTTAAGGAGATAACAGTGGCATCATATTTTACTTTTGTAAACATGGACAGCAACAAGCAGTTTTCTTTTTCACACGACCAGCTACCTGCCCCCCCCCCCCCCGCCTTCAGATAACAGTTTTATATGCTACACAATTTGGGTTTGAATGAGGAATATGAAGCTTCTCATTGCTCAGCAGTGGTGGGTAAGTGTACTGTTGTCACAGCTGGAAGCAGCATAATTCAAATAGCTGCACACCAGTGATACTGAGGCCCCGTTATTCTGTTGCAAACTGCAGAGGGATCACATAGGCTTCCCACTCCAGCGGGAAGATATTAAGCCAAGACTGCATATTTGTGTTACTGATGAGAGCACTTATGCAAGAAGTAACTCCCGGTGCGTGTTCAGAGGAAACAAAACCAGTTGTGCAAAATCCTTCCTAGCGAGGATGAACCGTATCAAAACACAATAAATATAATGGGGTGTTCATGGGGAGTTGAAAAGCGTTGCTGCAATACAAAAGATTTTTTAAATGGTTAGGATTCAAACATTCCTTACTAGGGTGAAGAACGAAGAGATGACATCCAGGTTTACTTCCAAGTAAATGTACCTTCAATCTCTGGTTAAAGTGCCATGGAAATGTACTGTATACTCATTTCAGATTATTTACACTGTGACAAGAGGGCTTTGCAGTGCAAGCCTGCTATGTTGCAATCTTGCTAACACAGCAGTAAAGTGGAGGTAGATATTGAAGTTGTAAAAAAAAAGAAAAAAAGAATTGGGGCGAGGCAAAGGGATAGCAACTGTTATCTAGAGACTGCTGTGCAATAGAGCATGGGCGGCCATGGTTTTGTCTGTTGTATTCTATTAATGTGGTCCTTCCAGCAGATAGCAATGTTAAGAATCCCTGGAAGTATTTTCTGTGAAATATTTATTGAGACATCATCAGGGACTCCTGTGTGAGGGAGCATAGCTCTCCTCAGCTAATCTGCATGGAAGCAGGTCGTGTCGCTTGGTGGGTGAGAGAGAGATATTGTGGGGAGGACCTGCCCGCTTCTGTTCTGACCCCTTGGGGAGCTGGCAGTAGGTAACTGCAGACCTCAGGCCAGAAATGGCTAGCCACCGCTGATTTAAACCATATCTGACAGCTGTCCATCCAATTCCTTCTTGAAACTTCTAGGGGGAAAATGCCACAGAGTCCTCCATTGCCTAATTGAACTGAACCAGGAGGTTTTTCCCCCCCAGACAGCCATTGTAAGAGCACAGTTGACTGGGAAGATCTCTTGTGCAAGCCCCACTGAAATGAAAGCAAGCTGTGCAGCACTACCCTTGTGTAGCTTCCATTCATTGCAGTGAGGTAGGAGATCTTTCCTCTTGGGTTGTACCCTAAGCAGTCACTGTTGTAACCTGAGCCCACCGTATTTTGCCTGTCCTTTAGGTGATCTGATAATGCCTTGTCTAGTCTGCCCTTGGGCAATCTCTTTAAATATTTGAGAAGTTTTCCCTTTAAACCATTGATTGTCCAAAACAAACATTTCCCAAGTCAACTGCTTGAGCCACAAAGCTCACTAGGATGAGCCACCTCAATCTAACATGTCTCACAGGGTTGATGTCTCTTCATTTAAAGCACATTTGGAGCACATTATTTCCTTCAAAGAATTCTGGGCATTGTAGTTTGTTAAGGGTTCCTGGTACCGGTAATTCTAACTTTGTGATGGGTAAACTACAGTGCCCAAAATTATCTGAGGAAAAGAATGAGCTTCCAATGTGCTTTAGCGTTCTACTGTGTCCACAGGGTTACACTAAAACAATCATGGGTTGGATTGTCACCATTTGCATTGCTCATACCTGAAGTATCTCTGCTGGTTGCTACCACTCAAACTGTGGAGACCAAATAAATTAAATTAAAAAATTATTTGTCCAGAGGCACCTTAGAGACCAACTAAGTTTGTTCTGGGTAGAAAGCTTATACTCAGAACAAACTAAGTTGGTCTCTAAGGTGCTACTGGACAAATAATTTTTTAATTTATTTCAACTGTGTCAGACCAACACGGCTACCTACCTGAATCTAAAATTGTGGAGACCAAAAGCTGCAGTTGGACCTAGGCAATGAATGCAGTCCAAAGTGCCAACGCTCTTTCTTGTGCATTGGCATAAAAATGCCAATTAACTGTGGCTTTCCATTTCCCAAGAGATCTTCAGTGAGATTTTGTACACAACATGCATTTAAAGCACATTTTCCCCTGCCCCAAAGTATCCTGGGAACTGTAGTTTGGCAAGGGTGCTGGGAAGTGCAGCTTTGTGAGGGATAAACTACAGTTCCCAGGAATCTTCAGGGTGTGCTTTTAATATGCTTTAAATGTATGGTGTGCACCTGAGGCAGTCTGTGAACTATATGAACTGACTAACCTGAATGTGATTCACCACCCAAGCGGAAATTTGTTCTGCAGTAGAAGGAAAGTCATATAATCACTGCCATTGCTGGCAATCTTTTAATTATGTTAATTCGAAGAGAGTAAAATTTCAGTGTGCATCAGCTTGCCCTATTTAGCTTTCTTGTTTTACTTTTGTTTGTTTAGTAGACAAAGCTATTTTTGTGTGTGGAAACTTTCACAATTTGCAGTTGACACCCATTCATTGCTACAAATGAACTTATGAAGCTGAAAATATTCGGAGCGGGGAGTGGGGAGGTACTGTATGGAAAACACTCTGCCCTACATGACTGCTACCAAGCGAGCTGGTCCTTTAGTTTAAAGCAGGCTTCCACAACCTCAGCCCTCCAGATGTTTTTGGCCTACAACTCCCAGGATCCCTTGCTAGCAGGCCCAGTGGTCAGGGATGCTGGGAACTGTAGTCTCAAAACATCTGGAGGGCCGAGGTTGAGGAAGTCTGGTTGAAAGCCTTTTCAAAGGTCCTTTAATACATGCATTGGATGGCACAACATGCAATAAAGCTAAGCAGGGTGTGGCTGATTCCTCCTACCTTTCCCAAGTTTTCCTAGCTTCCAAATCATGTTTTCAATGGCACTATTAAGTCAATACTGATGGTGTTGCCTGTTCAGCAGTGGGTGTTGGGGAACACTGTGACACCATAAGAACAGGGGTGTTTCCTTTGCTACTGCTGCTGGGAGCTGAGCTTAGCACCTTATCTTGCAATCTTCTGCTCACCATGCTACAAACCTTCGGGAAAGATAAAGGCAGACATGGGTGTGTGGTGTACTGACATGTCCTAAAATGATTCCCCCCTGCAATGGTTCCTCATTGGCTTCAAAAAGGCAGTTCTAGCCTCTGCAACAGAAAACATCTGGGTCTCCTTAAAACAATGGCAACTCATAAAGTCATGAAATCGAGGGGCACGATAGTTCTTGGTTTTGGAAGTGCTGGATGAAAAAGACACTCAGGGGCTTAGAACTGTTTTTGGTGTTTGTTGTTTTTTTGGTAAGACAGTCCCTGCCCTCAGGCCCATAGTCTTAAAAAGACTTGACACATGGAAGAAAGAAGGAATGGGAGGGAGAAGGAAGAGGAAAAACAAGCTCCGAAACAAATTATTAAAGTTAAAGCCAGTGTCAGTTGCAGTTCTGACTGTCCTGCCCTCATTAAAGAGCAGTCCTTTCCCTGAAGCACTCTTCTGTGAGATGCACTGCACACACACACACTCTCACACACATACACCCTGGTGATGGCTCAGTATCTAAGCCAAGGGTAGGCAACCTAAGGCCCGGGGGCCAGATGCAGCCCAATCGCCTTCTAAATCCGGCCCGTGGACAGTCCAGGAATCAGCGTCTTTTTACATGAGTAGAATGTGTCCTTTTATTTAAAATGCATCTCTGGATTATTTGTGGGGCCTGCCTGGTGTTTTTACATGAGTAGAATGTGTCCTTTTATTTAAAATGCATCTCTGGGTTATTTGTGGGGCATAGGAATTTGTTCATTCCCCCCTCCCCAATATAGTCCGGCCCACCACATGGTCTGAGGGACGCTGGACCGGCCCACAGCTGAAAAAGGTTGCTGACCCCTGATCTAAGCCTTCAGTCCCCTACCCACTTAGCCGAGAACAAACCTTGTTGAACTCAACGGGACATAATTTTGAGTAGACATGTATAGGACTGCTCTGCAAGACTCAAGGCATTTCTGGATTAATCATGCCATTTATATTCAGTTTATACTGACTGGGCCGGTGGGAGGGAAGCTCACTGGAAGTAGGGAGCATTCCATTCCAGCCAAAGGAGGTATAAGTGTCATCTGAATGGAGGTAGAATTTGGTAATGAACCCATCAGAAAGGTTATAGGGAGAAATGCATGCACCAAAGCCCTTTGGGGAGAGGGGCACAATGCCTTTAAATGTGAATAGTTGACCAGTCTGAGCCCAAGGTACCAGTTCTGGGGAGCAAACGCAAGAGAGGGCTGTTCTCTTTGCCCTGTGAGTGGGCTTCCTGGAGGCATCTGATGGGTCACTGTGGCCAGCAGGATGCTGGACTAGATGGGGCAGATTTGGTAGGGCTCTGCTTTTGCTCTTCCATATTTCCTATTTTAAGTCTACGTTTATATTTGCTTTCTCCTCCAGACATAGATTGTGTGCCTCGCGAGAATATAAACCGAAGCGGCTTCCAAACTGCCACCTTATAAAAGGAATTGGTAGGTCTCCCGCATGCTTTTACTTGCATTTATTCCCTCCGAATTCTCTTTTCTCCATCCTTTCTATGCCTATTTATATAAGCCCTCTTTCCAGAGGGATTTACATCGTCTCAATTTTTGTACTTGGTTTTGTTTTTAGAGGTGCTTCATTAGTATTATTGTTACGTAAATAGTATTTATATGGAATTGTGCAGAAAAGAACAGAGATTGGGTCTGCAGGCTGGTTGTGAAAACTAAATTGGGTATCTTCAGCCTTCTCAGACTCAGGAGCCACGTTTAATTCCAAGATCCATTTGGGGACCTATTTCCTATTTTTCTTACCATATATTTGCATGCATGATAGTCGTGCTCCTGTTGCATCCCACCTTGGGTCAGGCTGCAACTCACCAGCTGAAGACCAGTGAAGTAAATGACCATGCAGGGACCTTAGCTCAATTAGTGGAGGGCATTCTTTGCATTATTGCTATTATTGTTGATTTATTAATTGCCTTCTAAAACACCGTCTCAAGGCAATTTACGATAATTAAAAGCCGTTAAAGGCACAAAGCAAAATACACATTTAAAACAAGACTTAAAACCCTAACAGGTGGGCATTTGTGGTAAAGACCCATTCGTTCAGCTGGCATGCCAAGCAGCCCAGGGTTGATAGCCGATATTTCCAGTTTAATAGGAAGTGTGAAGCCCTTCTACAGGTGACTCTGAAAAAGCATCCCTGAATGGGATGCTGACTGAGGCTGATGGAAGTTGTAATCCAGCAACCTTGGCACAAATCAGCCACCTCTGGTGTAGATGATACACAGTCTTGACTAGGCCGCTTCCTATGATATTTTGTTTTTATTGACTTGGTCGCACACTTGAAATCCAGGGGGAACTAGTACTCTGTAAATGCTTACCCTTTCTTAAAACCACCAGAGTACCAATTTGAACCAATACTCTTGAATTGGCCCTCTGTAATCCTCTTGGATCTGCTGGCAACATGCCTTAGACAGGGACGGATTCTGGAGGCTGTCGGGGACACGATTGACTCAAGAAATGTTGAAATGACAGCTTAAGTTGTTCCTGTCTCACATCAATAATGTAATCAAATGATGAGAGTTGGCATATGCCGAAAGTATACTGTATTGGGGATGGGACTCCTCTCTAAATCGTCATTCCCTCAACACCTTTCAGATGTTTTGGACTACAACTCATGTCACCCCCAACTATTAGCCATGCTGCCTGGGGTGGATAAGAATGGCAGTTCAAAACATCTGGAGGGCACCATGTTAGGGAAGCCTGCTCTAAGCTGTAGTTCTTGTACAGAGGCTCAAACATTTGGTGCAGTTGTTGCAAGCTTGACCTAAGGTAAGGATTGAGCAATGCATTCTTCCTTAGCGGCTGAGGCCAGCTGCACACTCTATGCAGCAAACATAGTTTTTGTGTGTACATTGGTATTGCCACAGATACACCCCCTTATGCACATGCCTGAGGACCCTGTCTCTGGAGATTCCTCCACATCTGAATGCATGTTTTCCCCACTTTCCATGTTTGCTGAGGAAACACCAATCTACATGCAGCAGCTGTGTTTGCCACAAAATATTAATTTTTTGGTTATGTTTTTTAACCCTGTTTTCCTCCAAGGAGATCATTATGGCATGCACTCTTCCTTCCCCCTTCCTTTTTTTAATCTTTACAACAACCCTGTGAGGTAGTTTGGCCTGACAGACAGTGACTGGCTGAAGATAACCCAGAGAGTTTAGCCTGGGCCTTCCAAGTCCTAGTTTTGACATTCCAATCATTACAGGTTCTGGTACCAAGGTGAGCTACACCTAGCGTGAGTCCCTTACAAGTTCAAATTCTTATATAACTAGTCATTCTTGGCAGTAAAAGAACTATTTATTTTATTTTAGCACTGTGGTTTGCTCTGTATGGACTGATATTTAGGTGTGTCACTATTTTTTGTTCTGGCAAAACCACAATAATAATGCCTTCTCTATTGAATAATACCAGATTTCCCACACCCCTTATTTCAGAAAGCAGGCTGGGTGTAGCAGGGCTGAGCGTTTGCCAGGGCCCTGAGATTAGCAGAGGGTCTGCTGCATGTTCTTTCAACTCTTGACAAGAAAGTCAGATGTTGCCTAAGGGGATTATCATTGTGTGCCTCATCTAAGTTCAGGGAGCCTACTGAGGGTGCTGAGTCAGCATCGCTGGAGGGTGATATTCTGAGCATGCTGGCATTGTGTGCCAGCGAGAGAGAGTTCAACTTGTGCACGATAAGAGCTGTGACAACTTGTGTGCTCCTAATGCCAATGCAGAGCAAACATGTCAGCAGATAGAGCCAAGCCCCGAGATCTTCACAAGAGCCTTGGCCTACGCAACACGCCCTCCCCCTGGCACATTTCCCAGCTGAAGGTTAGCTAGCCTCTCAGCCATTCCTCTCCATTGCATTTGCTTTTTGTGGATGGGCAAAGATCACCATAGCAACCAGAGCCTTTTGCAGCTTCCAGCCGCAGATAAAAGAGAATTTAGCATTGGCCCAGCTTGTCGCCTCTGAATTCCTGTCTCTCCTTGGCGTGGGGTTCTGAGTAACAGTTCAGTGGGGCTGTTCTCTCATTGCTTCCATGGTGCGTGTTTCTTACACACGTGCAAGGTGCAATGACTCAGAATAATGCAGTCTATGTCCCAGTACTTTAAAAGAAGCAACCTTGTACTCTAGTGCACTGTATGGATGTGTCTGAGCAAGATCTTTCTTCTTTTTTTTGCTTTGCAGAAACTGGCTCGGAAGATATCGACATACTTCCTAATGGCCTGGCTTTCATTAGTTCTGTAAGTTATCCCAGCAGGCCTGTCTTTCAGGGAAGGCTGGGCTTGAGTTCGCAATGCACTGAAGGAAAACTTGAAAATTGCAGGCCAGATCTATTCCCACACAAACACAACCCTTGTTTTTAACAGAATGCCTTTCACGCTGTACGTAACTGAGCAGAATGCAGGGGTGCTCATTAGAGACTGATGGTGAAAGGGTGCAAGGGTGGGCTTGAAGATTAGGTCACCATTACTAGCCTTCCCCCACCACCCCAGCATGCTAAGAGGCTAAAAGCCACTTAGTAGTGTAAAGTAAATAAATAAAACAAAGCCTTCTCCCAAGTGGACTGGTGCAGCAGGGCTGCATGGTTTCTCTACTGACCACACAGTAAGGCACTGAGGGATACTGTAATCCATCTATTGGTGGAATTTAGGGGAAGCCCTAATAAACCTGGACTACATAGCTCTTTTGGGATGTGGGTGATGCTGTGGGTTAAACCACAGAGCCTAAGACTTGCTGATCAGAAGGTCGGTGGTTCGAATCCCCGTGATGGCCAATGCTAAATCCCATTGCTTGGTCCCTGCTCCTGCACACCTAGCAGTTCGAAAGTATGTCAAAGTGCAAGTAGATAAATAGGTACCACTCTGGCGGGAAGGTAAACTGCGTTTCCGTGTGCTGCTCTGGTTTGTCAGAAGTGGCTTAGTCATGCTGGCCACATGACCCGGAAGCTGTACGCCAGCTCCCTCAGCCAATAAAGCGAGATGAGTGCCGCAACCCCAGAGTCGGTCATGACTGGACCTAATGGTCAGGGGTCCCTTTACCTTTACATAGCTATTTTAAAGCAGCAATGGCTAACCTGTGGCCGCCTGGCTGTTGCCGGACAGGAGCTCCCAGCAAACCCAGCCAGTGCAGCCCATGGTTAGGGATGATGACAGTTGTGGTTCAGCAACATTTGGAGCACCACAGCTTAGTATTTCAGTGAATATCCAAGGAAAACAGATGAGTTATGAAAACGTCTCTCTGAGATCTTCCTAACCCTTCATGTGACAAAAGGCCTGCTTTCTTTGTTTGCAAAGGGTTTGAAATACCCCGGAATAGTATCGCTTGCCCCTAATAAAAGAGGAGAAATACTTCTTATGGATCTAAAAGAAGACAATCCTCGACCTGTCGAGCTGAGAATCAGCCGGGGGTTTGATCTGGCATCCTTTAACCCTCATGGGATCAGCTTATATATTGATGATGGTAAGTAGATTTGCCCATAAGGAAGGCTGATAAAACAGTATTTATTCTGTTTATTGTTTCACATCTGTAGCCATTCCTTCCTCTCCAAAGGGAGCTCCCTAGACGGGGCAGCTGCTGAGAGCTGCTTCATTTCCCCGTATACGTTCTCCATAAGTTCACTCATACTTCATTGCTTGTTTTGTCAGACTCATTCAGTTTTTGCCTTTCCCTAGATGACACTGTGTACCTCTTCGTCGTAAATCACCCACATCAGAAGTCAACGGTAGAGCTATTTAAATTCGTGGAGGACGACAATTCTCTGGTGCACTTGAAAACGATCAAACACGAGCTTCTGCCAAGGTATATAATATCTAAAACAATTCTGTCTCCTTTGAATTTGAAGAACCCGTTTTAGTTTATGCCAAGCACTCTGTGCAATATGCAGAACAGCTACTTATTACTTGCAAGCTGGACCTGCAATGAAATGTTGCGCCATGCAGGGATTCTGCCCAGGGTTCCATTTTGCCCTCGGTTTTCAGTTGGTCAGCATTCCACGCTCGCTGGGCATGTTCAGTCCTGATTAAGGGTTTTACTGCAGAGTTTTGTTTATACTGAAAGGGTTTCACTGCAGAGTTTTGTTTATACTGCAAGCTTCAGGTTCCCCACTGCCTGCCCTCCTGCACCTTGTGTTGGCTGATACCTCCCTCCTGCGTGTGGATGGTACCATTTTGTCTGAATAAGGTCTGGCACTCAAGGGAACTGAGATCACTCTTGGCTTGCATGATGGTATGGTATGCAATTGTGAATGCTCATACGCAGACTTGTGCCTTCCAGATGTTCTGGATTCTGACTCCCATCAGCCCCAGCCAGCAAGGATGATAGGAGTTTTGTTCCAAGAACATCAGGAGGACAACAAGTTAGGGAAGACAGATGGAAAACTGAATAAGCCTGCCTGCCTGTAAACCTTGCCATGTCTGGTATACAACTTGCTATGTCTCTACATAGCAGCTTAGGTGACAACCGTATTTTTATTTACTCTTCTCCTTTTCTTGTCCTAGTGTGAATGATATTGTGGCTCTGAGTCCTGACAGTTTCTATGCCACCAATGACCACTATTTCACAGAGCTCATCTTGATCTACTTGGAAACATTCCTAGGCCTTACCTGGACAAATGTTGTCTACTACAGTCCGAAAGAAGTTAAAGAAGTGGCGTCAGGATTTTACTCTGCCAATGGCATTAACATTTCACCTGACGGGAAGTAGGTATCTTGCAGGTGGCGTGGCTTATACGCCGTAAAGGTATTTTTTTTGTGTGTTTTAAAATATTGCTCTCCTTTAGTCAATGCAGTCTTCAAAGAGGCTAACATAAATACAGGAAAGAGAGTTCAGATTTAAGCACAGTTTTAAAACCCCCCACATACATTACAACAACTAAAGAAAGAGCAGTAATGGGTAATAAATGTAAACAGCAGCAAGGGGGTCCTCATCATGCCCTGATATTTCTGATAACTTTTATCTTGGCAATAAAGTGAACAAACAGAAGGTACAACTCATTGTCTCTTGGTTTAAGCTGTAATTCATCTGAGTGTCTACATTGCACGATAGCATTTCACTGTTAATATTTAAATTGACTTATCTGGGTCTATGTTTGTACTAGCTTTGGGTCCCAGCCAGTGGACAGTAACCCTTCTTTACTCACATCAGTTATTTGGAGGGTTTTCCTCCTCTCCCCCCTGGAAACAAATCTTCTACTGTACCAACTAAGGGAGGAATTCAACATAGAGCTGTTGCATGGAAAGCTTTTTCACTTGAGCTCCAAGCAGAAAATCCAAGAAATGCCTATGTGACTCTCACAGAGTTGGGTGGGTGGCAGTCCCTACAGTGGTCCTCTGCAATATACTCAGAGTCCTGTAGTGATTTCATGCTCTTTATTGCAGCTTGTAAAACAGTGATTGAATTGCCCCCCAAACCTCAGGCTTTTATATACATTATTTACACAATGAGTCCTGTCTGATTGGCTGATTCTGCTTCCCCCCTGGAGCCTGATTGGTCTTTCCTGCAGGCCAATCAGTTGTTGCATTATAGGATCCTACCAGCCTAATAGGCTGATTAACTTCTTCCTGGAGCCTGATTGGTCTTCTCCTGCAAGCCAGTCAGTTGTTGCATTCTAGGATCCTACTTGCCTATTGTTCTAGGATCCAAGGTTAGTACATAACATCCTCCCATCTGTCCAAGCACATTGCGTTTTCCAGAGCTGTTTTTAGAACAGCGTCAATCAGCAGAGTGTGGGTTGGTTCTTGTTGACATTAAAGTAATGACACTTTCTGCTTCTTTTCCAAACAGATGCTTCTTTTTAAAAAAGAAATCTGATGGGCACACGACTGTTTTTTAGTTGCTAGCCCTGCTTGCTAAACTAATGTGGTGTTGTTTTCATGAAATGTAATAACTAAAGTGCTAATGTCATACTTGACATCAACCCTAACGTGAAAATGAAGTGATGGATTAACTTTTAAATGTGCTAAATCAATGTGTGAGCAATGTGTGAATGATAAGGACTCTTCTCCCCACCCCACTCACATACTTCTTTTCAGGTTAGAGAAATAAAATAACTATTTCTTATATAATCGATAGTGGAGCCCCTCCCCCCCCAAATGCACTAAGTGCACATTTCCCTGTTTGCATGAACTTGCCTTGCACCAGAACAGCCCCTCCTCCTTCCCTCTCTCATCAAATCAAATGGTGTTGCATCTGAATGGTTTGTTTGTGCAAACCATAGTTTGGATATAACAGCAAACCATCATTCCCCCCTCCAAAAAGAGGAGGCATGCAGAGTGCATGAGCCCACAATACTGTTCCAATCCAGAATACCATTGTTTGAGAACATGCTCTCCCATTGAGATGGGTTAGCAAGGATGAATATAGGGAGAACTGTCTGGTGGTTCTTCAGGATCTTTGGTTTCCTTGCTATTTTGAGGAATACATAGGTAACATCCCATTTATTTAGTTATCCATTGCATTTATATACCGCCTTTCTGCCAAGACACCCAAAGCGGTTTGCAATCTTAAATCTTAAGACAGATTACTGTTATATAGCATGTAAAATTGAATCAGGGAAGGGACAGTCCAACTGGAGCAGTCCCCGGTGTTGCCTGTGCTTGCCTCCCTCATCCTAGGGGTGAATCTCTAGGATCAGTTACCACAAGGCAAGGGTGGAGAATCTGTGGCCTTCCAGATGTTGTTGGACTTCCACCAGCCCAGCCAACATGGACAATGTTCAGGGATGGTGGAAGCTGGGAGTAGTTCATCAACATCTGGAAGGCCACAGATTCCCTACCCCTGCCATAAGTAAACTTATTTCTATTTTAGGAAACTCCCAGAGGAAGGAAGGAGGACTACACAAATTAGTATATTCCCCCCACCTAAAAAAAACCTGGCACTGTAAATCACCAGGGCCGTCTGTTTTGAGCTCATCTTATGAACGCGTTCATGAAATATTTCATTGTGTTCCAAGCCAAAGTTATTTTCTTACCTGTAGCTAAAAAGGCATTCATGAAAGAGACTTTCACCCATTTCATTTCATTTCAAGGTACGTCTATGTTGCTGACGCGCTCGGTCTAAGCATTCACATCTTTGAAAAGCATGAGAATTTGAGTTTAACTCCTCTGAAGGTAAGCCATGGCCAGTTTAGAAATGAGCCTAATGCAGGTATGCTGTAACAAACCATGGACTTTAGGCTGTTCTCCTCCGCACAAACCCATCAATATTATTTTGTGTTTAGAATGTGTGTGCATGCATACCCATCCATTTGTTACCTTTAGTGAAGCCTTTGCAATCTGAATGCTTCTCAGGTGTTATACTCCTCCTTCTGTTTTAAATTTTGGAGATTTAGCTTACGTTTTAAATTTTGGAGGTTTAATTTATGTTTTAAATTTTGGAGATTTAGCTTATGTTTTAAATTTTGCATATTGCGTACCTTGTTGTTGTTAGCCACTTCGAGACAAGCATGGTGAAAAGCGAGATGTACATTTTTAAATGTATAAATAAAAATGAATTTTTTAAAGTGTGTTGTCAGGCAAACAATGCTAGCTATGGGTAAAAGAATGAATTTTCAGCATTGCATATGTCAGCTGCAAGCTTTACTTACACATTGTGTGGTTTCTTCTGTGTGCTTCAGGTATTGCCGGTGGAATCTGTAGTTGACAACATATCGGTCGATCCTTCCACTGGAGACCTGTGGCTGGGATGCCATCCCAATGCCATGAAACTCATGTCCCATGATCCAGAAAACCTTCCTGGTTCAGAGGTTAGTAGGAACTATTTTGGCAAGATGTGTGATAAAATGTGTGGAAGCTTTTCAGCCAGCATAAATGAGAGCATGGGTGATTGACTTTGTCCCTGTAGATGTTGTTGGGCTACTCTAGTCATCCCTGACCATTGGCTGTGCTGGTTTGGAGATGAAGTCCAACATCAATGGTGGGCAGTAAACCACTATGGAATGAGATGGTATTAATCCTTAGCAAGAAGATTCTGCCTTAAATTTGACAGGAGGACCTTTTTAGTTCTTTAAACCTATTTTGAACAGTTTTCAGACCAAACTTGTGTTAACGTGGAATTTTTGAAGTAGTGACAGAAGGCAGCCTCACGACTCATTAGCACAGATTTTATAGCATGTGTCAGACTAGCTGGTGTTAATCTTCACTATTTTTCAGGTTCTACGTATCCAGGGCATCCTTTCTGAGAAGCCTGTAGTCACCCAAGTGTATGTTGACGACGGGTCAGTAATCCAGGGGTCCTCAGTTGCAAACGTGTACGACAATCAGCTGCTTATTGGCACCGTGTTCCACAGAGCTCTTCGCTGTGAACTGTAGTTTGCTCATCCTGGACATTGTCACAGCGGAAAAGGTCAGCCTTAATCTGAGCCAAGCTTCCTACCAGATGCAGTTCTCAAATAGCTAACTTCAAAACACTTTGCAATAAAAGTTGACAAGAATGTTCCTGGCCTTCCTCACCCACCACCCACTTCAAGGAGGAGGTAACACAAGAAAAAAATACGTTTTTGAAAAGGAAAGCAGCAACATTGGAAGATTATGTTGACTTCTTTTGACAGTGTAATTGAACAGAGAACCTCAAGTAATGCCTGCATCCATAAAGAAATGGATGCTAATTTGCGATTTTCTGGATGACCATTGATGACTTTATTGGTGGGAGTGAGTGATTTGTTGGTGGGGTGGGGGGAATCAAAGATAATCCTTAATGACTAATTGATGCTGCTGCTGGAGCATTTTGCTTTCATCTAAAAGGTTCCCAAGGACATTTGAGACCTCATGCATGCCGAGTTGCTCCTCTTCCTGTATCACCTTTTCCACTCTTAAGGAAATCTTTATACTTAGCAATTATGCCTTTCTGTCATTCCTAGGAAGAGGCACATTTAATGCCTGCTTCAAACGTGACCTGAAGAGGGATGGATCTGATTCCACTCAGAGCTCTCGCTCTCTCCCTCTCTTTTAAAAAGAGCAATAATTGCACCTATCAGCTGCCCCAAAGGAAGTGGAGATGGGTCTAAATCCATTCCCCACTCCTCTTTCTGAACATCTGATAGGTGCACTGCATTTTAAAACAAGAATTCCATGTGCCTCCCCAACAGCTGCACCCAGGAGAGGAACCATGTGCAGAGCAGCATTTATTCCTCATCTGGCTAGGAATAGGCAATTGGAAATCCACATTCCTACACAGACGACACATAGCTGCGTTAGGGTATGACCAAACCTCTCTTTTTCTGAAAAGAGCACCATGCCACTGCCCTGCAGTGCTGTGGGATAATGTCCCCAAACCTCTTCTATATATTTGGAGAGAAGAAGCAGGTGAGCTCAGAGAGAGGAACACACTTGGCACCTGAAATGACCCAGGTTTGATTGCTGGCATCTCCAGGTAAGCATGGGAGGTTTCCCAGTTCTGAAATGCTGGTGAGCTGCTGCCATTCAGTGTAGACACTACTGATCTAGATGGGCCCAGTGGTCTGACTGTATCTCTGTTCTTGGGTTCTTGCCCAAGCACCACCTTTTCAGCCCCAAATCACAGCTTTCTCTCACATCACAGTTCACAAGTACAGAAAGTGTTTGTCCCACTGGCAGTTTGCTCATCGGATATCATCTGTGTCATCAAACAGCAGCAGCAGAAGCTGGGTAATGTCTTTCGAAGGGTAGAAGTCTGTGGTTTTCCCTTTCTCCTTTCCTTTTGCAGGTGAGAAGGAGAAGTTCTTCCTCACCTTATTAGCAGTAGCCTGGCAATAACCTGGCAGAGAGCCTAGAACAAACTGTCACCTATGCAATCAACTTTATGCAAGGGGTATAATGCAGGGATATTGCAGTATGTTCTACTCTTATCGCACAGGCTGATTTTTAACTTAAAAGTTGGCTGCCAAATGAATTGCTCAACTGTATAGATCAAGTCAATTAGGTTTCTTAATAAAGTAAATAAACAACTTTTCAAACGTTTTTGGGTTGTGCTGGTCTCAGCCAAATGCATCCTATGAAAACTGCAATCGCAGCAGTCTCTGAAAGACAATCTCAAAGCTACTGGGTTGCCCGTCACCCTACGGCAGGAGTCAGGAACCCCAAGCCCATGGACCAAATGGGTCCGTCCAGCCAAGCCTCTTTCACCCCCAGCCCTTCAGATCCTGCTGCTTCTCCCTTTGGCGGGCTCCTCAATTGCTTTTGCCATGTGTGATATGTCCTTGAACTGTGGTCCAGCTGCTTGCGTGCCTATACAGAGAAGTGGGTTCAGCACATGCAGACCCCTCTGGCATTTGAATGGCTGGAACGTCGCCTACTGTACCGAGGTAGAATTGCACATCGGTTGCACTGACCACTTTTTGCCACTGGCCCCACCTGCTTTTTTGCCACTGCCCCTATCCACTTTCTTGCTTCTGGCCTTGCTCACCATTGGCATATAACCATGGAAGGTTGCTCTTTAGGGAATGCTGCCCATGGGCTAAAAAAAATCCCTGCTCCACTATCCCTGAAAATGTGGCCATATCTACAACAAACCTCCCACCCTACTAGTATGGTTTTTGCATGACGATCAACATATCTTAACTTGTTCTGTTTAAATAGCTTTCCCCCCAGTGTCCAAGTGCATTGCTAGAAGGATAATATATTCTATAACAGGCTAAAAATGTTGTCTTCCAATTACTGCTTCTACTATTCAGGTAGGTAGCCATGTTGGTCTGATGCAATCGAAATAAATAAATAAATAAATAAATAAATAAATATTTTTTAAAAATTGTCCAGTAGCACCTTAGAGGCCAACTAAGTTTGTTCTGGGTATAAGCTTTCGTGTGCATGCACACTTCTTCAGATACTGATGAAGTGTGCATGTACATGAAAGCGTATACCCCAAACAAACTTCTCTAAGATGCTACTGGACAATTTTTAAAAATATTTATTTATTTTGATTGCATCTACTATTGAGTTGTCTTCATTGCTGGCCTTTCTGAAGTCACTGTGGCTATTTTCTACAGCTATCAAGAGTTAAGGTTCACTGCAGAGAGGCATTGTGAGCAATGTTTGGAGATATTAAGACAGTGCCTCCTTTCATGAGTTTTGATGGAGTGTTCCCTTGTCATTTGGGCAGCTTTCAACCGAACTGATGAAGTGGTTACATATTCTGAACTGCAGCTGTAATTGCCTCTTCTTAGTGGTACTGAATTTTGATGGGCTTCAGTCTTTGCTGAGAGATTTGATGTGGGGAGGGGGCAAAAGGTCTTCACAACTTCCTTCCCTGCTGTTCCTTTTGTGAGTTTTTCCTGCCTCTCCTCAGTCGTTGCTTGCTTGATTTGCTGCTGCTTCGGTGCCATTTTTAAATGAAAACTTTGGAATACCTGTTCCCTATGGTATTCCGGCTGATTGGGGGTCACATAGAGAAATGAGGATGTCATAGCATCATGTACCGGCCAATTAAAATTGGCCACATAATTATAGTATGGAGAGAAAAGAAAGCTGTCACAGGGCCCTCAGGCAAAATGGAAAGGAAAGGGGGAATGCACCCACACTCTCTAGGCAACTAGTTGATATTCTCCATCTTGCCTTGTGCTAGTGTTTTTACTGCCCACCAGTGCTGTATCTTCACTCCAATTTATCTCTAGTTATATGTGATCAATTGCATCAAAATACACTCAAATGTGTTCCTGAGTGTGTCTTTGTCTGTAGCGCTCTAAGGATGGGAGATAGTTTCAAGGCATTTGGAAACAAAACGGAATGCCTGTCCAACTGCCCCAACTAATAATAATAAATATTTATTGTGGCCCAAAGACCCATAGAACAATTTCAGAACAAAATACAGCCAACCACAAAAGAGAGAAACTGAGGCGGTCATTTTGTTTTGTCTTGAGTTTGATGATCTTTGTTTCTTTTGACTTCTGAAAGAAACTTTGCCACTTTGTCAACACCTTCGTAGTCTTATAACCAGCAGGATTTCTAAGGGAACTAGGACAACAGAACCAGTTTAAACTTTTAAGTGTTGACAGGGTTAGCGGACAATGAAAGTACACACAGGTCTTGCTTACCAAACACAATGCGTTCTGTGGAAACTCTTTGTTAGGCAAGCATTTGGATAATGAATCCATGATTTCCACTGCTTCATATGGGAATACTTCTAATGTGGGATTTGTCTGATTTCTTCCCCCTGCACCTCTTCATGGTTTCTTCTTGAAATGGCTGCAGCCAAGGGGGTTGGACGATTTGTCCGATCTATCCTGTTTACTGATTTGTCTGATCTTGCTCTCCCACTCTCTCCATGGTTTCCACTAGAAAATGGTTGCCCCTGACCAGCAAAGCGCAAACAAAGGAAGTTGGCTGTCTGTATCTGTGGAGCATATAGCAAGGTTTTGGCATAATTCTTTACATGCATATAAGCGGATTTTAGGATAGTGAGCTTGTGGGTAGTGGGACCTGCCTATGCAAACACTTTAATCCTACCTCAAACCTTCTGGTCTTGCCGGAAGGGCACTTCAGGTATTTGCTGCAGCCTTGCTTTTTTACTTTCATGCTAAGCTTTTAAGTCAGCTGGGCAGGGCTGATTTCAGCCAAGCTTCCCTGAGGCAGTTTTGCTTATAAAGCATGGGGGTTGTTTGGCAGACCGAAAGAACATTTGTTGCCCAGCTACTTTGGAATTGGTTTAAAGTTGCCCGGTAAGTAAGTGCAATATTAAATTCTAAATTTAGAGCCAAGGCTGTTATCTTTTAGTTGGGGTGAGGGACTGTAAAGTCAGGTTTGAGTCGGTTGGTCAAGGCAGCTGAAGAATCTGGTTTTAAGGAGGCTTGTTCTCAAGAGCTTTGTGCCCTTCCTAGGTACTTATTTGGCCGAGTGCCTCAGATACATGACATAGAGGCACAACATTCATGCCCCTGAGGAAGTCCTAAGCCTTGTGCTTTTTTCCAAACTTGTGAAAAACTTTCCCGTTTGAAGGAAAACTATTATGCAGCTGTGGGAATTTTCAACCCCTGAGTACTCCAAAGAGTCTGAGGTGAAAGCAGAGGCCTCTTCCTCTCCAAGGGAGTAATCCTGTATAAGGTCAGAGGCTCAGATGCAGAACTCATTTCATAGAATTGTAGTTTGGAAGGTTGACCGTGAGGGTCAACTGGTCCAGCCCCCTGCAATGCAGAAATTCTTTTGCCCAATGTGGGGTTTGAACCCACAACCCTGAGGTTAAGTATATCATGCTCTATTGCCAGCTAAGGGTTAATGCTAGGAGGCCCAGGGTGCTTTCCAAGACAGAACACATTTCCTTTCCCCCTTTGCTGCATGCAAATTTCACCATGCTTGTGGGCCTAGCCTTCCCCAGAGCTGCAGTGAGCTGGTGAGTACAAAACACAATACCACCTAGGAGTTTCAGTATTTCATTTATTGCATTCGTTGTCTAACAACAATACTCATTGGCAATAAGTTTATATACACTAACAAATTAATCACAGTTTTTTCTTTAAAAAAAAGAATCTGTAAGAATACGAAGGGCAACTGGATTTTTTTTGTTTGTTCTTATTTTTATCTTAATGCCTCCAAGTAACTAAACGTAGAGAGATGTTGTTTTTCCTGGGAAGTTAAATCTTTTGTAAAAGAAGGACAAATTAAGAAAGCACAAGCATACAAACTCAGACAGGGCATTGCGGCAGCATCTTCCATGCAGATGATTTGACACCTAGATGTACAAAACTAAAAAATGAACTAAAATACCAGGATAACATGCAATTCATACATTAACACCTCCCCAACACACAGTTCCCCCTCCCCCTCCCCTTTGACTGACAAGCCAACACTCTGTTTCAAAGCAATGGGGTCACACAGTGCACTTCTCGAGGGTGGCTTTGGGCTGTCTTGTTTTAGCCAGATGCAACACTAGCTAAGCCAACAATGGTGTGTATTGCAGTTATGAATGCAAAACTCCTTACAAAAGCAGGAGCTAAAGTGACAAACTGGCAAGGAAAATATTTCTGGCTGGGCAAGTTTTTCCTGGGGTCATTGCCATTTAGAGGTTTTCCTGGCATTGGCTTTTTTGCTCTTCTTCTGGAGTCTACTTCAGTAGTTCTGAGTTATCCTTTTCCTATTTAGCTGTGGCCCTGTGCAGCTAGGGGTGTTTACAATAAGCTCAAGGCTCCATCAATGTCCATTCAAAGCTAATGCCAGCCTTCTGAAATAAAAGATTACTTATTTTTGACAAAGGCTCGTTCACCGAGCACCGCTGCTTCAAGCCATATGTTTCACTGGTAGTTGTGCAAGGAAGAGTGTGTGAACTTTTCCCCGTAGGGTGTGGGAGCTCCTTCCTGCACTGTGAAGATAAAATCAGAAGTCTGAGTCAGCGGTGAACCTATGGCCCTCCAGATGCAGCTTCCATCAACCCCAGGCAGTGTATCAAGTGGTCAGGGATGATAGGAGTTGTAGTTCAGTAACTGGAAGGCTTCCCCATCCCTGGCCTCGGTCAATAGCTGGAGACCATACTGTAACTCCATGAGAAAAGCGCTCCAGTTTCCAGGAGGGGAAGATCCAGCATCAGTGTCCACCTCGTAGTCTGCATCCTCTGATGTTGCCTTCACAGCGTTATGAGGATACTAAGGAAAAGGGCTATTTGAAGTGCACTAAAATAAGTGGAGAGGTGTGGTGCATCACAAACATCCAGATGAAAGAAGCAACCACTATTTGCAGAAGAAGAACTTCACATTCTAAATAAGATGCATGCACCTTATACTCAAAACCTACAAAGGTCGACTTTCTTTTTCCAGTTATGAGAATGACTCTACTTGTGCCCAGGTCAATAGTGGCATAAATCACCATCTTTCCAGTGTCAGAGGAATGCAATGAAAATAAAAGGGAAGGAGGAGAAACCATCAACCCAAAGGGACTGTGAAATATGCGAATGACTCGACAATTGCAAGTGTTGATTGGCGAAGTCACAATCCCACTCTGCGAAAAACTACTCAAACCTTTCCAATAGAATTCAAGCATACAGTTTACAAAATACCCAAAAGAAGTGATTTCTTCTTAATAGCAAATCTCTACTAAATTGATTCTGCCAAAAGAACAACATGCATAAAGACATCCAGAGAAAACACTGGGAAATAGAAGTTTTAAGAAAATGTTCTGTTTAAAATCTTGTGGTCCCTCAACTATAAAATGTTTTAATGGACAACCATTCCACTTGCTTAACATGCAAGAGGTTAGGCTCAGAGTCAAATTCTTTCCTGCCTTGTGGTGAAGAGTCATTTTCCTTGGGGTCTGCTTGACTAGCACCCTCTTGTGGGCTGTCTACATGTTTCAGGCTCCATGCCCGACTTCTGAAGCCACATATATTTGTGTGCAAAAATGGGCGCACACGAGTCTGTTTTCAAAACAGTTCACCTCTGAAAACCTTCCAGTTTTGCTGAATATCTTTCATTATAAGTCCAAAATCAACTCTATACCTTCTGTTTACGTACAAATTTTCTTAAATGAGTAGAAACCTCCAAACTACGCAAATGAACACAGTCTTGAGAAAACATCTCTTTTTCTTCTTTCCAGCATTCTTCACAAAGAAACAAGTTTGCTGACAGGTTGTTGTTTTTCTGTACTTAGGAAGAGAGAAACAAAGCCACACTTTCTCCTGCTGAGGCACAGTTTAAGTACTGTTTCTATGGTTATAAATAAGAGAAACCAAGAGGATTTATTCCTATATCAGAAAACATATTGGTCTGAATGTTAAATAAATGGCACTAATTCTAAATTACATCTGACAAAGTTCTGGAAATGGCTCTCGGTTTATGTGTCTGACTTGGTGGTCATTCGGTGTTAAGCATTCATACAAAATCATGTTTCTGCAGGGGAGAGACTTTCAAGGAGCTGGGTAACATCTTGCAAGTGCAATGCAGAAAGGATTAAATGCAGTGTCCATTAGAAGAACTCTTGTCCCCTTGCTTCGTCTGTTCTGCTTCAAATATGCTCCGCCTTTTGCACTTTATGCATTTCTTTCTTAACTGCGGTTCTTCAGGAGTGTCTTTTTTCTTTTACATTTTGACCACTTTCACTTTTTTTTAAATAAAAAAAATCAATTAAAATTCAGTGCTCGACTCCCAAATTGCCACCAAGCAATAAACGAAGAAAGAGAACAATTACAGGATATAAATCAAAAGTAGTTATCTGCGGCGATAAAACCCAATTTACATGGTCCTAAACAGCAGGGATGCAAAAAATCAATATACAACGCAATATAGTCCCCCAGGGATCTTAGAAAAACAAAAGAGAGGATATAAATAATGTAAAGCAGAGGAATGTGCTCATAGATGTTACTAGTATATACATCCAGTTTAAATTACAAGCATGTAAACATAACTTAAAAGAGAAAATGAGCTTCTAATGCAATTTAACCTTAATGCATTCATAGCTAAAAATAGTACATCTCCAGTTTCTCCCAGATAATCTTTTTTATCTAAACAAAACCTTTTAGCCTCTTAAAATAAACCAAAGAACACTAGTCTGACCAGATTACCATCTGAGTTTTCTGTTGAATTTGCGTCTTGAGGAGAAGCATTTTTTTTTTCAGTGTTGAAAATATGCCCTCTCTCCAGAGGTGTGATGACCTCCCCAAAGCATCAATATATCTAAAACAGTGTCCTTGACTGCAGAGATTTGTTATTCTAGCTGCAGATTTTCAGTTCAAATGTTGCATCAGAAACACGAAAAAAAACCTGCACTGGGCTTGTGGGGATGCAGAAAGGCATCAGAGAGATGAGCCACATGCAGCGACGCATGTACAAAAGGGGGGGAAAAGGGGGGGGGAGACCATCATGGCTGAAACGACAATGTGACCTCCTGTACTGTACGGGACTTGCTAGCAGCACTCCAATGAGAAGCCCAGGTAGGCTTTAAAGTAAATCTGGCTGCTAAAATGTATAAATGATTAACAGAATCCTTTTAATCGCATTCATCATTTGAGCCCAATTTTCTGCCTGTTGAATCTTAGTCCCCAGTTCTGCGAAAGGCAGCACCAAGAGCTAACCAAAAATGAATTAACCACAGAACAGGTGGCTGGAATCAGATTCTCTGCATTTGTGCAATGCCCCAAAAGGGAAATGAGGCTATTACTGCAAAGTCTTGATTGCAAATACTGGGATTCCTTTTCGCTTTCTTCTCTACTGCATCACTCTACTAACGGGACAGTATTTAATTTTGAAACTCACATTGTCTTAATTGGCATCTCTCTCTCTCTCTCTTTAAGTACACATTTTAGCCTTAACTAGGGTTCATTCTGCAAGTCAATTTCAGCAAGTCAAATCCCAGGTCTGCAACCAGCCAGTCTCATTCTTGCTCTCATCCCCCCCTCGCCCCTCATCAGCCCCCCCCATGCTCTGTGCTGAAAATGGGTGGGGCATATTCCTTAGAAAAGAAACAAGAGTTTTCCGGCCACTATCAGGTGGAAAAAGGAATCTCATGCTACAGGAAAGAGTAGCTAGGGACACCCCCCCCTTGACCCCGAGGAAAACAAAGGGAAAACTGTATTCCAAAGTTCCAAAGCACAAGCCCAACCTAGTATTAGAAACCTAGCCTCACCCGCATGCTAAGAGGGTAAATGTTACTCTCTGCTCTCATATTAGCAATTTAAGGCCCTGCTTCCTTCGTGAGCTAAACTGCTGTGGAGTTCACAAGGGAAAGGGGGAAAATAAAATACAGGATTGCCTCCCTCTGATGAGCAGGAAGGGCACTGATTCTCTGCCTGTCATCTCCACTGTATTGTTTCAAGTCTTGAAACCATGGCTGCAGGGATGAAGCCAGGATCACCTCTGAGCATCGCTGCAAACAGAGCCCCGCTTCAGAGAATTGGGGGGCTGAGGTGTCAAAGCGGGTCGGCTGTTCCCGTGAAAACAAACGATAACTGATACGCAGTCGATTCCAGTTTGCTCCCTTTTACAGGTCCAGTGAAAGCTTCTCAAGCGTTGCCCATTTCTGGAGGCAATCTTCAAGTTTACAGTACAGCAAGCTGCAACCTACTGTGTCCTATGCCGATTTACGGAAGGGGCCAGACACAACCAGTGCAATGTAAGGAGGGCAACTGAGAGAATGGAGTGGGGATGGGGAAAGGGAAAGGCTCCGAATGCTGGGCCAGACTTGGTTCGCCAGCCCAGTTATGAGAAAATGCAAAGTGCAGTCAGGGCTTGCGGCCGGCCGAGTAGGTCAAAAGTACCAGCATGTCCACCAACTGCAGGAAAGTGTAGCTACACAGTGTTCATTTCCCCTATTTATTCTAGTTAAAGCCTCAGATATGAGTACAGAGCTCTGTGTAATGAAGACAAGGAGGTAGGGAAGGAAAACAAGACTCGCTTTTTGAGTTTCTTCCCTGAAAGCCTCTTCCCCGGTTCCTAATAGAATAATCATCAACTCTTATTCATCACTGCTCATTAGCTCCCTCTGTTGGATCTGGTGAGCGCTTCTCCGGCTTTCGGGGCTTCCTCTGGAGCTGCTCTTTTTCTTTCTTCCTAAGTTTTTCCCTTTGCTTCTCCATCTTCTCTTGAGCTTTGCGAGCTTTCTCTATAGACACTCTCATTTCTTTAATTTTCTTTTTAATGACAGCTCTGTCTTGGGAAGATGTCATGCCAAGGGCCTAAGAGCAAGGAAAGAAAGAGAGCAACGGTTTAATTCGTAGCACTTTCTAAACATTTAAGTTGGGTGGAGAAGAACCCAGTGTTCTTTCACAGCTTGACATCCTCATTCGACAAAAAGAGGGATAGCTAACTCACACCAGTGTCTTCTGCCTTCCATACAAAAAAGGACTAGTGCAATGTTTGATTGCATGCAAGCTTCCTCAGTCCACAGTATTAATGCAATGGTATCCATAAATGCAGCCCCAATTGCCTTTGCTTATAGCCTTGCATATCCTGAACTGAGCACCAGTCCCTATACAAAACCTCCCAGTCATTACTCATCAGCAATACTGGTTTAAATTAGTCCCGCATGTGTGAGCTGCTCTCACCTAATGACTACGGGCCATGAAAGGTGCATTTTGAACACTTGCCTTTCCTACTGGGACTCTGCTGCTCTGGAGTGACGGCCTGCCAAGTGAGGGTTCCAGGTGCCTAAAAGCCAGATGTTGCCAGAAGTGATCTTTTAGGCTGATCACCGCTATTCCAAAAATACTAGCAGGATCAGCATGAGGGGGAATAACAACTACGACATCTCCCTGGCAAATAGCTGCTGCAAAGCCCAGCAAGAACGTGTTTAATGAGCTACTTTTTTATTTGCTTCCAGGTATGGTTCCAGTTGTAGTGGGTAAGCTGACATCTACAAGCGCCTTTTGATGCTGCTGCATGGGGAGCGAATGAATGTGTGTATATGTATGTACACATATCTATACCTTCAGGGGTGGCCACAGACTTAAGAAAGCCCTAGCCAAAATGGGTTAGGGCCCTCTTTTACATTGATGTGTCCCCCTGAGCCTGCCTGAGAGTGGCGTTGATGGCAGCATTCCAAGGGTTAGCTGGGAGCCATCGTTTTTCATTTCCCACAGTGCCTTGGGGGTGTCTGACTACAGGGCATTGTGGGAAACTAAAGATGAGGCTCACAGATTCAACTGCCCAATGTGAAGGGCCCAGGGCAAGTGTTGGCACTGGTGAGCCCTGCTGGGCCCCGGAAGCTGCCTTCTGGGTCTGCCTATGGAATGGAAAATAGAACTCACTGTATATGTGTGTGTGTGTGTGTGTGTGTGTGTGTGTGTTACACAGTAACAATAATACATAAATACAACTGCATTTTCTAGATTCAAAGTGACACGTGACTATTTCCTTGGTAATTTCCCTACATTAATGGTACAAAATTAACACTGCAAGCAGAGGCAGTTACCTAGTCTGCATGGCACAAAGTGAAATGTGATACAACCAAAGTCTCTAATAATTTGGCCAAAGATGCAATTACCCCTGGCCACGTAGGCCATTTTGTTTGTGCTCTAGCACTGTCCTTTTTCAAGTTAAAAAAGAAAGAAA